AACACCATTGGAACAACGAATGGAAAACTTTAAAGTCGTGAAACCACGACTGCTAACCATCAAAAATAACTTGTACAAGAACGAAATACCACCTGCTCTAAAAAGGCGTGACCAAGTCATAATATCAAGAATAATAATCAGACATATGAAAATAACACACAAATACATATTCACCAAAGAAAACCAACCACTCTGCGAATGGTGCAAGACGACCTTAACAATAGACCACCTCATACTACAATGCAAAGTATACCTACTGCTAAGAAAACAACTCAGAGTCAAGCCCACCTTAAAAAATAACCTAATGGACCATCAAGCCTGCTACAATAACTGAAACACACCAAGATCTACAACATATAAAAAATCCCTCTTTCTGTTGTCGCTAATAACCCATGAAGTTGATGTGACATAAAATAATTGATTTAAAACAACAAAAAAAAAAAAAAAGATCAAGGTATACTAATGAATTAAAAATCAATTGAAAACTTGCTATTGTAAATAGCTATAAATTATTACAAATCTAAAAAAAATGGTACATTATAATACTTACTAAATTAATCTGATTATCTCTGATATTTATATCATAAAAAATATATCATTGTACTGCCATTGCATTGCCACTTAATACAAATAAATTTGTATCAATAACTTTTTCTATTATATTACCACAAATAGATAAAGGATCATACAGATCACTAAAGTAAATACGTTGTATAATTAGTACAAAATGAAAAATAATACTTACTTTTCCCAAAAATTAATTTAAATGCTTTGTCATTGGTACTCCATTGCACAGTAACAGTAGCTCCACGATTAGGCCCATAAATAAGAACCAATTTACTATAGTTATATGATTTTATACTAATCATGTTGCGCAAGTTATATTTTTCTGTAACATAAAAAAAAAACATTCAAATTAAAAATTTTACATAAAACTTCCAATTTAATACTATTCTCTAATAAGATTGAAAACTATACCCATTTTGAAATACTCTGCTAAATCATGTACAATAGAATAAAGATATACAATTTGAGCCCAGTCATTAAGTAATGCATCTACTGTACGCGAAACCGTATCTGCTGTACCCATTTCATATTGAAAATATACTGGTCTTCGTAAACCTAATACAAATTAAACATATTTTTATATATTATTTAAACATAATATAACATATAAGTTTTAAAGATGTTCAACAATACATTACCTTGTTCTTTTGGATGACTGCTAGATAAAGGGCTTCCATAAAATACAAACTCAGCCATCCATGTTTTAGCCATACCTTTACCCTGAACTCTAATTGAAACACTGAGTAATCTTTTAAGAAGAGCATACCAAGCACAGCTAGTATTTATTCCTGTAGAAGGGGCAGGTAACTGAACCAGTTTTAAAACTAATGCAGTAGCATTTGCTTCAACTTGAAGCCCTTGATGTGCTATATCTCTTTTAGTTAATTCTTGTGCTAATGTTACAAATGGTATCCTTTCATCACAAAGTGCAACTACATGTGCCAATTCTGGAATAAAATATGCAGGCTGTTTGAATCTTCTGTTCTGTAATGTAGTACTGGCATCTGACCTTCCACTAGGTCCTGTACTTCTTCGTTTAGCGTTATTCGCTTCCGAAACTTCTGTGATATATTAAACACAATTTTGTTTATTTGTTTTTTTAAGAACAAAAATTTAATAACATATTGTTTAACCTAGAATACTGACCACTATCAACACTAGTAAAAGGACCATGAGTTATGACAAAGGTGTCAAACTCAATTAAACTTTGAACTTTCAAATACATTTTTGGAATCTCTGTCTCAATGCTATCATCATGAGGATCATCTTCTATGGAACTATGTTTTACAACAGCAAGATAAAACGAACATTCAATTTCACATGGTGAAGTTTCTTTTTCCTTAAATGTTACTATTAAAATTACTGTAGGATGTCGATGGAGTTGTACAAACATACGATGTCTACTAATCTTTGACATTGGATGATCAGGATGAAGAAGCACTGGCAAACGTTCATGGGAAGTTGCCGGAAGATGTTGAAGTGTTTTTTCACATCGTCTTTGTGTTATCCAAAATCTGCGACATCAAATAAAATAAAATTAGCCACATCAAACAACAAAGAATAGATTTAAAAAAAAGAGAAAGAAATAAAGTGAGATAAAAATTTTGAAAATATTACCTAAGTTCTGATATTAAAGTTGGAAGACGAGAATGATCACCATTTAAAGCAGTAGTTAATTCCGGAATTAAAGGAACTTCGTATTGAGGTACATGACACTGCAACATTCCAGTATGCGTATCAACGGTAACTAATAAATGTTCCGCTCTTAAACAAGGTTGCAAAATTGGAACAGAGAGGATTGCAGGTGAACCAGCTAGTGTACATTCAATATCTTTCAACATTGTTTGCAGTTCTTGCTTCAGATCTAATAATCTACTTCTAGTACGTACATATATTGTATGCACTAACAAACATTCCATTGATAATTGATCTGATCTAATTGCTCTGTCTGCTATTTCACTTTCCTTGCTGCCTAAAGATGGAACATGTACTATTGCAAGAGGCCTTGCAGGATCATGTTGGTCAACCTGAACTGTTAATTTATATCCCAACTCTGATCGAGGATCTTTATTAGTTAATTCTCTCCAATATGAGACAGAGAGACACTTTCCTGGTGTATATTCATCCACATGAATGTGATCGTCCAATCTATCTCGTATTAATCGTAATGTTTGTGAATAAAGTACTTCTAATTGTAATGACTGACAGAAATAGTGTAAAATATGGTAAACTTCAGATAACGGATTCGAACTTTCTGCCAATCTTGACTGAACCACCTTGCAATTAGAATTATTTAACATTAGATAATTAAAAGATAAAACAAATAGCGCAGTAATTTATTTAAAAGAATATTACTTGATGTACGTAACGAGTTTGCAATGGATGCACCAAAGCTTTTCCATCTCCTGTTTCTCTATCCGAAACTAAAATCTCCAATTCTAATAATCTCCAAGGTACTGTTGGACCATCTCCCATTACTGTAAGTGATACTGAAAATTCTTGTTCCACAAGGAATGTCACTCTTCCTGCCTCAATCTTTAAATTGCGCATTTGTGGGAGCAAATTTCCAGTAACTAATCTATGTTGAATAACTTGATTTAATCTCTGAAGTGTGCTTCTCTTTTCTGCTGGTGTAATTGGATCTGGAGGAACAATTCTTTCCTGTCAGAACATATACGTGTCTATGTAAATGCAGTTTGAGATTTAAAAAATTATATTAATATGTCGACGAAGATTCATAAATTAAAATTACTCTTATGCATGCTGGTAGGCGACTATATGTTCCAGTTGTAAGAACTTCCACCGCAGCAGGAATATGAAAATTCGGTAATCTCGCATGTACTAGTGTCTCACGAGCCATTCTTGCAAGCATATCAGCTGTATCGACAAAAAGCAAAGACTGCTTGTCCAAAAAAGCCATTATATGCTGTAAAAAAATTCTCTTTAGCCAATAATCATTCAACAACGACAAATTATGTCATAATATGTATATAAAGTTCAAAACATCATGATAAATAAAAAATAATGTACCGCAGACTTATCAACTTTGGAAGCACTGTTGGCCCATTTGACTAATGCTAATAATCTCACATACAATTGTCGAGTTCTAGCCGAAAAATTATAAATTTCTATTTTGCGTTCCATGTCTGTTTTGCGAGGTAATCTGTGAACATACATACTTTGTGTGAAACAGACATGTATATTACTTGTATAATTTTACATTAAATTCCATTCGAACTATGTTGATTTTCATATACATTGAATTTCTACTTCCTGCAATGTAAAAAAATGCATTATGTAAATTTTCTTACAATTCAGCTAACACCGTGAGCTCGTGATAAGTACGTTGTATGATGAAATCAATGAGCATGCCAAGGGAAATGGAACCACCTCGATTCCCTTCCTGTGGAATATTATTGGTTACAGGTGTTTGGTGACCTTCCAAAGGTACTGGAGCCATTTCTTACTAAAATACAAAATTTATGTAATCAATATAAATGTTGTTACAATATAAGTATTTATAAATGCTGACGTGGATGCCAATAATAATTATAAAATATGACACTTGTATATCAATATTATGTGTAATATACGTACATTGTAATATTATATCTTTGTAATATTTATAAATTATTGTACATTAATTCCAATATATTACATCAAAACTGCAAATTGGTTATTTGAATGGATGAAGATCGTAAAAAATTGATTATTCATTTTTGTATTAATACACCTGTAAATAGTAATAATAAATCAACAATTAAAGATTAACAGCAGAAAAAGATTCATATTGAACAAACATACTCTCACTTCCAACATTTATTCATCTGTCGATGAAACACCGTACATACTGCAACAATTCGACACTGAGTGAAAGTAGCTTCTTTTGCAGAGCAGCAAAATGTGTCGTAGACTTTAAAATACTAGATTGGACACTCCCTTATAATGTTCCATTCAAATTCTCTGCGTATTTCAAAAATTTGGGATTTCAATGTACGTTGCGTTCTTGCTGCAAAGAAATTAATTAATAAATTAAATAAATAATAATAAATCTTAAACAATTAGTAAATTATAAATAATAATTAATAAAATAATTAGTAAATTAAATAAATAATAATAAATATTAATAAATAATAAAATAATAATAATTAATAAATTAAATAAATAATAAATATTAATAAATAATAAAATAATAATAATTAATAAATTAATAAATAATAAATTAAAATAAAATAGTCGTCTATTAAATAAATATTTCAATGTGCAATATAACATTATTTTAATACTTTCAAGAAAAAAAAATGGATTGAATTAAAAATTTTTGTAATCATTAATTATGTTGAAAATTAAGAAATAGAATATAATTTAACCATAGAAAACGAAAATAAATTAGACTGAACTGTAGTAAATCAAGATTAGATGATAAACCTGAAGTTGGCACCAACTCACACGTGTTTGTGTTAAAGTAGTAAATGGTCTCATTTGTCACATATTTTTGGATTTGTTTAATTTTTTCAAATTATTTAGCTCCGTTCTAGCCAACGAAATTATTCGCAAATAATTAAAAGTAAATATAAATAATGGAAGTGTTAAACGAACCTATTCGACAAGAAATGATGATGTAAGTAAACATAACCTTAACACTTTAAGTTGCAAGATTTATAAAAAGTAAATAAACTTTATAATTTTCTTTTTATATAAAATTTACTGTATTTATAAATTTCTAAGGATTAAGATAAACTGTCTTCGAAATAGCTTATATATTAAATTGTCTATTTGTATTAAATACATATATTATTTTTTGTATTGCGTTATTATTGTATTTATATTATTTAATGTTATTTTACGTGATTTGATATACAAATAATTACATTCTAGATTATGTTGTATTTGCGGTATTGGTATTGAACCAAATCCAGCAAATATGTGTGTAGCATGTCTACGAACTCAAATAGATGTCACTGAGAGTATTCCTAAACAAGCAACAATTCATTTCTGTAAAGGCTGTGAAAGGTAACACAACATAACACAATTTATACATATAATACATTCTCTCTTTTTTGATATTTAAGCAATATAAATTGAAAATAAAACTAAAAGAAAGTTTTATATAAATGTTATATCAAAGATAAAATCTTCACGCAAGATAAACTATTGGGCATTAGTGACATAATATCATATATCATATATCATAATATATACTACAGATATTTAAGTAAACATTTGATAACTTTATCAGATTCTATTTAATGATCTTACCTGTTACATATCTAGAATCTATTTTGTCACATCTAATTGTGAGAAACATAAAAATATATTGAATTAATAAAATGTTTCTCATTTAAAATACTGTTTCATTCAATTTCATTTTTCAATAAAATTACGAAATGATCCAAATGAAATGAGGCTTTTAAAAATATAGTATTATAATTATTACTGTCATAAAGTATTAAAATAATAACAGTAATGTTATGAAGAATTTAATACCCTTTAAAAAATTTAGGAAATTTCTTATATGTTTTTTCAATTATCTTTTCCAAAATAAAAGAAAAAGTTTAATTATTTTAGATATTTACAACCACCTGCCGAATGGATTCATGCTGCATTAGAATCCAGAGAGTTATTAACATTATGTCTAAAAAGATTAAAGGGTCTAAATCGAGTGAAATTAATCGATGCTGGGTTTGTATGGACAGAACCTCATTCTATGAGATTAAAGGTATTTATTATTTAATAATTTTATTACGAAAAACTCATTTTTTTATTATATTATATTTTTAGGTAAAATTAACAGTACAAGCTGAAGTTATGAGTGGAGCAATTTTGCAACAAGTATTTATAGTTGAATATACTATAAATCATCAAATGTGTAATGATTGTCATCGAACAGAAGCTAAAGATTATTGGCGTGCATTGGTGAGATTCATATTATATAAAGAAATGTAAAAACTTGTAATGTCAATAAATCAGTACAGTCATGAATGCGATTACATTAACGAATCTCTTAAGCTTTATATTGTTTCTATTTAATATATATTGATTAACTATACAATAAGAGCAAAGTAAATGTAATTTGTAATAATAAAATTATTTTCTCTATTTACAATTTACAGGTACAAGTGCGACAAAGAGCGACAAATAAAAAAACATTTTATTATCTAGAGCAATTAATTTTGAAATACAAAGCACATGAACAAACTTTGGGCATAAAACCTATTCATGGTAAGAAATCTGAATTATTTAAAAATATTAAAAAATAAATTGCAAAAGAGTTTAAATCTTTTAACTATTAAGTAATAATAATCTGTAATTAATTATGAACGTTTGCAGAAGGTCTAGATTTCTTTTATACAAATGAAGCGACAGCACGAAAAATGGTTGATTTTCTTTCAAGTGTTATACCTTGTCGTTATGATCATTCCAAAAAATTGATATCACATGATATCCATAGCAATATTTATAATTATAAATTTACATATAGGTAAGAGTCATATGTATTAGTATACTATTTTAAAGAATGCTAAATATGAGTATTTTTATTACTCCTTACTATATATATATATAATATAGAATTTATAGTATATAGGGACATTTTAGATAAATTTACTATTATTAAAACAGATTTTATAATAAGTTTTATTTTGAATATATTTTTTAATTAAAATTATTCTTTTTATGAATATAATAATGTAATACTAAATTAAAATTGTATAATTGTCTTAAAAACTACTTTTATCATATGAATAACATGTCAATATGTCATCTGTTTTATTAATGCAATTATATTGATAATAATAAAGTTCTAATTGCGATTTGAATAATGTATAATATATTTTCATTTATAGTGTGGAAATAGTTCCAATATCAAGAGATAGCGTAGTATGCCTTCCAAGAAAATTAAGTCATCAACTTGGAGGAATAAACGCAATTTGTCTAGTATATAAAATTACAAATTTTATACACTTAATGGATGTAGCAACTGGACAAAGTATGTATGGTTCTCTATATTTATTTATCTGATTTATAAATTACAATTAATACAATTCACACAAAATGTTATTTATTTGTTTAGTTGCAGAGTTAAATGCTACACTTTACTGGAGACATAGTTTTAATAGTATTTGTGACCCAAAGCAATTGATAGAATACACAGTAATGGATATTGAACAAATAAAATACAAGGATATAAAATTTTTCCCTGGACAGGGAACTATTTCACATAAGGTATTAAATAATTGTAATATTTCTTTCTAAAATATAATAGTTGCAAAAAAAAGATGTTTTCAAGCTCAAAATGAAATTTTAAATTTATGATTATAAATTTTTTTGTATATTACGATTGTTTGCAAAAGTTCATGCCCAATTTGAAAATAAAACACAAGCGATTACATTTTAAAGTAAAGAGTTTTATTAATCAATTAGTCTAGATTAAAATCATTTCAAAATTTATGAACACGGTCTAAATAAACGTTTTTGTTACAATTCCAATACTCACTCCTTCTCGAAATTCATATTACATAATATGTCAAAAATATAATTTTTCGTCCTCCATATTTAAAAGTTTCTCTCACACGTAACTTAATTCAACGACGCCTGATGGCATAATGCTCACGCCATCTCTGAAAATCAGGCACGAACTTTTGTATTTACCCAATGTTATAAATATTATTATAAACAAAATTTAAAGTGAGAAAGTAAAAAGAATATATTTCTTTATAACATCACTTTTAGACGAAATAAATCTTGAATCACATCTTTTTTATTTCTAGCATGTAATAGCAGATGTGTGGGTGGTTAGAAGTTCGGACTTAGGATTGAACGAAAACTTAATTCATACACGCAGTCATCTTGGTCATATATTGAAACCCGGTGATACAGTTCTAGGGTAAAAAATAATATAATAATATGTAATAAATATAATTAGTATATAATATATATAAAATTAAAAAATTTAAAAATAACTTATATTTAGGTATGCTCTTAGTGAGAGTAACATTAATGATGAGAATTTTGAAAGATTGAATAAAGACGTAATACCAGATGTAATTTTAACAAAAAAGAATTATACACAAGATAGAGCAGCGCGTCGTAGAATGAGGGCTTGGAAATTAAAACATATGATAGAAGATAAAGACAGTATAGCTACAGATAATAAGTAAGTTATATAATATTTTATTTAACAATAATCATCTTAAGTATTTAAAAGTGAATATCAAATAAAATTATAACAATTCTAGTCTTTTTAAAATTATATTGAAAAATTAAATTTATAATTATAACCTGTTTTAGTGATTATTATGAATTTTTGGAAGATATTGAAGAAGATCCAGAAATGAGACAAAATATAAATATTTTCAAAGATCCTAGGAAATCTATTCCAGTTGATACCAATGAATTATCTGATCCTAGTTATCCGCAAATTAGTCTTGAAGAAATGCTCGAGGATCTCTCTATTGATGATATCGAAATACCTCATGTTTTATAATAACGATTTGAATAAAATTATGTATTATTAATTTTGATATATAATTTTTTAAATTGTATATTATTAATTTTTTAAACTTAAATTAATTTAAGTTTAGAAATTATAAGGCAAATAAATTAGTTTGTTACTCGTTATTTTTATTGTTTAGTAGTTCTATTTATCTGTTGATGGAGAGAGGGAAAGAGAAAGTGCGCGCGTGTGTGTATGTATGCAATATTAAATGTAATATTAATATATATCTTCAATTAATTAATCTTTTCAATATTAACGCCGATTTTAATTGGAACTTGATTTTGCACTGATTTATGTAATAATTGTTTTCATTCCGTGTTCTATATAGAACAACAGCTTTTGCTTTTTGTTATTGTTTTGCTATAAAATAAAAAAAAGTTTCCATTTATTATTATAGAACGATTACAATAGTCTATCAGTTGAAATTATTACAAAAATTTGGCAGAGATATTAAAGTATCTTCTATTATTTTATTCTAAAGAAAGCTAAATTGACAATGATTGAACAATAAAATTTAAAAGTTCATTTTACATATTCTTACTTCATTTATTTGTGCGATATATTCTTATAGAAATAAATTATTCGAATATTTATTCAAATAAATTTTCATAAATTTAATAATTTCTTATTCAATGAAATATTTAATTCATTATTGACGAATAAAATTTTATTATTCGACTCGGATTTTGCTTAACTCTGCATAAAAGATTACATAAATAATATTTTGTTTTAAAAATATGGAATTAAATTGGAATTTAATCTTATTTATCAAATATATTATCAATTATTATTCTAACTGCACTAAATAAAAAAATGTAAAATAATATAACAATAACTTCAACTATTGTTATAGAACTTTCTTGTTCTTGAATCATAATGCATTTTTATAAATTTTATCCATGCAATGGTCATTTCTTACAAATGCATTATCTCGTGTGATATAGCATACATTTCAAATCCTCACGTGTTTATTGATATACATCATCAGCGCAATTTCTGATTAGTCATTCGTTCTTGATTACTCATCGTCCACACTTTTCAACTACATTATCCAAATCCAATTTTATTTCAAAAATATCAAATATAAAATGTAATATTCAAAAATATCAAATATAAAATGTAATTTTCATTGATGAAATTAAAGAAATAAATAAGAATTTTAAAGATTCAGTTCGTTAAAGTATTTGTCTAGGATTTGTAGGTAAACTGCAAATAAAAAGTACTCAATTGATCTTTTGAACGGTTTATAAAATTTACTTAGTTAGATTCATCTTTTTAAGCCAAAAAAATTTGGTGCCTGTTTTATCATATAAATCAACGTGAAAATAATATTGATATTTATCATTATCAGACCGGAAATGCAATCAGACTGATATGTTGACATTATATTAAAAAAGTAAAGAATGATTTGATTGATTTTTTAAAACTTTTATTCTCCTTATTCTTTCCATCATATATATATGTATATGATGAAAAGAATAAGGAGAATAAAAGTTTTAAAAACATCAATCAAATCATTCTTTACTTTTTTAATAATAATAATAATAATAATTATATATATATATATATATATATATATATATATATATATGTATTAAAATGTCATTCTGTTCTTCCTCTAAGAGACAGATTTTTTCTCATGCAAAATGTCTCCCTCTAACAGCGAGAAATGTAGAGATTCCTCGTGTTCCAGATAAAAAATAAAATCTTCCATTTCAGTACTTTGTGCATTAAATAAAAGTTTCATAGTACTTTATATATAACTAATTTATTAATTAACTATTATATATATTTATATATTTATTTATATTATATACTAATTTATTAATTAACTTTATATATAACTAATTTATTTAAATGCATTTAATTTTAAAGATCACAGAACAATCTACGACTGTTTTTTCTTCATATGCGTATTTTGATTGAGTACAGTACATAATGATAAAATTAATTATAAAATTATCTGTATCATTCTTTATGTCTTGATCTTATACATATCATAGACGTAGAAATTAAAAATAATTAATATTTATTCGACGACTACTCGAAAATATTGATAATGTTTAACGCATGAAGCTACGATTCTGTCCTTGAAATCTCCCTCTTCTCTCTTCCAGATTGAACAATACCAATCAAGAGTACATTGAGAAGATCTAAAGAATTTCGACTTTTATTTTACCATAATCATCAGATTGTATGCAAAAAAAATTAATATGTTCAATATAATTAAATTAAAGATATGATTACATTCCTCTTAATGTTGTTTCTCATTAATGTTAAATATTTAAATATTAGCAGCTATTATCATTAGAATGCACATACAAAAAACATTAATAGACAGATTAATTTTTAATGTTTAATAATCTTTTTTATGTACAGTGATAATTCTTTTTACAATCTTTTTTGTGTACAATTTGATGATAATAGCTAATAATTATATTTGAGTATTTAAGATTAATAAGAGGCATCATTAAGAAATATAATCATATCTTTTGAATTATCTCTGATTAAGAAATCATTGTGAAATAAATCATATGCAAACAAATATTAAAATACGCCAGAAGATAAATTCAGGATATTGTCATGTTTTGAGTTTTCTATAATTAAAAGCAACAATGTAAAATATAAAAAATATCCTATAATTACAATAAAATAAATATATTTCGTTGTAATTAAAAACACATTGCTAAGCATAAACTATGTTAAACAATATACTAATAAATTAAACATAAACTACAATGAACAATTTATTATTAAACTCGTATGTAACAAATTTTAAATTTAATTTTTTTTTTACTATGTTAATAAAAATATCTACCACGTTTATAAAAATATAATCTTTTTCAAGTAATTATTAAATAAAATTATATTTGTAATCCTTTGAGTGCGAACAGCGCCTACAGGCGTTTAACTGGGGCCGCTCTCTTGTGGGAACAGCGCCCGATACAAAATACTCGCGTACAACAATATTAGTGTAAAACAATAAAGAAACTAATTTATTTTAATTATTAAGTACGTATCGTGTCTTGTACGCGATAACTTGTAATAGCAAGCACCGTGAATATTGTAACTTCTAGTGTCACGTTCTCTAGTTAAAGTTAAACTTTATTGTTGTTAAATTTACAAACAATTACAAATATTATTATTATATATATAGATATATATTTCGCCAATGTAGAGTAATATTATTTATAAAGGGAAAGAATTAAATTTTCATTGATATTATGTAATACTTAGCCATCCGAAACTCTCATAAATATTAGATCTGCTAATTGAACTAAAATTATTTATTAACATTATTATTATGTTATATTAATATTATTTATTATATACATAACAAATAGACAACTTTTAAAGCTAATATTCTGATTGAATCTACTGTGAGCTCATAACTATTTCACTATTGAACTTTCTGTATTTAATTCTTATATTTAATAAGATATTTAATAATCTGCTCTCTTTGTCCACGATAAGAAGATTAGACGGAAAGAATAATCTAAATGAAAAATGAAAGTTATCTTTAATAACTTTCACACTAACAAAGCTGATGCATTAGCACATAATACGATTATCCGATTATAAAATGGTATTCGATGAACTTTTTATATCAGTATAGTTAAAAATGAAATTTCAAATGAAAAAAAATGAAAAAAGGATCTAACTTTTTAATTTATTTATTTCTTTTTATGTCATCATTTCAATTCATTAAAAATTAACCGATTTATTAAAAATTTAAAATGTCGATTTTAAGTATTCATATTAAATTGAATTAAATCATATCATAAACACACAAAAGTCTTTATCTTTCTCTTTGTTTAAGTTTCTCAACCTTAAGGAATTTATTCAGATTTCTCAATCCCAGTCATTGAGAAATGTACATCCCAATATTGCGATATCTATCTGTTAAAAGAACTGATTCAAAAGATAAAGAGAAATGGAAATAGTTGGAAACACATCGAATTGCGCGCAGTGTAAAAGACAGTGTTCACGGAAAACAACAGAAATGTGGTTTCAACAATTAATTTTGAGTATATTAGTTTTGAGTGTTAGTGGTCTCGCCCAGAATTCAGAAGGTAAAGCAAAATAATTGGTTTAAAATATGAAAATAAATTTCAAATAAAATTATTTTTAATTTTCAATTAAGATGACAAATTTTCACTAATCAGATATCTGATTTGTATAAATGATAGTATTAAATTATACTTAATTACATAATATGCAATTAGAATTATGTGTAATTCAATAATCTTAATGTCTAAATATCATAAATCTAAATATCGAATTTTTTCCACCAATTGAAGTTAAAAAGAATTTTCTTTAAATTATTCAATAAAGATTTATTCGTAAAATTTCGCCATATGTTATAATAAAAAATAACAAATTGATTCATTAACAGATATAGACGTAAACTTGTTTTCAAATGAGATTGAATTATGGACGCAGTTGCACCATGAAAGAGAATTATTCAAAGATATGATAAATTCTTTGAAAATTCCTACAGAACTACAGAACTCTGACTGGAGAACATTTTCAGCAAATGCAGGCTCTAAAATATGTGTGTTATGTCGTGGAATTTTGAGAACGTTTATCAATTTACGACGTAAAGGAATGTCTGAAGAAGATATAAGAAATAATATAATTAAATTATGCATACTGTTTAATATTCAAACTGAAAATGTTTGCAAAGGAGTTATTGAATTAAACTTGGTAATATAATACTTGTATTTAACTAAATTTACCAAAATATTATTGTATAAATTGTTCTAATTTCTTTTATTATTTCTGTAGCCTATCATTTTATACATCATCGATTCTAAACCAAATTTGACGGCTGCTACAATTTGTGGTGTGGTCCTAGAATCAAAATCTTGTCCCTTGACTGATCCTGAATTTGACTGGATTATTGATGTTAATAACAATTCTCACGCAGTTACGGAAAATGAAACGCAAGAAGAAATAAAAATTCTACATATAACAGATATTCATTATGATCCTCTCTATGAACCGAATGGTAATTCCAATTGTGGAGAACCACTTTGTTGTCAAAAAGGACAAAATAAATCTGATATGACTTCATTCGCTGGCTTTTGGGGAGATTATAACTCTTGTGATACTCCATGGCATGCGATCACTGATGCTTTAGAGCACATGAAAGATACACATCAGGTATTAATGCTACAATTAATTTAGAAGATAAAGAAAAAAATTAATTACACATTTAACCCGAGATTACCCACGTGGGGGTCTAGTCGCCGGGATGTACCTGCGCTAGACCCCCAGGTGGGTAATCCCGGGTTAATCTAATACTCTTAAAATCTTATTTAAAATATACATACTCTAAAAATCTTACTTTTACATTTTCTTTTACTTTGATATGAATCTAAATTATTATAGATAACGTATCATTTACAAAAAGAAATTAGATATGTTTTAAAAATTAATTTTATGATAAATTGCAAGTATTTTAAAATGCAGGTTTATATTATATTTTAAGTAAAATTTGATTTAATTCCTAGGGTATAGATTTTATATACTTCACTGGCGATATCATAGATCACGGAGTATGGGAAACTTCAGAAGAAGGAAATATACAAAGTCTTACAAAAATTTATGACTATATTCATAGTGTTTTTAATAATACTATAATATATCCAATACTTGGAAATCATGAATCAAATCCTTTAAATCAGTGAGTTTATTAAAATTTCCTATAAAATTTTTCATGATACACACAAAAAATATTTCATAATAGTTGTTATATATGTATACATATAAATTTATTTACAAATGATTCTACATAAATATTCTACATAAAAAATATATATATTATATTTTTTAAAATTTAATAGTTCAGATAATATTGACTTTAATTTTTACAATCAACAATTATAAACATAACTCAAAATTGATATAAATATAATTTGAATTCTTCTGACTAAAGATAAAACAATATATATAATCTGTTTATCTACTATATTTTAAAATAAGTGATTCACTTCCTTAATTGTATTGTATTATAAATTTACAATATAATTAAGGAAGTGAATAACTTATTATATATAATAAATTACGTATTACAAAAATATTTAAAATATGCAAATGAATATTGACATAATTATAATTCATGATTTTCTAAATTATATATAGATTTGCACCAAAAAATATAACACAAGACAATTTAACTACAAATTGGCTATATGAATTAGTGGCTGATTTATGGATTGGATATGGATGGTTACCAGAATCTGCACGATCTACTATATCTCAAGGAGGATATTACACTGTTGTCCCCAAAAAAGGGTTTAGAATCATAACTTTAAATAGTAACGTGTGTTATTCCTACAACTGGTATGTGAAACAAATATAATTATGTTACTATACAAAATAAATTTTCAAAAAACTAGTAAAATTTTAAAATCGATTCAATTTTATAATTTATTTTGTGACTTACTTTCTCATAATTCTTCCTTCACAATTATTTTTTCTATACAGGTGGCTTTGGTATAATCCAAAAGATCCTGATAATCAATTACACTGGCTTGCAACTATTCTTTCTGAAGCAGAAAAGAACAATGAATTTGTACATATTTTGTCACATATACCTCCTAATAGTAATAGCTGTCTAAAAACGTGGAAACGAGAATATTTAAAAATAGTCAATAGATTCTCACATTTAATAAAAGCTCAATTCAATGGCCATACTCACAATGATGAAATAGCAATATTGTATAATTCTGATATGGAAGCAAACAATGTTGCTTGGAATGGTGGTAGTATAACAACTTACACAAAATTGAATCCAAATTATAAAGTATATACAGTAAATTGCAGAAATTATGTAAGTTATTTTTTATTTTATTTATGACATAATAAAAGATAAATTAAATTATAAAGTTATAAATTATAAATAATTGTAAATTTATTATAATTTGAAATAAAAATTCTTTTCTTATAGGAAGTAGCTGATTACCAAAATTGGATGTATGATCTCAGTTCTGCCAATGAAAATATCCATGCAAGACCAACTTGGTATAAATCGTATTCCTTTAAAACAGAATATGGTCTTCCAAATTTATCTGTTAAATCTTTAAATAATTGGCTTCCTAAAGTAGCAAAAAATGAAACACTAATAAACAAGTATTACAGGTAAATTTAAAGATTATTAAATATTGCTAAATCATAGTAATTTATAATAACTTATTTTATTATTGTAGGAATTTTTACAAGCAAGCTAAACCTTCTTTACAAGAAACTTGTGATATAAATTGCAAAAAGAAACTTTTATGTAGAGTAATTGTTCATTCAAAAAAAAAAATGCTATGCGATAACATTTTAACTTCTTCAGTACATGTTTTATAAAAAAGAGTTATAAGTGCATAATATGTTTTTAATAAATAAACGAAATAAATTTTTCTCAATCTCAAAAATTATATTAATGATTTAAAATTATAAATAACATTACTAAAAATTATATTAATAATAATTTAAATGAATATATATTTGAAGCGTATATATGTGCATTTGGTGACTGTCGATTTTAATCCATAATATGGTACTGAAGAGACTTAAAGAATTAAATTATTATAATTGAAATAAGAGATCAAATTTTTTAATATAATAAATTTAATACATTTGTAATATGAATTTTACCTAATTAAAATTTACAAATTCTTAATAGTATTCATAAGCTTTATTTAATACTTTACAAATCTACCCATTTCGCTATTGATTTATCGAAAACTTTTTCCGATGGAATTTTATCAAACGCATTAATCTAAAAGAAAAATAATCAAGTTATTATATAGTATTTCATAGAAAACAATAGTACTTTCTAATTACCTGTTTTCTAACATAAATTAAAAGTTTCTCTAGTTGTTCAGGATCGTTACACTCTAAGACAAAAAACCTTCTCCATAATGCACTAGCTAGAACTTTGTCATCTGACATAATGCCTTCATCATAACCAACTATAGCTGCATTAAATTGATATGATAAGTCCAACAGTTGTTTCTTTTTTGTTTTTTCAGTCATTGGCTAGTAAAAAAAAAGTTATAAACATTTTATACTAATTCATTACCAAGTATAAAATTTTATGGAATAAGATTAAAATTAGAATAGAAATTAGAAATATAAAGCTTAAACATAGAAGGTTAAATTGAAATAGATCAAAAATAGATAATAATGCATAATTTATTAATTACTTACACCAAGTAGACCTATTCTTATAGTAATATCTTGCCACATAGCCTCAACCATATTTTTTACAACCAGTTCACCCTTTTTTCCTTCGGCCATAAAACGTACCATTAACATCCAAACATGCAGTTCTGTGATTAGGAACCATGAGAAAAATGTATCTGACATATTGAAACCTAATAAATAAAAATAATGTCAAACTATTAAATAATTATATATAATTTAATAAACTATTAAAATTATTATATATAATGAGACTATATCAAATCAGCAAGAACTTAAGAGTAATGATGTACCTTTGAAAAATATTGAATAATTAAGTCTGTCAGGAATGTCATCGTATAAGTCATAACCCAATGCACTTAATCTCTAAAATACAAAGGAATATAAATAGGATTACATAAATATTAAAAGTATATATAGATATAGTTTTGAATAAAATTGATGATGAACAATTTATACTTACGTATCTTTGTTTATAGAGATCAAATCTATGTGACAAGTTTTTAATTACTCCAAATTGACTTACTGATTTGATTACATTTTTGGATACTTGTGCATTTTTATGAAAATAACAATACTGAGGTCTAATTAAAATATTTCTATCACTTTTATCAATGAACTTACATCTTGTTATGTACTTCAGTGTTGACAATAATGGTATCTTTCATCACAAATTAGTTCACATCATCCATTAGAAAGAAGAATTTAATTAATTAGATATCATAAATATAAAATACAAAATTACAATTAAATTATTTTTTATTATTAATGAAGTAATAAAATACAAATAAATAAATAAATAAAATATATGAAAGATATAAATTTATAAAATATACTTAAAAATGCATATAATAAACTTTTGTATATTATTAAAATTTATACATTTGTAGATTTATAAAGTGAGTATGCTGTTAACAATTGATTACATAGGACATGGATATAAATTACTATAATGCATGTCATTGTCAAAATTAAATGAATAAATAAATCATAAAAATATATAAAAGGGCAAAAGTAACAAAAAAAGTTATTACATATTATAACATAAGAAATTAAAATCATTTACTATTTTTAGCTATTAGCTATATTATAACCTCCATTATAAATGAAAATATGAGATTTAACAGTTACCGTTCTTACGCAGTGCATCATCCTGTTATATATATTTAAACTTTGTAATACAATATAAAAGACATTTAGTTTTTCAGTTTTTAAATTGAGAAAATTACAACCCCTACGTGTCTTTCAAATACAGACATTTTTCTCCACATGTGTTCTCCACATCTGAACACAAATCGCGGCAATATTTGAAACTATCGCGTTGCGATATGAACTATGATTTTACTAAAAGATATTTCTTTGCAAGTGATATTTAATTTGGATATTTAAAAGTTATTAATCGTTAGAAATTTATTGTATGCTAAAAATTATAAATAGTTTTTTTAAAATGATAAAAGTCTTCTATTTCTCAATATGTAATGATAATTTTGATAATTTTGTTTTATATATAAGCTTTCTTGGATGTATGTATTTGTAATATGTTCCACTTTTAAGTTTTCAAACATTGACAAAATAAAATGGTACATTAGTTATAATAGGTACATCTAGGCATAATTATGAATTATGTTTGATAAATAAATAAAATTAAATATTCAACATTTATAAGATAATTTATAATTCAATTATCTTATAAATATATATTATTTTTCCTATTCACTAATATTCTTTTATGCAAATATTTTCAGAATCATTTTGATGTTTCAGATTCCTTCATACATATTCAATGGAGTAAAATGTCAAAAAATATGACAACATTTTCAAATTTCAACATATGATTATGTTAAAAAAACAATTATTTTCTTTTAAATTCAATATATCTAAATTTCTAAATTTTTTTCAAAATGCATTACTTCTTCAATGAAGTATAAAGATTTTAACTGACTTGCATAGAAATGTATTATCTTTTGAAGAAATTAAAAGTTCTTTACAATCTCGTTATGTATATCCTATTATGTAAATACATGAATATTACACACATGCATATTACGCAATTGCACATCAAACAACTACAGGTTTAAGAATATTCCTAAATGAAGTCTCCTTCATTTCCTCTTATTACTTTTCTTTTATTTGATTAAATAGTATTACAGAATAGAAGTTTACTTTTATTATTAACTGCAACAACGTGTACAATTGTTAATTAACAGCAACATAATGTATGATAAAAGTTTAGGAATAAATGAAAAAACTTTCAACTAAACTTTTAGACTTGGAAAAACTCTAGGAATATGTAACAAAAAATTCCGTTTGATCTATTGTTTTAAATATAATTTATAGATTAAATTTACTAAACTTCAATATATCTGATAATTAAAAATGTATTTAGTATTGCAAATATATTAGTTATTATAATTTATAATATAGTTATCAAAATTTTAACAAGAAATCGCTAATGACGCATATACGTGATCGATATAATTTTAAATAACCCCTTTATAAAAAAAACATGTATGATATGAATTATTGAAATAGTATATATTTGTATATATTTTAACTTCATACATAATAATATTAACTATAAATATATGTGTATTTTTAAACGGATATTTACTTTTTTTCATATAAGTTATGATAAAAAATTTTATTTATCTAAAAAGTATGAATTACTTTAGTAAAATTTGTAACTATACTCATAACTTACAATTTTTAAGTTAATATTTTAAAAATAAAAATTTTCAAATAAAGTAGTTTTCATCAAATAATAATTTAAAAATGATAATAATGATGATAATTTAAATAAATATAATATGTTCTAAATTACATATGTTAATATCTGAAATATGTATGAAATAAAAAAATTTTCTTAAGATTAAAAAAAAAATGTGTCACAAAATTTAAAAATATTATATAAATAACACAAATATTACAAATATTAAACTACAATTCAATTATTACATAAAATCTCCAATTTGAATAGAATTTTTTGTTAGTAAAAATTAAATAAATTTTAGACACATTAATGAAATTGAGAATTTCCAATTAGCCTATGTAACTTGAAATGTCAAGCTCAAAATTTTAGGCAGTAGCATTTACGACAGTAGTTATGTTCTAAAGTATTGATATAAATATACATATATCACATACATTTTTCTTATTAATATTTTCCTATTATTAGGAATTAATAATTCCTAATTATAGATTTTTGATATGACTTAATTGTTAATAATAATTTAAAATTCGTAGGTAAAGATTTACGCATGCGTTTTTACATGCTTATCTGCATTACATAGTGACTGTGTTAAAGGGAGCAACTAAACTATACAAATAAAATGTAAATTATATAAAGAAAAAAAAAAAAAATTGCAAAAATATAAAGCTCTGTCAGAATGTATTCCACAAAAACACCCACTTTAAGAATCGACGAGGCTGATCTCAAATGCAAAAATGGTTGTGGATTTTACGGAAACGCAGAATGGGAAGGTTATTGCAGCAAATGTTATCGGGAATATTTACAAAAACGGAGATCGCAGACAGAATGTAATGTTTATGGACAGGGATACGATTTGTACGTTGATTAATTTATAATCGAATTCACTCCAGCAAATTTTTTTACTTTTGAAATTCATTTCATATTTGTATGTAAATATAATATAAATTTTATAAAATATTTGTATCTTTTTCAAAAATCTCTTCTGATAACAATTACATTACAGCGAAAGAAAAGTTAAGATAGATTTACTTTTCAATTGACATTAAACACTTTATTAAGATATATTAATATTCTTTTAATGCTAATCTTTTTTACATATAATATATATACAGCATACAATTAGAAATTATACTTTGTACTTCAGTTTTGTTCTTTTACATTTGTGTCTCTAGCAGTTAGATTTTTATTGCCTTAACATAACGTCTTATTCGTTCCTTTTAAAAGCAAATAATTTAGAATATTTCTCAAATATATAATAAGAAATATTTTATTTATTAAAAGAAATACATTATATATATTATTAATAGGTATTGTTACGTTATGAGTAACATTATCAATGTTTCAGGGCTTCTTCCAATAAAAATACAATTAGTGCACATCAAAAATATGAGGAGAAGAAAGTACAACAAGAAAAAAAGTATAAGTTATTAAATATATCTTTTCGCAAGCCAGTTACAAAAGGTACATTTATTATATTATATATAGTTTTGTATTTAACTTCTGCAAAATTTTGTTTCAATATATATTAAGAAATATGCGTTATATTATTACTTTATTCATATTTTTTTTATTAGACATCTACATTTTTGTACAGAAATATTATTATTCTGAAAGTTTTGATTTTTTTAATTAGTACAGGGGTACCAAGAATTGCTTTATGAATTAACAAAAGATAATCCTGACCTTGAAAAAGTAAAAGCAGACAATCGTGATTTAATAGCCATGATTGCTAAAACACCAGTAGAAAGAGATGTTAGAAAGTGTATGCATTCATTTATTATTGAGATACTTCAAAATAAAGATGTGAAAAGAATAGAAGAGCTTTCAGAGATTACACAAAATTTTTATCAAGTATTTGCGAAACGTTTAGAAAATAGTGCTAAATATACAGGTACTTAGAATATAAATTCAAATTGAGATAATTTGAACATTAACAAATTAGTTTATTGAAAGTTATAAGATAAATTTGCTTTATAAATGTTTTAGATATAACACCAGAAGTTAAAGAAAAATTATTGGATTATGTAGAAAGATATGCGATGACTCTACTCTACAGGATTCTTTTTTGCCCACCATTTACAAATGATGAAGAAAAAGATTTAGCAATACAAAAAAGGTAATAAATATATAATAAAAATATACAAAATAAAATGACATCTATAATAATTACAGAATCCGACAATTGAATTGGGTTAGTGGAAAAAATTTGGAATGTCGAATACATGAAACTAGCTCTGAAGTTAGAGAACTAGTTTATACTTCCATAACTGGTTTGTTTTTACAAACTTTAAATTTCAATGATTAAATGTATAATATTTATTAATCAATTATTTGAAAATAGATTTCTATTTGTTGTAGATTTATTAAATATGGATTCTGCTAAAGCTCCACAAGAAAAACTTTCGTGTGTTATTTATTGTTGTCGAAATATATTTCTAATGTTACAACAATCTGTTGGTGGACCTGCATCTGCAGATGAATTTCTTCCTGCCTTAATTTTCATTGTTCTAAAAGCTAATCCTGCTCGTCTTAAAAGTAACATCAATTTTATTACTAGGTTTTGTAATGCAAGTAGATTAATGACGGGGGAAGGTGGATATTATTTCACAAATTTGGTAAAATTTATTTTATTTATGAAAAACATTATGAAAAACATAACTATTTTATAATAAAACAAGTGTAATAATCTTCTAGTGCTGTGCCGTATCTTTTATTGAAAATTTGACAGCTGAATCATTAAATATGGATGAAAAAGATTTTAATGCTTATATGTCTGGAGAACGTGTACCTGCTAATACATGGGAATCTGCTTTAATGATATGTGAAGTACGTATTACATCTTTCTTTAATAATAATTATTAGATACTTTTCACAATTTGTTTTAACATATATACAGAGTTTGCACCTAATGTGTGAAGATATAACACTTCTTGATGAAATGAAAGCCAAAACTACAGAAATAATGACAGAGGCATTAAATTTAAAAGAGAAGATGTTACAATTTCAAGAAGAAATGAAATCAGAAGTAAATACGGTTTTAGACAGAACTCCATTGTTAATTACTCATAGCCAAAGATTACCTACTAATTTAGATTGTGAAGATATTGAAAGTTATCAATTACCACCTCCCATTATTCCACAAGTAATATTTTTAAAATTTTCATTTATAAATATATATATAATTATAAATTTATTACAGTTATTTATAGTTATTTATTATTAAATAGCTATTTATGATAAATTGTAGGTTTGTCCTACCACAATTAATAACTCAACACCACAAAACGATATGAGAACCTCTTTAATAGAAGATTGCATTACACCATCTCCTACTTTTGATTTTCCATCTTTCATTGGTGATGATAGTTTTGATGTAAGCAAAGCAGAGGATGAAACGAGTCTTATAAGTTTAGATACACAAAGTGATTTTGATACACAACAGGACAAATCAACAAATGAATTACTAGTGTCTACTCATTTGAATTTGCCATGTTCTACGGAATCAGAGCAAGAAGATTATCATGGATTCACTGTGCAAGGTTCAAATATACCTACAATTCCTTGTAGTACTGGAGATTTATCTTTAAATACCACAGAAATGGATTGTGAAAATTATACAAGTTATTTCCATAATACATAGAAAAATTTTATTTTAATCGAAATTCTTAAAAAAATGTTGCTTAATTAACAGAATAGATTATGCAATATTATATTATTGAAATTTTATATGCAACATCTACTAGATGATTTTTGTTATCAGAGTTACTTCATCATCTTGAATGTTAATGTAAAAAATGTAAGTTCTTGTAAAAATGCATGATTTTGAACAAAAATAGAATATTTCGTTAAAACTAAATGAATAATGAATAGAATATATTGGTATATACCAGAACTATACCTGCACCTGTGAATGTGTTATAGGTTTGACAAAATGTTTGGTAAGATAGGTGCTCACTACATTGATACTTGTATTCTTGAAAATATGAGTTACTTCTTATATGTATGAGTTGATTATTTATCTCTATAATATGAAAATATAAATTGCTATAGATAATTGTTTATACAATTAAATCAATGTATAAAATTATTACATTTTGCTTACTTTATTAGAAACTAAATTTGTTTTAAATAAAATTCTTTTTATGAAAATATAAAAATAATGCATGATAGATTTTTTAATTTAATAATAATTTAATAAAAATTTGTAATTTTTAAAAAGTATTTTAAAACTGAAAGTGATGAAGTACTCCTGTTTTAAAATTTATGTTTAGCACAACCTTACAAAAATCACTTAGTAGATATTGCATACTAGAGCAAAAGCTTTAATTTATTGGATAGTATTATTAGACAACATATATTAATATATATTACATATACAATGTAAATTATTTAAATTATTTTAATCCTACAAAAATCTGTCCTAATAAAATAGAAGAAGAATTTTTATTGAAAAGTTAATTAAATTATACCTATACACATTTTTAATACACTATTATTTAATTTTAGTAATTAAAATAAGAAGAAAATAAGAGGAATTCTTCTTAAGGTACTAAAATACTTAGTCTAGTTATTTTACAGTATAATTATTATTTTAAATATTTTACAATATTTTAATCTATAATTAAAAATATATCAAATTTAATACATAAAACTTCTCCAATATAAGTATAAAGGAAGTAAATGATCTTTTCTCTGTAGTTTTGCATTAAAAACATCAAAGTCTGCTTTCCTTAATTCATTTAAATATTTTTGTAAACAAATTATTGGCAAGAATATTAAATTCGCTTCCTTTCCCACATTATGTTTAAGAGAAATTGTCTAAAAATAACAGAACTTTTATATTAAAATATAAAATATCAAATATAATATTTTTCTTTTTTTTTTATTAATCCATTAGAGATGTTTGATATATACTTACAGCATCTAAATGTAATTTCCCCTGAGAAGCTACATCATATATTACATCACAGAAATTTTTACTTGATTCACCCTGTAATACAGCCTCTGCAGAAACATTATGTTTCATTAAAATATCTTGTGGTAACATGTTTATTCTTTTACTGGCATTATATGGAACTGATCGGACTAAGTTAATAATGCCATGTGCCTTGCCCATATGACTCGCAGCATGATCAGCATTAATATTATTTACACCATGTGCTTGTAGAAGAAGATAATAAATGGAAGAGTTACTATATTCTGCATATTTTTCTATTGCACTCATATCTTGAAATGAATAGTCTCGAATCTTTTCTAGTCTTATATCAATTAAACGTTTAAAATAATGTTTAGAAAGAGGATGTTCTTCTAAAATCTGCAAAGATTTTTCTTAAAGTTGTTCTTATAGTTTGTCAAGTGACAACGCAAAAAAAAACTGGCAGAATAAAAATACAAAATTATTCTCACTTTGTGTAACTCCAACATAACAGGACTTCTTGGAGGGTTTCCTTTATATGTATTGTTTAATGCATCTGTCCAAAACTGTAATCTCATCTCTCCTATTTTATAATCACTTACTTGATCCCTTATTTGAGAGATCTCAACATTAAATCCACGAATTGCAAACGCGCTTGCTTGGTATTTATTTGATAATAATAATGTGCACAAAAAATTTTCATAATCATATTTTCTGAAAAAAATCAAGACAATGAAAGAAATAAAAATTTATTAATGACTTTTTACATATATCTTTATTTGTTAATTGTTTTACAATTTATAAAAATTGAATTTTCTCCTAAGTAAATAAAATAAATAAAATATTTTTTCTCTCATCTGATTGTTAATTTATACAATAACAAATAATGTAAACACTTAAAATAACCATAATTTTCAATTGTTATGCACGTATCCATTATTATTAACTGTAAAATAATACCTAACTAGTTCGAAACAGTATGTAGCTGGTGTTTGTTTTGTCGTACTTGAATGCCTTATAATTTGCAATAACACGTGTTTAAAACAAAAATTTTTATTCATAACTAACATTTGTGTGGCGTTAGACATACTCAATACGAACTAATATAGACGTCTTCGATAGAATTAAACGAATAATATGAGAAACAAATAAACAATAATTGTTAATTAATGTAGTCGAATTTAACATTGACTTAATAATATATTGAGGTATGTTACGTTATGTCCTTATTATAATTATTTGGAACACATATTACAGTGTAAGAAATATTTGTATAATAAAAGTAAGAAATAAATAAATAAATAAATAAATTATTTATTCTTATTTTTTATGAGAATATTAATAAATATTCAGAAATTTGCGGAAAATGTACACGTGATAAATATATTTGCACAATTCCTTGTTGCACGATAGGTTAACTAGTATGAGTAGTTCAATTCAAGAATAGTTAACAAATGTAATGTGTAGAAAAATTCAAAAAAAAAGAAATATTGTAAATTTATATATAATAATGCATGGAATTGTAAATAGATACAGTGAAGGAAAAATTTTAAAAAACAAATCGGACAGAATTTAAAGTTACGTGCAATAAAAGTACCAGCAATACTTAAAAAGTTTGTTTTAATATCAACAGTGATATTATTATAATATTATATAATATTTTGTTAAATGAAAGATATCATAATAAAGTACGTAAATCAGGAAGAATCATTAATAATAGTTTACAAAAGAGTGTATTAGTTCACTCAAATAATGAAATTAAACAGTATCTTTATTATACATCCATATATACATTATATACTATATAAAAAAATTTGAATTTAATAGATAATGTACGATAAAAACAATATAAAGTGCATGGAGAAAAATACAGAGTAATTATCATTATATACATATAATTTTAAATATGTACATATTTAAATATACATTTTATATATAAAATTAATATTAATATTATAAAATTAATATCAATTTTGTATGTATTTAATTAAAGTTTTATTATGTTATTTAAATTATAACAAAAATTTTTCATTGATTTTGTGATGAAATTCAATTATAAATATCCCATAATGCTATGTATCCATCTTTTGCAGCTGTAGCCATTATCAATTTATTATTATAAGCTTTTATTCCTTCTGTAGAATAAATAATATCTTGTACAGTATCTTTATGTTGACATAAAACAGCTAATGGTTTTAAGGTTTTCCAAGAATATATTCTAATCCGGTTGTCCCATCCTCCAGTCGTCATAATTTTAGTATCAGGTCTAATTGTAATTACAGAAATTCCAGGATTTGTCAGAGTTATTTTATTTTTATTATGCAATAGATGATTAACTGATAAACTAAATATCTAAAAATGAAAAATTTATATCAATGTAGACCTAATTAGTTCTCTATTTATTAATTTAATGAAACAATTCTTTCTAGTTCAATTATTTGTTTTATTTTTTATGTTTATTTTTTTTACCTGTATATTATTAGAGGGACCAGCAATGGCCCCTTTTGATAATGTAGTATCAAAATCTAATGCCATTGGACATGCTTCTACTGTTAAAGAACTTAATATTTTATTTTGCCGAACATCCCATAGAATTAATTCTCCTGCTTCATAAGCAACTAAAACTTTTTCATTTTTTAGTGGTTTGATAGCCATTACTTCTCCTAAATTCTTGGAATTATGAGAATTCAATTTCAGTTCAGTATTAAAAGTATTCAAAGATAATACTCCAACTGCAGAGTCTTTAAGTGGTACAAATATTTCATTTCCAGAAAATACTTGAAACCTGTTATAAATAATTTAAAAATAATTTATTTTACGTAATAAATATAATGTCTTAACTAAATATTCGAAAAACTAATTTTAATACAATATATATAGATATAATATATACCTGCAATAGTGATAAAAATCTATGTTAATGGACTTAAATGCAGTCCATTGAGTTTCTGTTTTTTTATACATTTTGATTAAACCACATTTATGTTGTACAAACAAAGTATTATTGTTTAAGCTTTGCAAATTTAAACAAGAATCTTCTGATATAATTTGATATAATTCTCTATTTGTCTTTAACATAAAAGAATTATATTAGAAAATTTATTTTATACATCTAACAATGTATTTATGTAATAGTTTTTATGTTTCATGTGAATCTATAGAAAATTTTTAAAATCATTTAATGAGATACAAAAAAAAATTAAAATATTTTATTTACATTTAGATCCCAAATGTGAATGTTGCCTTTGGTAGTGCCTGCATAAAGATGTTCTACATTGGGAGTTATTTGAAAAAGAATGCAATTCACACAACCCATATCACCACGAAAAAGATATTTTGGATCCGGAGGAAGTGTCGCCATTGAAGTAAATTTTATATAAATTCACTACTGTAATGTTTGTAATAGTATAAATAAAGATTTTAATTAAAAGCTTCATTCAGTTTGATTTGGAAATATATATAAATGCACAAATTTATAGTAGTATAACAATTTTTAAAAAGGATTTAAAAAGGACATTTTTAAACGTGAATATTTATAAAAATAAATTTAATTTGTTTAACTGCAAACACTCACATAAAAATTCTTAGTATAAATCTTTTTGTAATATGTAATTTATATGAATACCTATATAAGAAAGAAACTTTGCAACTCAGCAATTCTTTCTAATTGCTAATTTTTTGAATTTTCATCATAGTTTATTTATTTATAAATAACTTTTTTAAGTACTTTTGTAGAATAATGTATTATTTTAAATAAAAATAATTACAAGCTAAATATGAGTAAACTAATGAACATTTTTATTTTTTACCAAATATGAGAAACTAAATGAATATTTTTATTCTTTTATTACATTTTATATAGTTTTTCAATAGTTCAATAATATTTCAATAGTTTTCAATAATTCTGTTCTTTCCTGTAACTTAAATGATATTAAATACTTATGAATTCCATTAAATATTTCATTATAGCTTTCATTTTGCACTCCAATAAATTTCAATTCTTCAAAGTTTGATATTTTTAGGTTATAGGAAAAATTTCCAAAATGCAACAAAATTAATATAAATAATATAGTACGTAGAAAAATTAACATGAATAATATAATAGATAGAAATTCAAACTATTAAAATAAACCTGTATAACTCTTTGATTTCATTAATAAACAAATAAATCTACTTCAATTCTGTTTACACTGATATACATGTATTCTGAAGTTTGTAAGCACACATTTTTGTATAAAATTTTCTTTTACGTACGCAAACTATAATATTAAAAATGAAAAAGAATAAAAATATTTATCTCGTTCTGGACTATAATTTGTTATTAATATTATTACAGACATATATATATACATACTATAATATAGTAATACAGTATAGTAATATACTATATAGTATATACATACAGTATAGTATACAGTAATATAGTAATAGTAGTATATAGTATAGTACACATATATATAGTATATAAAATATAATATAGAATATTAAAATAAAAAAATTGAAGTTGACACTTAGAAACCGTTGTTAAAAGTTACAGTATATACGCTAAACAACAGACAAAAATATACGCTAAATTATTTGACTTTCAACTATTTATTCGTTGTAAAAATATTTCGCAAGTCCTTTACGTATATATTTTCAAAAAGTGAAAAATTAATGACAAATGTAACTAAATAAACAAAAGTTTTTAACGCGTAACGTAAATGTTTGATTTACTCCTAGAATAACAATTGTTATTAATATTTACAAATATAATTATTACTGTTTACAAAATTAAATTTTCACAAATACTGATTGTCATCTCTTTACCAGATGAACATTTGTAAATGCATTTAATTTACAATGTACGGTGAAAATTTAGTGTACAAAAGTTTTCGTCAACATCACGTTCGGTCAAGCTCCGGCTTTGTTGTCAGACGCAAGGTATAGTGATGATTGGTTACGAGAACTGCTCGCTTCCGAGGAAGCGTCTGCTCAGTTAACAGTTTATATACGAGCGACGGTAGAACAAGTTTCGTATCTACTTTGAGCCAAGGGAAACGTGAGTTTCGATCGAAATTTGATGAGATTCTTTCGCGTGAAGCGCACGAGGAGTGGATCGATCGTTCGGTCATGAATAAAGATTGACGAACGACGCTTAGAGGTGCTTCACCGTGTAACGTCCGTGATTTAACCCCTTGCGTGTAAACTCTCTTCCGTTTACCGATAGAAAATGATCAAATCTCCCTGTGGTAAATGTCAGTGCGGGGTATTTTTTATAAGATATACATCTCCCTGTAAAACATCGTAGCCTGAAGATCCGTGAAGATCAATGACTGAGACAAGTAAATTGGCAAACGACGGACGTATCGGCTATGCCCGTATATGTCACGGACGTGTGCGTTAAGTGATCGAGGATCTTTTTACGATTTTTTTTTAGAATGGCTGTTATCAGTTTGATAATTATCCTGACTGCATGCTTCTTCAAACTTGTCCTGTTCTCTAATGGTGAGTAACATTCGGCGCTTTATTTTCTACATGTAGTAGATAACAGAGGTTATGAGAGGTGGCTCATTTGTAGCTCATGATCATGCCTGTTACAGTTTGTCTCTTTTATTGTTGTGTGCAGTGTGTTGATCTTCATTACATTTCAAACGTTTTAGTGCAGTTTTCGATGAGCTTCAAAGATTACTTTGCAACATCAAGTTAATTTTTTATCACTATTTATTAGTGTGTATTATAATTAACCAATTTGCTAAAGTTCAGCAATATCATTCAGTATTATGACTTACAATGTTACACTTGAGTCATGAATTTCAAATTTTGTATTTATATTTTGTTTAAATTTGTAAGAAGAAGACAGTAATGGAAATTGTTATTTTTAGGATCACCGACTCTTCTCTTTGTCACGCAAAAGGATATTAGGATGGCCAATGCTTCTCGTACTAATAAAGTAGTCACAATTATAAAAGATCTCTCTGAAGGCGCGGCGTTAGATTTTTACTTTGAGCATGAGTTGGTATGTTGGTCTGACAGTGGTTTAGAAATAATTCAGTGCATTCAGACAAATGGTACCCACACTGGTGAAAGGACGATCATCGTGAATTCCAGTTTAATTTCTCCTGATGGCTTAGCTTGCGATTGGTACACAGGAAAGTTATATTGGACAGATGGAGAGAAGAATAGAATAGAAGTGACTAGTATCGATGGACGTCACAGGAAAGTCCTCTTTTGGACAGATATTTATCAGCCAAGAGCTATTGCTCTTGTACCAATGAAAAGTATATTATTTTGGACCGATTGGGGCGACATACCTAAAATAGAAAGAGCTGCGATGAATGGAGATCCATCAACAAGAGAAGTGATTATTTCTGACGATATATTTTGGCCAAATGGTTTAACAGTAGATTATGAAAATGAGTTGGTTTACTGGGTAGATGGAAGACTTAAATTTATTGCGGTAATGGATTATTATGGAAGAAACAGAAGAAAAGTTATAGAACAGGGGTTAGATTATCCTTTTGCAGTGACGTTTTTTGATCACAAATTATATTGGACTGATTGGAAAACGTGGTGTGTACATTCGTATGATGTTCGTCAAAATCAGGCACATCCTAGAGAATTATTGCATGGGGAATATATACCAGGTGACATAGAAGTTTGGGATATTAGAAGACAACCATATGGGAATCATCCTTGTGAAAAAAATAATGGAAATTGTTCGCATTTATGTCTTTTAAGTATGACAGAACCTGGATATAGCTGTGCATGTCCTACAGGTGTGAAGTTAGTGGATAATTTAACATGTGCAGAAAGACCAGAAGAATTGTTATTGATAGTTCAAAGAAATGAAATTTGTCGAATTTCTTTAGATTCACCAGATTATACTAATTTTGTATTACCATTAACAGGTATTTAATAGCTATTCTATTAATGTATTTATTTATTTTGCCTCTTTTTAAATTTATACATATAATTTTTCAATAAAATTAGGAATTAAACATGCAATAGCAATAGACTTTGATCCTGTGCAAGAAATGCTTTATTGGACAGATGAAGAAGCTCGCGCAATTCGTAGAGCATCCCTTGATGGTTCTAATCAAGAAAATATTATAACGACAGAAGTGGAAAATCCTGATGGAATAGCTATCGACTGGTTGGCGCGGAATCTTTATTGGACTGACACAGGAACAGATCGAATTGAAGTAGCCCGATTAAATGGCACAAGTAGAAAAGTACTAATAAATGAAGATTTAATCGAACCCAGAGCAATTGCTCTAGCCCCTGAATTGGGATGGATGTTTTGGACGGACTGGAATGAAAAACGTCCAAAAATAGAACGAAGTAATCTTGATGGTACAGAACGTATTCTCTTAGTAAATAAAGACATTGTTTGGCCAAATGGAATTGCACTAGATCTTACACGATGGAAAATCTATTGGTGTGATGCAAAAACAGATAAAATTGAAGTGTGCAATATGGATGGTACTGATAGAAGAGAAGTAATAACAGATAATCTTCCACATCTTTTTGGATTAAGCTTATTGGGAGACTATTTATACTGGACTGACTGGCAAAGACGAAGTGTGGATAGAGCGCATAAACTTACAGGGGGTGAAAGAGAAGTTATCGTTGATCAAGTTCCAAATGTCATGGGTCTAAAAGCAGTGCATTTAGGAAAAGTTAACGGTACAAATCCTTGTGTGAAAAGTAATGGTGGTTGTAGTCATTTGTGTTTAAACCGACCAGGAAATAAATATGTATGTGCATGTCAAATTGGATACGAATTAACTAAAGACAAAAAGACTTGTGTCGTGCCAGATGCGTTTATGTTATTTGCAAGAAAAGAAAATATTGGCAGAATTAGCATTGAAAATGCAAATAATGATAATATTATTCCATTGACAGGAGTTAAAGATGCAAGGTAAAGAGTACATTCATAAATAAAAAGTTCGATTAAATTATTGTTATATTTTTTTGTAACTATAAAAATTGTAACAATTGTATACAGACATTAATATCATCGCTAATATATTTTATTTCTATTAGCGCTTTGGACTTTAATATAGCAGATAATCGCATTTACTGGACAGATGTTAAATTAAAGACAATTACAAGAGCTTTCATGAATGGATCTGATATAGAAAGAGTCGTTGATCTTGGTTTAGAAACACCTGAAGGTTTAGCGATTGATTGGATTGCTCATAATTTATATTGGAGTGACACAGGAACTCGAAGAATAGAAATGGTTAGATTAGAAGGTTGTAGCAGAAAAGTTCTTATTTGGACTAACATTGTTGAGCCTAGATGTCTGGCTCTTGATCCTAGTAAAGGGTATAATAATTTCTTCCGTATCTAAACATAATGCTAACTTATAAAAAGAAATAGTAAAGATTATAAAATTTGAATTGAAAAAAAATCATTTAGCTACGATTTATATTGTTGAAAATAAAGTGTGTTATGTAAATGTTTATAAAATGAGTATTTCTGTATAATTAAATTTTTAACATCATTATATTTATATATATATTTTTTTTTAGTCATATGTACTGGACAGAAGGGGGAAATTATGGAAGTATAGAAAGATCATATTTAGATGGTACACATCGTGAAATAATACTTTCCAATATTGGAAGAGCAAATGGTTTAACGATTGATCATTCGGCACGAAAATTATATTGGGCGGATTTATATACTCCTGCTATTGATAGCTTTGATCTGCATACAAAAAAAAGAAATGCAATTATAACAGACAATATTGTATATCCATTTAGTATTACTCAGTATCAGGATTACATCTATTGGACAGATTGGAATACAGGTAAAAAAATACCAATTATGTTATTATTACATATACAGCGATCACGTTATTATTTACAATAAGTACTTTTTGAAATTTATAGATACTTTAAATAAATTTTAATTAAAAACATTTATCTTATTAATAGGTGACATAGAGAAAGCTAATAAGACTACTGGGAAAAACAGAGTGAACATACATAACAAGTTGGAATCTGTAACAGATTTGTTGGTTTTTCACGCTTCTAGACAAGCAGGCTGGAATCCTTGTGCATTAAAAAATGGCAACTGCACTCATCTTTGTATTGCTTTACCTGGAGAAAATGAAAGCACATCTAATTCTTTCAAATGTGAATGCCCTACTCATTATAATTTAGCAGAAGATAATAAAACTTGCATTGGTCAGTATATATAAATCTAAAAAATTTGAATTTAATTACATTTAATATTAAATACAATACATTTAATAGAACAATTTTTTAAAAATAACAATTAACAAATACAAAAATACTAAAAATTAAATTTTTTTAATGTTGACTGTCTAGATTTCGTGAAATTGTTAATTTAATAAAGTATAATTTGATTATATCATAATAAAAATAAGAGTTAGGAAACATAGAGTATGAGATATAATAATAAATTTGTTATATACGATATTTAAATTGTTTAAACATATTTGATATTTATTGTTTAATATCTTTTTATTAATTGTAAATTGATATTTAAACTGGTATAAACGTTGCACATATCGTAATTTATATTAATTAACTTAAATTTAATAATTTATATTTTTTCTTTTACAGCGCCCAAAAACTTTATGATGTATAGTTTACGCAATGCGATGTTTCGCATTCTTCCTGATACGAATGATTGTCCAGATGTAGTTCTTCGAATTCAAGGTTTAAAGCATGTACGATCTATAGAATTTGATCCTATAACTCAACACATTTATTGGATAGATGGACGAACTTTGTCCATTAGGAGGACTTTAGAGAATAAAACGCATTCTAGTATAATGATTTCTGGAAATTCAGGACATCCCGTAGATCTTGCTTTGGATTCACTGGGAAGATTACTATTCTGGTCATGTGCCATAAATGATGCAATCAATGTTACAAAACTTGACAATGGCTCTGCATTAGGTGTTGTTGTCAAAGGTGACGGAGAGAAACCGAGAAATATTGCAATACATTCAGAAAAAAGACTGCTTTTTTGGACAGACGTTGGAAAAAAGATGAGAGTGATGCGCAGTAAAATGGATGGAAAAGAAAGAATTGTAATAGCAACTGACCTAGAACAACCAACAAGCATTGCGGTAGATGCAATTTCGAACATTGTATATTGGGCGCATGGAAATAAGATTGAGTATGCAGATTTTGATGGGAACAATGGAGGAATTTTGGTCTCTACTATTGGACAAGGATCAACTGTTTATTTGTCCGTCTTCTTTGATTTTATTTACTGGTTTGATAGAGAAACATCGAATTTAGAGCGTATTAATAAATCTGGAAATGGAAGGAAAGTAATCATGAATAAAGTACTTACAGATTTAATTGCCGTAAATACTCCTCAAGATGATGTAATGAAAACACATATTTGTAGTCCTTTTCGAGATTATGGAGGATGTTCACACTTTTGTATAGGAACTATTTCCTCTAAGTGAGTTCTTAATTTCTACTTAGGAAATGTTCAGGATGATCCTCTCGTTAGAGAATGGAAAAGTGATCGTTCGTCCGGTTGTTGTACGAATGTATATGTAAAAACTGAAAACAAGCATATAAAACGATTCAAATGAGTCATATACATAGCATCAAAAAAGTCTCTAGCCAAAGAATCATTCTGCAGATAATTTTATGTTAAAAAGAAATATATAAAAAGTATTATTTTTAGATGTTCTTGCCCAAAATCTTTGGTTTTATCCGAAGATGAAAAGACTTGTAGAGCCGCACCAGCTTGTGGAACAGATCATTTTACTTGTGCTGCACCTAGCTCTGCAGTAACAAAAGATTGTATACCTGCAACATGGAAATGCGATGGTCAAACAGACTGTCCTGATGGAAGTGATGAGTTAGGTTGTCCAGCATGCAGTCGCGATCAATTCAAATGTCAAAGTGGCCATTGCATTGGTAAAATTCTTGAGTTATCAAATCATTTTGATTATAAATTAAATATATTGTTGTCAAATTTTTTGAATTGTGAATTATTATTAAATTTTTTTCAGACATGTCCTGGGTATGTGATGGAACAGCACAGTGCCATGATGGTCTAGACGAAGCTCATTGTTGTCGTCCAGGACAATTTCAATGTATTGGAAATGGTGTTTGTATTTCTGGTTCAGCTCTTTGTGATGGTTGGGAGGACTGTGCTGACGGAAGTGATGAACTTCCATCTGCATGCACACCTGCAAACAATCCTCGACAAGAAAATAATTCGTTAGAATCTGGAAGAACAAGTTACGTTATTATCATACCTGTTGGATTGTTTGCAATGATTGTTGCAATTGTTCTTGGATTTTGTTATTGTAGAAGAAAGTTCATGAATAATGAAGAGTTGCCTGATATTTTACATGATTCAGCTGGAGATCCACTATCACCCAAACCAGTCAGATTGGCGAAACCAATGTTTGCACAAAAAAATTGTAGAAAAGATTTGAAAATCGGAATGGAAACTGTAAGAATGTCAATGTTAAATGGAAGTAGTATAGGATCAAGTTATGATCGCAGCCACATTACTGGTAAGATGTTATTTTATATATATAAATAATAGTATTATATATATATATATATATATATATATATATATATAAATTATACTGTTCGAATAAAATGTCGGAAAGCAAATAATTATTAATAAATTAATATTTTATGAATAATTTATTATAATGATATAATGATGTGTGTATAGTGATTGAAATATTTTTATATTTTCTGATTAATCTATTCTAATTAATCTAAATTTATATATATTATTATTATTATATCAATAATAATAAAAGTTCTATTTTAAGGAGCCTCTAGTTCAACTCGAGGGAGTTCTACAGGAGGTTACCCGCAAGAGACATTAAACCCTCCTCCAAGTCCTGCAACAACAGTTAATTCTACCAGATATTCAAGCAGTAACACATCTAGATATAAACCTTATAGGTATTATAGGAGCATAAATAAACCCCCACCTCCAACTCCTTGTAGTACAGACGTTTGTGATGAATCAGACAGCAATTATCCAGCAAGATATCGATATGAAAGTGAACCTTATCCTCCACCTCCTACACCAAGATCTGTTTACCAAAGTGATGCTGGAATTAGTTGTCCTCCTTCTCCTAGTTCACGATCTTCTACATATTTCAGTCCACTTCCACCACCTCCTTCTCCCGTTCCCTGAATATATTAAAATTGTAGAAATTTGTTTATATTGTAATTTTTGAAAGATGAAATCTTTTGGTAAGTCTGTAAAAAATGATTAAAAAGGTAAAATTTATTTTATTAAAACATTTATATTTTATAAGTGGAGGAGCGAAAGCATTACTTTTAAAATATTCAGCTACAAAAGTAGATATTGGATATTTTTATTTATTTATGTTAACAAGTAAAATGACAAGAGAAGTATCTTATCATTTCATAAGCAAATTCCATCAATTAAATGTTATTTAATGTCTCCTTTTTAAGGGTTTTGAGAGAAGAATTTTTTATTAAAGAAAAATTCAAATTTTATATCAAATCTGTTTGAAGTATTTGAATAAGATTTTATCTTTGTAAAAAATTTATACCATTGTGCCTCTTCGTACTTGTAAGAGATTTAATCATAAAATGTTGTAAATATTGTAACAATGTATAAAAATTGTATATGATTTTTAGTTTTTGAGATAGACGTTATTCTATAAAAAGATTCTTTTTTATATTAATACAAATTAGTAGGTTTATAATATAATATAATTAGTATTATTCTATTGTAAAAGTACGTATAGTAAAGTACAGTAGAACCTCAGTTTAACCGCCGAGGCTCTGATATTTAATTTTAAATACTTTGACGTTCGTGGTAAAATATCATCACGATATCGTGTCGTCGCTGTTTTAATTTCTTAAAATATATTGCCAGTTTGTTCCTTATCGCAAAAGAGCTGCGAATTTCAGAAAAAGAATTTTAGAGTACCAAAAAAATTTAAAAACAGTTCGTAAAATTTTACATTATCAAAATGTTTTCCATAATTTTGTTGCACAATTTGCGTACACATATATTAGATCTCTCCGAATTATCCGAGATAGTCTTGGTCCACATTACCTCGGATAATCGAGGTTCTACTGTATAGCGTATAAAAACTTAATCGCGTGAGTTTCATATTTACAGCCAAAACATATCAAACTTCATATTATAAATTAAAAATAGATAGAGAAATTGAAAATTATTTCTAATGAGAATTAAATCAAAATAAATAACGAACTATAATAATTAAATAATGTAAGAACATTTAAAATGCTTATTCGTAGAAAAAAAAAACATTTTTTGATTTTTACCGTGAAAGTGAACTAATTGTGTATTTATATATTTACATTTTTATGTAATAATTAATCGAAATATGAAAGTTAGTAAGTTGAAATTTTCAAATAATTACATAAAGTAATGCTGTTCCTGCAATTTATAATTGGACTGTGCCATACAACATTTAGAACATTTAGTGAGAAAATTCAAAATTACTGTATATATAAAATGTATAATGCGTCATGTGGAAATGATTTTTACCTCGCACTGCCATTACACAAGCCTTAAAGAAATACATTCTATTGAATTATTATTTTTGTTTGGCATTAAAGACTGAAATAATTCTTCTATATTTTTTTTACATTTACAATAAAGTGTGTAATATTCTATGTATGTAGCATAAATGTATAAAAGAATAAAATTTTTGTTACATATTTTACATGATATTTATCATTTTATGCATAAAATTAAAATTATACATTCAAAATAAAAAATGTAAAATTAAAATTATACATTTCAACGACAATTTGTAAAAGATATATTTATTGTAAACTTTATTTTCAATTGATTTCCTGCTATTTTTCTATATCTATTTATTTATTTCTTTTTCTATTTAAGTACAAAAACGTAAGTATAATTTAAACATATATTTTTATTAAAATTTATTTACTATTTACATACGCAATATCTGTATACAATCGAAAAACGTAAAAATATTAATAAAAACATTGAATAGAATGCTATATATATAAATTCACTATACAAACGCAATATTTACATTAGATGTTTCTTTTTCTATCTTACAGATTTTACAGGCTGATGCGCGCCATAGCTATAAAAGATTCTTGTCTTTTGCTTTTATACAAATATAGTACATATATTCAGAAAAAGATTTCTCTGCTAATATAAATAATTGTTCGTCAGGCAGGTACGGTTTATTTCTTGACGGCAGGAAGAATCTGTTTAAGGACATTTATACCTTCAATATTATAATAAATTAACAAATTAAATATAAAAAATCAAATTCAAGCAATAAGAAATTAATATTGGAATTACTATTATAGCTGAAATAAATAAGGAAGAAAATAGGTTTAAAATGTTCTATATCTCGTTTAAAATAGTAAATTATTATTATACTTTCCAAACTGTACAGATAATATTTAATTACAGTGAAATATTTTTAAGTTTTTTTATTATAAGTTTCTAATATATTCAATATTTATTAAACTATAGAAAATGTAATAACAACTTTAGTTGTTTTAATTAATTATTAATTTCAATAAGGTACAAAAATCTTATACGCATATTTTATACGCAAAAAATATCTTACAAAAATTAAATATTTTAAAAAATATACTGTAAAATAAATATATATATTCTCGTAACAGTATTCTTCAATATTGATATTTTAACATACTTAATTAAAAATGAGTGTCTGATTAATACTTGAAATATCTTTGTTTAAATACTTAAAAAAGTAATTAAATACTACTTCAAATCTAATACTAATGTAAAAAAATTTTAAGACCGTGTAAAAGTAATTGTTAAGTAAAAATAATGTAAATGGAATGTAAGAAGAATTATAAAAGAAAATTTTCTTTTTTTAAATTGATAAATAAACATTTAGGACTATCAGTTAAGTGTTGCATCAATTGTCCTACCGTCAAGAAATATCGATTGCATGCTTGTTCAAATAAAATTTTCTCTTTTTGAACAATTAACAATCGATTTAAAAAATTAATAGCAACAAATTGTTTAAAAACTTTCTTAACAAGAGGAGATGGATATTTAAAATTTTGGCGCGCGCATTTAAACCTTCGATTTAAAATCTCCTAAAAATATTTTTTTTCTTTCTTAATTATAAAATACTTTAGTCTAAGGCACAAGTATAAGTGTCAAGATCTTAACCCGGGATTACCCACGTGAGGGTCTAGTCGTCGGGATGTACCTGCGCTAGACCCCCAGGTGGGTAATCCCGGGTTAAGTGTCTAATACTTTATAAAATTTTTCTTTTAGTCATATTGACTCATTGTATATTTAATAAAAATAATCATTATGTTCAATAAGAGTTGATTGTTATTTCTTGTACACAAAATTTTGGAAGACTTGAAGTATTTATAGCAGATCCTTTTTATTCTTTGTATCTAAATTTTCTATGATAATCGATAAATCAAAAATTTTACATTATATAAATTTCTTAGATCTTTTTTTATTTTATAAATAGGAGACAGCTAGGATCATATGTAAAGTTACGACAATTAGATAATTGTTTAAAATTTTTATATATAATTTAAAATCTTTCAATTACCTTAATTGTATAAAGATCTAATAAATGAACAAGTCAATGTACCCTCCAAAAATAGTAATATTTGCTATTCATTTAATCTAATAAAATTTTAATATTTTGTTCCCTCACTTTGTAATGTTTTTTTAACTTTTTTCACTTCTATTGCACATATATTTTTCATTGGAAAAGTGAAAAGTAGTTTATTGAATCAATTAGCAAATAGTTAACGGCATCCACATCCAAGGACCGACATGTCCTGGTAATTTTTCAAAACTACTTTATTTTCTTCGTCAAGATAAAGCATAGATATAGAGCTAAGAGCGGTAGGCACACAGCAAGCTTTAGGCACCATACTTGGTTTTGTTGAATAAACCAAATTTTGGACAATTGCATGATTGGTAGAATTTAAATGATCTGCTAATGGGAATGGGCAATCACCGTGACAATAAAAGGCATCATAACCAGGGGGAGCAACAATCCAATCATTCCAACCGACGTCAGCAAAATCAACATAAAGTGGATGTCGCCTACAATTTTCACGTCCATCTTTTCGACGATTTTTCCGAAGTGCTGCTCTTCTGGCACGACGATTCATTATTTTATTTGCAGAAGACATCTTATATCTAAATAATAACATTTAAAAAAAAAATTATTGATTTTATCTTAATATATATAAGATTAACAATTATTAATAAACTCTATTTGATATATTAAGTGATATATATTTGATATAGTATAGTATTTTTTTTTATAAACTTCAAATATGAGCATTATAAAAATGTTAATAACTAAAATATTAAATTCAAAAACTATTTTTAAATGTGTAATTGAAAAAGAATACAATAAAGTTGCAATTATGTTTTATAAAAAAAAATTACTTCGTACCTGCCATCATCTGTATAAGTAAACAACATTGGGCGATTAGCAATCCATGTATCATCGTTTTCATTTGTGTTTCGTTTTAAACGTACATGCTCCTCTTTAGTTCCATGTATATATATCAAAAGTCCGTGATTTCTTTTAGGATTGTTTACCCATCTTTTCACAGCAGGATGAACATCTAGACTAACTGTGCTATTTTTCCCAGTGTTTATTAGCTTACTATCAATTAAACGTAATAGTGGAGCACTTTGTCCTTTTGCACCAGGACGCAAAATATCATATACTAATATTCTACCCAACTTTTGGTCGGAGTCATTTTTATTTAAAATAGGTACACGAGAAAGACTTAATTCTGCAGCTTGTAACTTCTCTTCTGAGGGTATGCTACTTAAGTCAAAAGAAAGACGAAAGCGATTTGGAGTCTGAAACTTATGATCCAACTCACTCTCTGTGTAAAAAAAAAAAAAACAATTAAAAAGAATAAAAGGTAAAATATCAGTAACATGTAAATCCATGAATTTTAATTGTCATTATCTATACTTGTGTAACTATCACGCAATTTGAAATAGTTTTTCAATTAATATAACGTTATTTTAAATAGTTTTCATGAATATACTTACCGATATGAGAAAAAGAACGTACTGTATTAGCAGATCTGGCATGAATTCCTGGTTTAGCAATATCAGCCATGCCAATTGCATTTTGTTTGATAAAAAGTTTTTGTAATGAATCTGGAACATAAGCTGGACCACCTTGCGGTTTTGGCCTTTTGGTCAAGCCCAAAGAAGACAAGAGGCTGGCTTCAATTCCAGCAATTGCTTGTTTACGTTCGCCGATAGCAAGACGTTCTTTAGGATGTAAATCTAAGTGGATATTTTCCGCAGTTGCCAGCAGCAAACTTGCTGCGACTAAAACCAATCTCAGTGGCAGCAACATGCACATTGTGATATCTTTGCTCACGGATCTCGCCTCTCTGAAACAGAGATATTTTATACAAAATTACAGACCTTACTTTAAAGAGATTTTAATGTGTATTGTTTCAAGTTGATATTACAGTAGTAATATGAAAAATTAAATAACTAATGTTAAAAAATACATATTATGTATTTTTACTATAAAAGAAAACAAATTGCGTAAAAAAATTTATTAATTTAGTATGTTTTATATTTATACGTCAATCTATGATAATTATATATACATATAATTATTTGTTATTTATAAAAATAAATACTAATTATAACAATTAAACTTAAATGTTAAAATTTTCTATAAAATGATAAATAATTAAAAAGTGTTTAAATGTAAATTTAAAAGAGTGTACGAGTTCATAAAAAATTACTTAGCTATAAGTAATTTTAACATGAATTACACATCGAGTTGTTAGAAAAAAAATAAGCATCAATTTTTCTAAAAAATAGATTTTGAAGTAAAAAGGTTGAAATAGAGAATTACTAATTTATTCAATCATTTAGCAATGAGAAAATTTTTATAATTTAACTAGTATTTTAAATTATTATAGTGTATAAATAGTGTATATATATATATATATATATGTACATATAATTTTGAAGCATCATAACACTACTATAAATGTAAGTGTAATTCATTTATAGAATTAATTTTTGCAAATCTCTCGAAATTAACAATTTTTATTGTATGTCATTCTTCTAACGAGTCGATGAAAATGTTTATATATTTTTACGTGAGTAGACATAAATTTGAGAACCACTGAGGCAGGCCTGCATTCTATCAAAGACAGAGATAGAAATAGAAAGGTTTAGATGCCAAGCTGTCTGCTGCTGTATGATTATGGGATTAATCCGACCGCGGATTTTCAACACGTCTGCTTGAATTATCCGATTTGAAGTTGTTCCACAAAAAACAATTTAATTATTTAAATTATTACTTTTTCTATTTTCATGTTTTTATTATTACTGAACTTATTATTCAAATATAATACGTAAAAGTATAATAAAAAAAGTATAATGAAAAAAAATCTAATGAACAATTTATTAACACATTGGCAATATATTGTATTATAATATTAATATTACAAATAATATTATAATATCTACTGCTTGTATAATATATATTATATATTAATACATTAAATATATTATGTACGATAATGATTAAATTTTTATCATGTATCATATTTAATTCAGGCCTTTACAGAACTTTATAATCGAACAAATAAGAAAGTTTTCATTTTAATGAACTAAGATTTCTTCTTAATGATTTCTAAGTTTATTCACATGATTTGTAAATTCATTCGTTCGATATGGAAATTGATCGCTCACTCCCTATAGTTTTGAAAAAGTTAGAATAATGTTAGAAATAAGATATTAACGATCTATAAATTATCTGTTTCTGATGATTTCTATGTAAATATGAAGTGTTTAAATGTAATAGATTCAAATATATTTTGTTCTTAAAGGACTTTCAAATATTTAGGTTCGAAATTCCGAAATCTGGTTTTAAACTCACATGTATAAATATGTAAATAAGGAAACATATTTATATAGTACAATAATTCTTGCTAATAATTTGTTATTGTATGTAAATGTATTTTAAAGAATTAAATCTTATGTTTATAAAATATTATTGTAAATATGGCACAAGTATACATATATATCCTAACAAATAATTAAATTATAAAAATATTTTTATTATAATAAATATATTCTTATCGTAATTATTGCAATTAAATAATGTTTCAACAATTGATTACTGACAATTCTATTTAATCAAATATTAAATTACATTCACAACAATTTACACTTTTTATGCACAACAAAAGGAACAAATTATATATTAGTGATTATTCATGAAACTCAATGTATCAAATAAGTTAACGAAGAGAGTTTAAAAAAAGTGAAAGTACGAACATTATCTATTTTCTTTTAAAAAAAAATAAAAACTTAACTTACGCACTGAAATAATAACACAGTAACGTTTCGAGTGTCGTTTAAATTAATTAATATTCGTTGATGCTAAACTAGTCGTTTACACTACATGGTGAATTTACGTTTCAGAGAAATTTGTACGCACAACGATGCAAAACAGAGTAATACAAATAATACAGAAAATTGCACGCAATGCTCCTGAGAAAATACACCTTCTGAAACACAAACAGGAATGAGACAACGGAACAAAATTTTTACCTGCTAAAAGAATGCTAGAAGAATGGGCATCCAAACTATTCGGTCTAACACGAAGCTAATTCGAAGGTTCGGTAAATATGTACTTTAGAAGACCACTCTGCTTCTAGGAAACACAGTCTACCTGTTCTTTATGAAGAAAAATCTATTCTGTTACCTGTCTCAATTTTCTTTTGAACCTTTTTAAGTTATGTATTTAGAAGACCAATGGAAAACTATAGAAAAAAATAATTATTTAGAATTGCGTATAATGGTTTTTATTAGGTAATTGATTACTTCATTGAAATTTGGTATGAAAGAATATTTTACTAAACAAATGGAGAAAATATTTTGCATAAAAATGGAATATGTGTATTCACGATTGCATTTCGAACACGTAAAATTTAAAAGCCGTTTACTTTGAAAATGGTATAAGTCGCATTGTTTTTAAATCGAGATACTTAAGGGTTTGCATTCTAACGTGCCTAGAAAAATTGAAGCTAATGAGAAGATTTACTTGTTATCTCAGATGGCTACCTTTTTCTACGGTAGAAATAACTCTGCACAGACATTAACGAATCGCCATTCTTCATTACTGTAACTGTGTATACCATTTTTAAAGTAAACGGCTCAATCATGAACAAACACTCAACTCGGTAGAATTCGTTAATTTTTATTATTCGTTATTTGTACTTTTCTTTTGTTATATACGCGCGATTGTGTTGAATTTGACAAAGTCTTTTTTAAATAAAAGAATATGCGTCATCTAAAAAGAAATATGTATCTTTTAAAAAACTGAAAACAACATCCATGCCCTTGAAATAGCGAGCGTTCAAGGAGAGCTCTGAAAATTTCGTTGTACACATACATAGTAGTGGGACTTACTACTGTAGGAAATTCTATGATGGTCAATATAATTCTCAAGAATGAATTGAACGTAGGTGTTCCTTTCCTCCAAAAGTAAACCAGTGTCTCATAGATTAACTGAATGCTTCCGTTGTAAAAACGGAAAAGGATTAATTATTTGTTAATTTTATTATCAGTTAACGAGGTCTTATCAATGGATTATTGGCGTATTGTTTGAAAACTATAAAAATCCTAAAATTCAATGAACGCATGCTGATAAAAAATTATGAGTTACTAAATTTTTCGAATATTTTATCAAATTTTAACGTAACGTTATTTAAACGTAAAGTGAAAAATTATAAAATCGATACTTACAACGTTTCGTAACTTTCAGAAATACAAAATCTTTACAATTGTTGAAAAGAAGGAAGATCAACAAGATCTTTTATTTACATAAAGTTGTTTTTCCTGACAGAACATCGAAACTGTTATTTGAGCTGTTATTTATACCTTTAAGTATTTTCGACCTAAGTATTTTGTACTTCGACTAATAATAAAGTAATAGTTATATAGTAAGTAGTAGTTCGACTAATAATAAAGTAATATAGTTATATAGTTAAGTAATTTGGCTAATAATACTTTGACCAAAGTATTTAAGTATTTTTAATTAATCAATGAATATATTTTATAGAAGAAAAATTTTATTTTAAAAAGAAGAAATAAATTAAGAATAATGTTAAATATCATAACTATCCTATGATCTGAAACATGAAATAAAAAGAAAGATAATTTATTACACTCATTGATGATATATAAAATATAATATATATTAATAACAAATTTTAAATTATAATTTACCTATTTAAATTATAATTTATCTTCTCACAAAAAGATAAATTCTAAAATGTAATAATCATTGCAAGGAATGCTGAAAAGTTATGATTTGCAAAATGAAAATGCATATATTATATGCATATAAAATGTAAATAATACTTGAATTCGTCTGTGACGATCATACATATACATTGGCATAGAATGTAAACAATGAAGAATTTGGTAGAAAATACTTAAGTAAAAATTTTGTCCGACGTAAAATTACAATTACGATATGATTAAAGTATCGAACGAAACATAATTTAAACAATTTATCTCTTTTAAAGATAAACTATATCATACTAATAAATTATAAAATTAATAGTTTACCAAAGAATCGCTTGTCAAATTGAAAGTAACTGGAATAATCGTAGCTACGTATACGTATATTTTCGAAAATCTCGTTTGCTCTGAAATTTTTTAACGATTAAAAAAAAACACGCCGCTTCGCTAGCAAAATAAAAATCTTAACCGTCACCTAGAATGAAAGTTATTTTAAATGACGTGCCGTAAACGTGTTCATTCGTCTAATTTTTCAGATTATTCTGCTCGAATGTAAAATATTGTCAATGTCAATTACTATTTTTCTCAGTCGATCTTCTCAAACGACAATCTGCCTGATATATCCTGTTTAACGCGAATGTCGCACAAGTTGCATCGAAGGAATGCGGCACGGGTAGAGTAAGAATACAAGGTGTCGTGTATATATGTGCATAAGCAGCACGTCATCGTCGAAAATAATCGGGCCAGCGACAATCAAACGAACGTGTTCTCTTTCGAGCCAGAAGAAAACTATCTCTTTCTTTTCTTTTTTTTTCCGTTCTAACAAAAAGAAGAGTGCTCAACGAAGTTTCAAATTTTTGTCACACTCACCTGAGCTAATCGTAGGTCCGTCGTTCGAGGGGCCACAACATTTCAATGAGTTCATGTAACCTCACTCGGGAACTATTGTCTCAAAACCTCGCCCCCGAGCCCTCGGTATCGATATATCGATGTTGGAACTGTTGCTTCGCGTTGCCGATGTTTTCGCGCTCGTGTACCGAAAGAGACAGAGGATTTCAGGCAAATGGAGAACAGACAAAGAAAGAGAGAAAGAGAGAAAAAAAGACCGCAAGATTTCTTTTTTTGTATTTTCCAAGCACGTAACTGCGTGCAATGATGCTTGAATTCTTTTTCGATATACGTGATTACATTTGCACGAGCAGGAAATACTTTCAAGAGCAGTACCGTCGAAAAGTTGAACGCAACTCGATTCACGGAAATTTTCGAGAAGTCGAGAGGAAGAGTAGAACCATAGGATATTGTAGCGCGAGAGAAGGGGGGGAAGATGAAGAGATAGTAAGAGACAGTGTCTTGCGGTAGTAAAGGCTGTTCTAGCGCCACCCGTGATCAATTTGCAAACTAAAATGTTCGTAGAGTCGTATTTTCGGCTACCTTATCTAAGAAATTACTTTTATCGTGATTTTTTTCGTTACGTGTATTTTGATTTTTCACGTCTATTTTTAAATTTCTGAATTTATTCGTTTGATATAGAGATTGATCACTTACTTCCTATCGCTTTGAAAAAGTTAGAATAATATTAGATGTTAACATAAGATGTTAACGATCTATAAATTATCTGTTTTTAATGATCTCTATGTAAATATGAAGCGTTTAAATGTAATAGATGCAAATATATTGTTCTTAAAAGACTTTCTTAAATATTTAGATTCCGAAATCTGGTTTTAAACTTACATATATAAATATGTAAATAGAAAGGATACATATTTGTATAGTACAATAATTCTATTAATTACACTCCAACAAGTGTATTTTGATTTGTTAATATTAAGACTAAATTAGAAAAGGATAGTACTGGATGATAACAGGGTCATTTATGAAATAAAAACAATGCTTGAATTAAATATACAAAACAATATCTGTTATGAAATCATGATGTTCATAACATTGAACAATTTAGTTTTTAATCAAGTTTTAGTTAAGGCAAAAGTTATAATTAGTTTTATTTTATATCTTGCATGTCGTCTTATAATTGTTTTTTGATCATGAAATAAAGAAAAAAGTAAATTATACAATTTCACAATGATTTATAATTTCGCAATTATAAATCATTAAGAATTATATTATTACTGTAAAAAGAATAAAAATTGCTTTGCCTCTTCTTAATTTTATAAATTAAGGAGCAATTTCATATTTCTACATTTCTATATCAATCAATATTTATATTATTTTTACTTAATTTTCTTAAGTACAATTAAGCTTATAATAAATTATAATAAATTTACGCGACTTTAATAGTACAGTTGATACTTTATAATATATATTGATATCAACTTTTCCAAAGTATTACTTTATTATAAGTATACATAAGTATTACTTTAAGTAAACATTATTGCAATCTTTACAAAATTTTATAAAAATTTGACAATTATTTAATTCACTTGTAAACGTAAAATTATATATTTTATTAAAAGTCCAAGAAAAAAACATAAATGTACAATAATTTATTATGTATTCAAATTCAATATCGTTGAATGATAATTTATATACAAAGAAATAATTAATTACACACAGACAAATAATTCAGTTCTGATAAAAATAATTCAACATGATGGATAATAAAACATTTTAATTTCAAAAAATATATAATTTAACAAATTCAATAGAACTATTTTGAAAAAAGATGTTCTTGTATATCTGGTTTTTAAACTCGTGTGATATTTACATTCTTTTTCAAAATAATATTCGCTTAATACTTATGTTACTGAGAAAATTACTCATCATATTAGTTCACGAGTACTGTTATTGTAGTAATTACGCTTGTACATTCAAGAGAGCAAAAGTAATCTTCACGTCTTTTTTTCTTTTGGAAAAGATTTGAATTTTCGCCGAATTTTCCATTTCCGTTTAAACCTAGGGAAATTCCAATTTAAGTACATCTTAAGTTGTTTAAGTTACTAGATACGGATTAAAGGAGAATTCTCAATACACGGTGTACTCGACTAAACAAACTGTGTCACTATAGAATAAGGTCTAGAATAGAAACAACAAATTTGTTCAAATTTCTTTCCTCGGTTTACTTTAATCTATGCCAACACACTCGAATTTTTATCCTCGGCATCCCCTGATTCTAATGTCAGTTATATCGTAATGTTTGATATTTGTTGAAATGAACTTTTCGACTATTTGTAATCGCTTATTAATGTTTTAATACTCATGAAATAACAGTAAAGAGTTTTAATTGCATGTGCATTGTTTAAATGCGTTTTATTTATTGAGTGAAGTAATACTCGCTTCTTTTATACGATCAGGTACGTTTGTCGTTTCTCTTATCCACATTATTTATTTGCATATTATATTTTTCACATATATATTTTTTATTAATTTATTATTTATTACATCCAATAATATCGATAATTGTATTTCGGCAAAATATGCAATTGTTCGGAAATTTATATTTATAAAAGTGCAAATGTACAAATTTGAAAAATAATTAAATTAGATTCTTAAACTTTTATAAAAGGGACATATATCTTTAGACAGTTTAACGTCTATTATATTTAGTTATGAATTAGTTAGTTTAGTTATATTTATATTTAGTATAGAATTGTTATTATTCCAAAGCATTGATCTTTTAGTTATTCAAGAAACGTTTAATGCATTTTTTTCATGTTGTCATGTACTAAAATTTTTTTTTTACGACTATTAAAATAAAAAGTTTTTTCATAATCATATTATATTTGCTGTTGATTTTATTTTTACAAAATCATAAATTATATTTTAATAATTTACTTATCAAGTTTAGTTTATTACTTATTTTGTAACTCATCATATATTATATTACATGAAAGTTTGTTTTATTTATACAAATAAAGTTTAAGATAGAAATTAAATAGTTTAAATCATGTAAATATGTTAATTATATATATTAAATTATGAATTATGTATAATAAATAATTTTAATACCTTCACATAAATTTGTTCCATATTTGTAGCATATAATTGTAAATTCATTGTGTTGTTTTATTTCATTTTATTTTAAATGAAACAAAATGATTATTATAACAAATAAAATTATTTTAACTTTAACTTTCACCTTAAAGAAATTAAAAAAGATTTTTGATGTTATTTTCAGTGAAGATCATTATTTCGTAAAATGGCTGATTCCAGTGATTTGGATCGGCAAATAGAACAACTAAAAAAATGCGAAATCATCAAAGAAGCAGAAGTCAAAGCTCTTTGTGCCAAAGCGCGTGAAATTCTTATTGAAGAAAGTAATGTGCAAAGAGTGGATTCTCCAGTCACTGTATGTTTTCATAAAAATAAATGTAAAATATTACTATGATTATAATTTATAAAAAAATGTAACTTATTTCCAGGTATGTGGAGATATTCACGGGCAATTTTATGATTTAAAGGAATTATTTAAGGTTGGCGGTGATGTACCAGAAACAAATTATCTGTTTATGGGAGACTTTGTTGACAGAGGGTTTTATAGCGTTGAAACATTCCTTCTCCTTTTGGCATTAAAGGTAATTATTAAAAACTTGTATGATGGCACAGTATTCTAAAAATATGAAAAATTAATGTAATGATTAATAAAATTATTGAAAATCGGCTTGGCTTGAAAAATGCTATGAGTGTGAACATACTTATAGGTCCGTTATCCTGATAGGATTACATTAATAAGAGGAAATCATGAGTCTCGACAAATTACACAAGTTTATGGTTTCTATGATGAATGTTTACGCAAATATGGTAGCATTACAGTTTGGCGATATTGTACTGAAATATTTGATTATTTATCTCTTTCTGCTATCATCGATGGAAAAATCTTCTGTGTACATGGAGGATTATCTCCAAGTATTCAAACACTTGATCAAATAAGAACAATAGATAGAAAGCAAGAAGTAAGAATTATATTTAAATTTACATTGAATAAAACATGTAAAGTTTTATAGTATAGAACATAATTTAACAGAATATGTAATGATAATCTAACAAAAATAATAATCTGTAGGTACCTCATGATGGTCCCATGTGCGATTTACTTTGGTCAGATCCAGAAGATACTCAAGGTTGGGGAGTTTCACCACGTGGTGCTGGTTACCTGTTCGGAAGTGATGTTGTAGCACAGTTTAATTCTGCAAATGACATTGAAATGATTTGTAGAGCACATCAGTTAGTTATGGAAGGATATAAATGGCATTTTAATGAGACAGTTTTGACCGTTTGGTCGGCACCTAATTACTGCTATAGGTAAATGAATATTTCAGAAATATCAAATAATTACATTTTGGTTTTTTTAAAACTAAATATTAATAATATTTTTCTTGTAGATGTGGAAATGTTGCTGCAATATTAGAATTAAATGAACACCTTCAACGAGAATTTACAATATTTGAAGCAGCACCCCAGGAAAGTCGAGGAATACCCAGTAAAAAGCCCCAAGCTGATTACTTTTTATAAAAAAAATTTAATTGAAAGAATGACTGCATAAACCAAAATATCTCCAAATGTTTCTCTTTTTTAAAGAAAGAAATCATTTGAAACGATTGCATGACATATATTTACAAAAAAAGTAAGAAGATTCACATAAAAGAAAAGGATCATGTAGGCAAAGACAATGTTGATTAATTTGTAATTGAACATTATCAACGGACTGCTATCGGTATTGAAAATATCAATTTGATATAATAAATATTATGAGTACATGTGTTTTTCAATATTATATGTTTGTTAATAAGAGAACGTGTATGATTCTACAGACCATACTAAATAGTTTTGTCCTTGATGATAGAAGTATATGTCTTTTAAAAAAATGTGCATTTTATCATTTCTCAAGCTTCAAAGATACATTCACATGTTTATAATACATTTAATTACTACATCATTTCATGAGATGAAATTTTTTTGCTGATTGTGGGAATTAATTTCTGTAATTATTTCATAAAAAATGTTGTAAAATAGAATGAAACAATAGAATATGTTATTTCATTTGTACAAATATTGTACAAATATTTAATTGATATGTTTTATTTATAACTAAATTTTAAGTGATTTAAGATAATTCTTACTCCTTTTTTAAATTTTAGTGATTTAAGATAATTCCTTTTAAGATAACTCCTTTTTTTTTTTTAAATAATACTTCTACATATACTTTCATAAAATGCTGATTTACGATTTAGCCAAATAATAAAATAGCAAAATGTAATTAAAATTTATAAATAATTATTTGATTTCAATTAAAACAAATTTTTATGTACTACATATATCTTCGGCTATTTTGTTAAAATAACAAATTTTACAAGACAATTAATTTAAATACATTAATACATGTGTATTAATTACAAATTGTTTTGTAAATTAATTGTACAGTGAATTCCAAAAATAATTTGAATCAATCTTCCATTGTAATAATTATTTCAAAGATTAATCATTTTATTTTGTATCATTGCTAATAGTATATCACTTTTTACTAATAATTTACATATCTTTAAGAATAATTATAATATAAATTTTCTGATATTTGCTGAGTAATAAACTCATGATAATGAGTTATGTACATATAATAATAAAATAATATCAAATAATTACATTAATATGACATAATTAAATGAATATTTTTAATAAGTATTAATTAGTATTATTTATATATTAGCATTAATACGAATTTTGTAAGGATACATGCATTTTCGTTTGATCTAAATTTCTTTTTAACAATTATTTTCAAAAATATGAGAGCTAAGAACGATGAAATATCTTATTACATATTATATTTTATAGTTTTATTTTTTTCTGCATGTTGGCAATATCATTTACATACATACATAACAGAGTTACCAAAATGTGTTTCTTCTGTTGAAATATAAATACGGAGAATACGTGACGTGTTATTTTAATTATTTAACGAACATTAAACGTTAATGAAATTAGTTGATAGCTCTTAGTTATTACTGTGTTGTGAAAGTTGTATTATCCATCGTACAATGATATAATTCACTTGTATATAGTAATAATTGCTTGTTTACATTAACATAACCTATTATGGATGTTCCAACACCTTCGAATGTAAATCATGGATTTTCTCATAATACTGATGGATTTTTAAATATATCTATTGAATCTCCAAATTTGGATCCATTGTCGACAAAACGTAGAAGGTGCTCAGTAATTTTTATTTATAGATGTATTTACAGATTTAAATATTTTATTCATACGTTGTATATCGTACGTGTAAAGAATATTTAATTTCTATTTCTATTTTTTTTTCAATTGTATAATATAATTATATAACATAATATTATTTCATTAAAAATATCAATGTCAATTGTTTTCAAATTTCGCTGAAGTAAGAATTGTACAGACGTTTACGTTCCTTAATTTTATATTAAATACTAACAAACAGAGATTGATTTTGTAAATACGGCAAGTATTAGAATTAATAGTAAAAATATTTTTACTTTTCAAATTCGATTTTGTTAATGAAGATTGCTATTAATTTATTACTATTTTATATTATCATTTTTATTATTGCTATTACTATTTATCACTTGCTTTATTATTTACTATTTTACTATCAATTTATTACAAAAAATTTAATTTAGGATTAATTATATAGTATTTTGTAATAAAAAATTTTAATAAAAATTCTACTGAATAAATTATAACCCTATAATATATATATATATATATATATATATATATATATATATATATATATATATATGTAATGACTTAATTTAATGAAATATTTGAAAAAGTGAAAGAAATATTTGTATTTATTTGAAATAACTAAAATGAACTATATGAACGTAGAATGAACAGTTTCTTCAAAGTCATTTTTAAAGTTAAAAATTGTATAATTCCGCGTATTAGATAGAAAAATACAAAAATGAAAATTACATCTTGTATATAGTACTGATTATGTAATAAATATAATTAGAAAGAAATAATTAAGAATCATTTGTTCATTTTTATATTTTATATAAATCAATTTTTATATTTTATACAAATAGAATTATTAATAAAAATAACGTGCAGCAAGGAAGAATCAAAGTAATTAATCAGATACTTAAGAAATTAAATTAAATTAATCAAATATAGATTAATACAAGTATACATATATTAATTTGTATAAATTTTTCTAGTTCTTCACGTACAATAAAGCGTAGAAAATTTGACGATGAGCTTGTTGAAACAACATTCAATTTACAACCTCCAGCTACAAGTACAAAGTCTGCCTCTAGATCTAAGACTGTCTCAGTTTCTACTACTCCATTAGAATCTGCTGTTCCCCAACAAAATGCACCAAGTCCCATTCAGGTTTCTACAAATGTTTCTCAATCGGATAGATGTAATAGACGAACAAGTAGACCAGGTGCGTCAAATGCTCCTGGACGAAAAAATAAAAAGAATAAGAATCATTCACATTCAGTGAATGCAACAAAAGATTTAGGAAGATGGAAACCAACGGATGATTTAGCATTGATCACTGGTGTGCAGCAGACAAATGATCTTAGAATGGTATTTATTTCATTTATTTATTGCAAATAATTAATATACAAATTTAATTACTTAGAATTAATTTTACAATGCTAAAATTAAAAAAATAAAATAAACATTGTTTTCCCATGTATGTTGATGTTTTAGTATGTTGATGATTATTAGTATGATTGACTTTCTTTTTTAAAATAACAGTATAGTAATAATACATAACTGATGTAAAATAGGTTCACAGAGGCACAAAATTTTCTTGTCGTTTTACATTACAAGAAATACAACAAAGATGGTATGCTTTGCTATATGACAGTGCAGTTTCAAGAGTAGCAGTACAAGCTATGCGTAATTTACATCCAGAATTAATTGCTAGTGTGCAAGCAAGAACTTTATATAGTAAAGCAGAGGAAGATCTTCTGGGTACAATAAAATCGGTAATTTAATTCAATAAAAGTAAAATCATCATCTTTTTAATCATATTAATAATTGTAAAATATCATATCTTTTAAAACTTACATTTATTTCTTTATAGGGTGTAATAGAATATATGGGCACATCATTAGTGGATTCAGTACACTAAATTAAGAAAAAAAGATTCATATAAACATATACCCGATTTTGTTTCTAAAATAGAATCAAATTTCTATCTTTTAATAATTCATTTAATAAACTGAATTTTTTATTTAATTATTTATAAATAATGGTTATAAATATATTATTAATAGTTGTCAACAAATTCGAACAATACTAGGCAACTTTGATCAAATTAGAATTTTAATAAAAAGACGTTTGTCTTTCGAGACGAAAATGGTTACTTTGAAGAATTTCTATTAAAACAAGTAAATAATCGATACAATATAAAAAGAGCTATATCTCAAAAACAAAGTTGTATTGAGCACATATTTATGTGAACTTTTTTTATTATTTTAGTATGCTGAACCGACCAGTGAAGTTGTGCCCACACATTCTGTTATATAATAAGAAAACTTCATATCTGTTTAGACTACTCAACCAACGGTAGAAGTTTTTCAAGAACTTCTTGAAGCAAATGCTCATACATTTTATTCTGCTCGAACTGCAAAAGCTTTATTAGCTCACTGGCAGTTAATGAAACAATATCATCTACTTCCTGACCAAACAGTACAAAGTTTACCAAGAGGTGAACATGTTCTTAATTTTTCTGATGCAGAAGAAATGATTAATGACACAGAATTAATGGAACAAAAAGATGAGCTGATAGATGCAGAACTTATTGCAGCAGATAGAAGAAATAAAAGAGAAATAAAGGTGTTAGAAAATGAATTAAGCAGATGGCAAGTTTTAGTTGATAGTGTAACAGGAGTAAATCCACCAGATTTTGATAATCAAACTTTGGCGATACTTAGAGGAAGACTCGTTAGGTATTTAATGAGATCACGGGAGGTAATTTTCGAAAACAATTAAAACGAACTTTCTAAGCTATATTGTATGAAATTTCTATTTGAAGTTATTATTTTTTAAATTCAAACTTTTTGATTAGATCACTGTAGGTCGTTCAACAAAAGATCACAATGTAGATGTAGATTTATCATTGGAAGGTCCAGCTTGGAAAATATCAAGGAGACAAGGAACCATTCGGTTAAGAAACAATGGAGATTTCTTTCTTTCCTCAGAAGGGAAACGACCAATTTTTGTAGATAGTAGGCCCATTCTTGCAGGAAATAAAATGAAGCTGAATAATAATAGCGTAATTGAGGTACTAAATCACAGTTCAATTTTGTTATATAAAACAAAATATGAAAAATAAAATAGAATACTTTATTGAAATACTATTTTTACAAAATATATAATTTTCAATGCTTTTTTTTAGATTGCTGGTCTGAGATTTATATTTTTAATAAATCAAGAACTGATTTCTGTTATACGTCAAGAAGTAGTCAAATTAAATTTAAAACCATGAGTGTTCTATTTCATTCCATAATTGATATTATGCACTATTATAAATGATGTCTTGTCTCGTATACATTTATCGCATTATATAGGAGTTTTGTATAAAGTAAATAATTGTTCCATTAAAAAATTAATAAATTTTGCTCAATTTTGTATATTGCAACTTTGTTTCCTTGTTAATATCAGCTTGTAAATATTGTTTAAATTAGGCAATAAGATTATTCATATACCTGCATAAGCAATTATAAAAACTTAATTTATATTTTAATACCTGCATGAGCAATTATTAAAACTTTTATTTATTTTTAGATGATATGAATACACTAAAAAAATAAGAAAATTTTAAATGATCTTACATTTAAACAAAATCTAAATAATATAAAAATAGTATATAAAATAGTAAATGGTTTAGGTTTGGGTTAATTAAAGATTTTGAGGAAAAAATACTAGAGAAAACTTTTTTAAAGATTTATTTTTAAAAAACCAATATCAGAAGATATAGGAATATTGCTTTTTAATATTTCAAAGAAAAGTTAAGTATAATTTTTATATACTAATAGTTTCAGTACTGATATAATTTAGTGAAATTGAAAATATGTTTCATTAGAAGTAAGAAATGTTAATACATACACATAACGTTGCTTGTAATTTCATTAATGATAGCAACAGGAAAAAAGGTTTTAATCGTTTGTTGTTAAACATAAGGTTGCAGATTTCTTATATTTTGGATTTATAACATGAAATTATTGATATATGTGCTATCTTTATTTTTAAATGTTTCAAAATTTCATTTTATTTTTTCATAAAAAATTAATTTACGATAAAATTTACATGTATTATTTAATAAATGCAGATGAATTATTTAATATAAAATATTGAAAATTTTAAGGAATAAATAAGAATAATACATTTGCAGAATGTGAAATTGAATAAAATAATATATATGTACGTATATTATTAACTACGTAGATTTTACTCTTAAAAGAAATAAAAAAATAAATAGATCCTATTGGATCTCGTTAGGAGAGACTAATAATGAAACTATAAATAATTATGTATGCTGATTAATAATTTTTTTCTCTTTAATTAATAAACACTTTAAACATTATTTCTGCAATAATAAAGTTAATTTTTTAAATTCTAGTAAAAATATTAATATTATTACTAATACCATTAAAGGCGTGAAAATACCCACATTTCTTGTTGGTTAGAATAGTACAATTCGTTCTATATTGTATGTATACATGTACATGGATACTTATACATAAAAATTGATATGAAACTTTATAATGCTATAATAATGATAAGTACATCATTTTTTATTTCTTTGATTTAAATTAGTTTTTTTTCTTCTTTTTCTGAATTTTTAAATTAGCGTAAATAAAGAATTTATCGCAACAATAAAAACTGAAATATAAAACTTTTGTCTTCCGAATTGGAGCAGTAGGTACTATAATTATTATGAATTATTATAGATAATATAATGCGATAATTTAAATTATCTTTTAAATTAGCATTACAATAAATCAAAATAATTGCAATTTCTTGCAGTAGACTTATTTATAATACTTGTGATAGCTTACATACCAGATACGTTATTCTTATTGATAATAAAAATATAATTCTGTTTGTTAATAATGTGTTCAAAAAATGTTAGATATTCCAAATTTTAGATCTTTGATAAAGAAGTAGACATTTGACTATCAAACATACATATATGTACATATATTGGCTATAGTAAATTTATTTGTCATCTCTTTACAAAATAGTGAGAGTTATGCTATATATATATGAATATGTATATAGAGCTATCTTTGATTAAACATGTTCAAATTCAAAAATGAAGCATCTAACAATTTTGTTGTTCCTGATTTTCATCTTATTATCAATTACAAAATCTTGATTCTACTTTACATTATGAAGAACTAATTATCTAAGAAAATGATATTTATATCTGATAATTAAAAATTTGTCTTTAAAATAACATTTGAAATAAATATCAATGAAACCAAAATACTCAAATGAAAAACAAAAATAATCAATGAAAATCAAAGTAATTTAGTAGTGTGCGTTATCACAGTAAAACTTTTTCTGAGCTTTTAAGAGGACTCATTCTTCAAACATTTGGTTCGTTAATAAACAAAATTTGGGGGGAGAGGCATCTGTTAAAGTTGCACATGAGAATAGTCTTTCTACTGATGACAAACAGATTATTTCTGAAATAAAAAAGTACTTTAAAAACAATGTTATTTGAAAACTTTTCAAAACACCCAGGCTGGGCAGGTTTTTATTAAAAAACTAACTTTTAAATTCTCGAAACTCGAATTCGAAACGTTGTTACATTGTAAGGAGAATTAAAAAATTACATTATAAAATTTTACAAAATTTTTATTTATGAAAAAGACCTCCACTCCTTGTACAACAGAACTTATTGATACAATTGCAGTTTTAAAACAAACGACAACACACCAGACATGACATATATATGGCATATACATATACATATCATATACACATGTAAAGCCAACACTCATACTATACACTTGCTATAAAATACACTTAACGATTTAATATCGCTAAAAATTTCTCCAACATATCATTTAATCACGACAGATTCACATTGTCACTCAATGAGTTCAGATTTTTACATTCTTCTTTTTGCCTCGCCTTCTTTTTTCTATGCTTTCCCATATTTCTTCCTTTTCTTCAAAATATGTGGCTACATTAGATTTCTTTTATCCTATAAAATCGGAAATTCAAAGTAATATTGTTTCGATTTTTAATAATATACTGTAAGAATTTCATGGCTTTTAATTCCATGAAGTCAGTTAATTCACTTTATAAATTGTTGCTTCCTAATTTATTAATGATAGCATCCGTAAATGCTCGTCGAGAAATGATTGGCTCGTTTAACTTTTCTTTGTAGTGGACCCATTCAAATTTTGGTCCAATTGTAAGTGGCGTTTCTTCATTTCTGCATTTCATTGCAGAATTACCCACAATTTAAATCGCCGGCATAATACGATGTTTTTCATTATCCGTCGTTCTCGTAGATTTATATTCGAATTTTAGACCGAACAAATTATCGGCCGTTTTGATATCAGCAATAAGTTTATTATTATTCAACGGTTTGTTCGCACCTTCATTGAATTCCTTTCGAATTCTTCCAATTATCTCGAACATATCTTTAGCATCAGAAAACATTAAATCTTGAGTCCTTTCTTCGTAACATAACCTTTTCAGCGGTCAACGTGTCCTTATTGATCAATTGCTCAAATGTTAAAAATTGATCGATGACTTTGTCTGAACACTGTCCGAGTCTTTTTACAGCAATTTCACGCAGTTCATTAACACGGTAAAAAAAGGCACTCGGGAATATACTGGCACAAGTCTTGCTAATTAAATTCGACGTTCAGTTTGTTACACTGTTCCTTTTTTTTTTTTTTCATTAGATCTCCCAAATCCATTTTCTTCGCATTTTTACTTGTTCCTGTTGACGTGCGTTGAGATCTTGACGTTCGCTTTTTATCGACCATTTTTTATTGAGAAATGTTCAATACAAATTAATATGAATATTACTTTCACAATATACTTAAACACTATGCGATCGTTCTTCCAAGATCCTCGGCCGTGAATAGTAGCCTCAGTAACCGTTGCCATCAAAGACTGAAAGACTGTCGTGATGATATTCGATTACTACAAGAAACTTCGTTTACTTGCGAAAAACTGAATGTGGATGTTTTTTTTTCCTTGGTTGGCTGTAGTTTTTCGCAGTGCCGAGGGCTGGGGGCCCTATAACCTGCATATAACATGAGAGGAGATATGTAGATATTTTTGAATGTTAGGGATGCGGCGAGACTGATTGTGATGCTAGCAGGAAAAGTTTCAAAAAACCTGCTTGTTCCTTGGAGGGGTTTGCTTGGTTTCAACTTAAGCGTTGCAGAAGTGTTTTGGGAGTTTAACCTTGATTTTGAGTGGGATTTCGTTGACGGCGTAGTTGCCTGTTTCAGCAATAAGTGGATTTTGATGCTTGTTGTTGTAGGCTCGTGGTAATGTGTTTTGTATGTATTGCTTGATGGTTGGTATGTTGACTAATTGATGTAGAGTTGACTAATTGATTGGGGTGTCTCTTTCTTTGTCTAATATTATTCTGAGGAGTTTGTTCTGTGCAATCTGTACTTTGTTGAGGTAGGATTTGGGAGCAGAGGCCCAGACTTGATATCCATAAGTGATGATGGGCCTAATGCATACGAGATAAAGGAGGAGTTTGAGTTTGCTGCCTTTTGAGAGAAGGGGATAGAGTTTTGATAGGGCAGGGTAGACCAGGTTGGTTTTTTTTTCAATGGCTTTTGCCCAGGAGAGTTTACTGTCCAGTGTGATACTGAGATATTTGACAGTTTTTTCCCAGGGGATGCTGTGTCCTCCAATGGTGATATTGACGGTGGGTTGTGTTTTCTTCTGGGTGAAGGTGATGGTCTGAGTTTTTCTGAGATTAATTCTGAGGTTCCAGGTGCAGGTGTATTTTGTTATGAGGTCAATGTGAGTTTGTAGGTACTTGCTGGCTTGTGTTAGGCTCCATGAAGAGGTGTAAATGGCAGTGTCGTCGGCGTATATGGCGAGATGAGTGTTATTGGTGGTGGGAGTGTCATTTATGTATATGTTAAACAGGGTAGGTCCCAGGATAGATCCTTGCGGGACCCCTGCTTGCACCGGGTAGGTTTCTGATGCTATTTTGTTGATTGAGATGTAGAGTCTTCTGTTGTGGACGTAACTAACGATGAGATTGTATATGGAGCTAGGGATCTGTATTTTTCTGAGTTTGTGTAATAGTCCTTCGTGCCATACTGTGTCAAAAGCCTTTTCCAAGTCAAGGAGAATCAACTGGTGATTCTATTTTTGTTCATTTCAAGAGTGGCAAATTCGTGACCCTTTGTAGCTGTTGAATGCAGGAGTGATTGTGTCGGAAGCCGAATTGTTGCGGGATAATGATGTTGTGTTCGCGTAGGTGAACAGGAGGTGGAAGTGAATAATCTTTTCAAAAAGCTTGCTTAAGATGCTTAGCTGATGGGTCTGTAGCTGTGGATGAGTGTGCGTTGTTTACCGGGTTTGGGAACAGGGTGGATCATTGCAGTTTTCCAACTCGTAGGAAAGTATAAGGATTGGATGCATGCTTTGAGTATATAGTATAGGTGAACTATGGTTTTTTTGGGAAGGACAAATTGGCTGGAGGTAATCTTGTCCGATCCAGGGGCTTTATTATTAGGGAGATTCTTGATGAGTTTGTGGATAAGTCGAGGTGATATGTGGATCTGTGGGGGATTGTGAGTTGTGTTGAGCGATGGGGGGGGGGGGATTGTGGTGGTGTGGGATTGGAGGATGCGGTTCTAGGAAGGGTTGCGTTGCGAGGGAGGTTACTAATGGTAGAGTAAAATTTTGCAAGGGCTTCAGCTTTCTCTTTGTCGAGTTGGCGCAGGTAGGAGGTACTTCTGGGGTTTTTTTACAGTCCTTGGTATTGTGTTGGCCAGTGAATGTGGATGCCTCCGTCGCCACACTTATATGTACCCTTTCCTATTTGTACCCTCTCCTTGACCAAAGTAATTTAGGACTTATACTTGGACTAATTGTTTCGAACAATAAACCTTCTTACAAAATCAAATTAAGTTTAAGGTTCGAGAATTTTCACTTTACGACATTACGTATAATTAAGAGATTATAATTAAAAAGTAACTTCGCAGCTTCACAGAACTTTTATTCGAACAAGATAACGTTGCAGCCAGTATTACAGTCATTACAAAATTTTTGAAATCAGATTTCCATTTCAGAAAGTCCTGCCTTTTTCTGCAAAATTATAAAATATAATCTTTTGTAAGCAGATTCTACAAATTGTTTCTCGTTGAGGACAAAGTGTATATTTTCGCGCTAGACCGACTCCGACGTTCGACTTAGGTGACGTTCTGCTGATGGACTGTTCCTCCGTGCACTCCTTCGGGTATATATATCCTTCGTTCTGACCTTCGTCCGGGTACCTAGTTCTGGTACGGGCATCCGTCATAAACTTTGGGACCTTACGGGCATCCGTCATGAACTTTGGGACCGTCACCTGGTTCTTAACCTTGAGTGGCCTCTTCTACCGAGTAGGCAAAGAAGTCTTCCCACGCCTAGGAACGGCCGGCGTGGCTAACATTCGCTTACACTTTTAATTACATCCTTGCAAGCTAAGCTTCGACGTTAAGCTTCGAATTTCAAAATTCTCCATCCTTCAAATTGATTTTAGTTTCTTGCTTCGAGAATTGAAATTAACAGAAATTTATCTAAATTTGCAATTGACAGTTGGAAGTAAATTTGAAATTAACGCTTTTATATAAATTTTTAATAGTCCCGGTTGAACGAAACAACGTACAAAAATGTCTAATCGAGATTCTTGTTTAAAAGAACACTGACATTCGAACTTTCTTCTGGATCTAATTTACTTCTCTCTTCTTTTTTTTATTGACGACAGTGCTGAAAAATATTTCAAGATATACAAGTGATGGTGGTGTAGTGAGATATTTTTTTGCTACATTCTTTAGACATTTTATACTGTTGTTTCACAATTACGATCGATTCTTACTTGTGTATATCGTTAAAAACAAAAACCGATCATTCGCGAAGCACAACATTTGAGATTCCAATGTTCTTTACTCGTGCTGAAAACGATTTTCCCTTCGTTGATTTTCTTCTTTTCTTATCTAAATTTCGAGAGTCTTGAATTACGAGAAAAGCAAAATGTTTCGAATTCTCGAAACTTTTTTGAATTTCAAGGGTTTTCAAGGTCACGAATAAAGTCAATTTGAACGTTCAACGATAATGTAAAAATGTTTAAATCCAAAGAATCCATTTAAAAAATATCTCGTTACTCTGAAAGACTTTTCAGTACACTGTAGTCGACGAAAAAAAAGAAAGAATTAGATTTGATTCGGAAAGATTTCAGCTGGTGTTCATAAACAAGAATATAAATCAGATGTTTTTGTACGTTGTTACGTCTTCGTTTACAAGTGGTCAATAAAAATTTACACAGATACAGTTCTTCAAGCAATTCTTCTAAAACATCATAAACAAAAGTAATAAAATTGTAGCAATTATACAAAACAAAATTATACAAATTAAAAAAAAAAAATTATTGGGATAAATATAGTAACTTCAATACCAAAAATTAAAAATAATGATCGAAAGAAAAGACTGGCACGGAATCTTTTTCTTTTCCTAAATTTATCACTTTACAATTTATCAATTACTGACAAAAGAATAAAATTAATATCTTGATTCGAAATCAAGTTTCAAGAATATAAAGGTTTACCTCGAAAGCATTAGCGTCTATGAAAGGACTATGTTAGAATAAAAGAATAAACATTAGCCTCTATATTAGAATACAAAAATAAAGGCTAGTCTCTATTAAAGGATTACAAAGAGTGTCGTTCGATTGTCTATAATTTTTACCTGCATAATGGTATAAGCTTAGACAAACACGCAGGTTATTTCATACTTAAATTTCATTCCATGACTAAAGCGATAATACACTCAATAACACAACGGATTGACTGAACTCTCGGCATGTCCTCCAGAGAGAGGACAATTTTTCTTCAATTATATATATATGTAGCTTCTACATCTTTTGTAAATGTTTCTTCCGAGTTTATATTCCACATTTTTGACGGCACATTTTTAAAATTTTTAAGTGACAATAATTAATATCAGGCTTATTTTATTACTTCTGCATACAGTGAAATCTTAAGTGCAATCGAAACATGGCGCCACTACATTCATATGACGCCAAATGAGCGTATCTGTGTATAGAGCATATAACCTAAACGTAACCTAACTCCTCTTGCGTTGGAATGACATGCTACGTACGTCGAGAATTTTTTGTCCCAAAATTGCAATATTTTCTCAGTTCTAAGTATATTTAAGTAAAATAAAATAGGCGAAACAAATAATAAGTTTATTACTTCTAAATAATTCCAGTGATATCATACCTACGAGTTCAAAACGAAGGAAAACTTTAAATAAATAATTTCAATGATCGATGGAGGATACATGTTTTTCGTCAAACATAAATATACTACACATAGTAATAAAAAATTTAAAAAACGTTAAATACGTCTAGTAATACAAAAATTAAGGGAACATGCGTCTGTAAAAGTTATTTTTGTTTTATGTCATTTAGTCTTCCAGTGACCACCCTGTACTTAAACGAGGAAAGGTTTATCTTAAATTTCTGAGAAGACTATTAGCGAAAAATAATACTAAATAATATTTAATTACTCTGTTTTCCTATAAATCTTTCGTCTTTTACTAAAGATTTCCGTGAAGAAGAGCAGTTAACGCGTTTATGAGACGGTAATATTCATTTACGTTCAACTTTGCGAGTAACTGTATGTATATAGTTATTGTAAATAACATTAAGATTAAATTTTTCGAATAATTTTTTTAAAAGTGTACAATGTACAGAGAGCAAAGTGAGGAACCAGATTATTCCGCAATGGGATAATTGTTTATTTCGTATTTCTGTGTCATTAAAAATAAAAGAAATATTGGAATTTTGTATCAAAGAATACGCTGCCAATAGTTACAGTCAGTTTATTATTATGTTTATCCATCGTAATTCTCACGATTATATATTTAATTTTAAAAATAACATTAATAAAGAAAAATTTATTAAAAATTTTGAATTTATATATGATAATATTATTAAATTATTATTAAATTAATAATAAAATATAAATATAATTGATGGTAATGATGAAATTGAATAATATAAAATTCTAATTATATTTGTTGAATTTTTTATGATATTAATCAATCTAATTAATGAAATTATTGAATATTCGTAATAATTTTATTATAAAATTATTTATTGTTTATGTTTAATCTTTTTTTCTTATTTATTTTAAACATTAGCAAATAAGTAGCAGCAATTCTCAATCACACTATCTCTTGAGTATTATTAGGTCTGATTCAGATGATTTTTTGACAATGACACGAGCTGGAAGTAACTTACAAAGGAAATGGAGGAAAATTCAAAATGAAGAAATATCGTATAAATACTAGATTAATTTATTCGTAATACAAATTTTTTCGTGCCTAATTTTTTACTCGTGCCATAATGCAATCCTAAGGATGAAATCATCCCTTGAAATTTTCTATCTCGAGAACGATAAGAGGTATCGAAAAGAACTTTAAACAAAAATTGTTTTGTTTTCGTCTTCTCACATTTAAAATTGGTCGAATTCCTATTTTTCGAATATTTTAGCCTTTTTAATGTCAAAAGTACCTAAGCAAGAAGTATCGAGCCAAGTTGGCGTGGTTTGATGAAGTTTGAGAGAAAAATTATAAAAAATTTTGTAAAAAATGATAATTATAAAATTCAAAAAGGAACATATATAGAGAATTAAATTAATTATATTATTAGAATTATTATATATATATTAATTATAAAATATTAAATATTTGTAAAATTATAAAATATGAAATATTATATATATTAATTATGAAATGTAAAATATTTATAATATTATAAAATATGAAATATTATATATATTAATATGTAATATTAGAATAGAATATCTGCTACTAACAAATATTTACTTCTAGTTACTAATAGACATTTTGATCTTTATATAATATTTGAATATTAAGATATTTAAAAAGATAGAGATTCATATAAGGAAGGCTGTACTGTGTTACGTTTGATGTGATAAACCAGAAAATATGAAACTAAGTACATAGAAAAAAATAAGTACAAACCAGAAAATAGAAAGCAAGTACATAGTACGTTCAAACATTTTCATGTTCTCTTCCAATGATTTAATTTACCTGTCTTTTTGAGTACCATGAGCAATTGTCGTTACATTAAAGTGACATAAATAGTACAAATACTCAAGCAAGAAATCAAAATGTCTAACCTTTATAATAAATTATAATTCTCATATTATACATATAACAAGAATAACAAAAAAAAAGAGAGAAAATGTTCATACATTTTGAAATTTTCTTTTACTAATTGCAAGAGAAAGTTATTTTACTAAGAAAATTAAAGGAAAAGTTCAATAAGGACATTCGAAATATATCATTAAGATGTGTCCATAGCTTATGAATAATTATATACGTATTGGATATATAGAATTTATTTACGTAAAATAGGATTTTATAGTATACAAGTTATAATCATCGAAAAACGAAGTAACAAATGGTAACTGGAGTAATTTTAACGTTTAATAGTATTTCATTTATCAATCAATCAAAGATTCATTGCATTTGTATCATCACCAACCGCCTTTGCCTCACTAGCCCCAACCACCTCCTCCCCAGCCACCTCCTTTCCAGCCACCTCCTCCCCAGCCACCTCCTCCCCAGCCACCTCCTCTCCAGCCACCACCTTTCCAGCCACCCCAACCACCCCAACCTCTCCCTCCGCCATAACGCCATGGTCTTCCATATCTTAAAAACATCGACAAAATTGTTATTAAATTTACGAATTGAAAGCTTTTTAAATAATTAATTTATTAACAAAGAGACTGTCAAGTTATTTTTTAAATAATATCATTTCTATTGAATTAATAACCTTGAACGAGAGTCTAAATAATATCATTTCTGTTGAATTGATAACCTTGAACAAGAGTCTACAGTGCCATTTCAAAATAAAACGACTGGTTTTATCAAACCATTGTTTATTATAAAAAACGTTACGAAGTACAGAAGATGCTTCTTATATATTTAATTTCTAATGCTTGGATCTTTTATATTATATAGTATATTGTATGTTAATTTTTGAATTTCATTAAATATGGTATAGTGGCTACAGAAAGTTTCCATACATAGAATGAAAAATTGTTGATATTTTAGACTGTTGTTAAAAAGAAAATAATTTTGTTTTGTGGAGAAAATTTTAAGTGATCGTCGTAAAGGGTTACGGTGGATTTAGTTATGAGAAAATTTGTGTTAGCTTGTTTGTAAAGACGTTTGAGTTTGCAAAATTTTTGAAAGAAAAAGTATCTTTACTTGATCTAAAAACTTCTTTGAAAGTACTGCGAAAGTAGAAGTTTCGACCTTTAAAATGAGTATTCTCATACTCGATAAAAGGTTCTAATAAATCTAAAAAATTTAGTGCTCAAATCTTTTACTTTATGTAACTTCTGAATTCCATTTCATTTGGCGTGAAATCTATTGAATTGTAAGTAACAAATTCGTTTTGAACTTTAAATTAATTGATGGATTACATATAACAATAATTTCTAATCTAAAAATTGATAATTTTTGAAGTCTGTGTTTCTAGTTTTATATTTTTCTTTACATCGTCTTTATGTCGAACTCTTTAATAAATTGATAGTACATATGAGCTGTTTATTTTGAAAGTCCATTTTCCAAAAAAAATCAAGCTAGCTTTCAATATTTACAATATTTTTACGTCACCTTTTCATTTTTAAACAAATTGTTACTGATATATTTAAAATCATTAAAGAAAATTTGTTAATAGAATGATAAAAATTTTTATTTAAAAAATTTTTTTTTATTATAAAAATTTGAAAGCAATTTAAGTCAAACTGATATGAAGTATATTATGCAGTAAAATTTTATGACATAAGAGCCATATTTTCTATTATTACTAAAGCGTTCGAATACTATATATATATATATAGTATTATAATATAATATATTATTACATTTTATATATATATATATAATATGTAATTATATATATATGTTACATTTTGAAATTGAACTGAATTAGTCTGAAGATTGTTTTAGTATACACAAATCCGAAATCGGTATAAAATAAAATAAAAAGAGCGAATCTCTACGTATCAAAAACTTGTGAAAGAAGTACACCTCGAAGACAAAAAGATAGCATACTCTAGATTTTCTTATATCATGTATCGTAATTGTTTGTAAATTTAATCTTAGTAATTTCTTAAATTAATTCTTAGCAATTTCTATCCAGTTGTACACCGATGAATTCAAAAAGAAAGCGACGAATTATTGTACGACGGTTTGGTCACTCGTTATGGTCCGCAATCAGTTGCCAGCGCAAGTGGTTAATCTTCAGAGTCCCGGATACAATCATACATATCGTTGTTAGTTTGTTCAGGAAGTTGATTCTTGCTACGTTTCTTTTTAAATTTTGTATTCTAAAACTTTAAATTTTCATACTGAATTTTTCTAAAACTTTAAATTTTCATACTTTTCTCCTCAAACCTTATCAAATTACATCAACTTGGCTCGCGGTACCTATTTTTCGCTTAAATATAGCTGTTTTAATCAGCAACAAAGGGTTTTTTTTTTTCTAGAGATAATTTTACATATCACATCGTTGCGAAGAAGCTGACATAACTTGAAATAGTATACTTTTCAAAGCGAGCCAAAAACTGTCTTTAGACCGAATTTTTAACAAAACAAATAAATTTACATAGTTATCTGTAGAAAAGATTTGAACAAAATTGGTGTTCACCTAAAACGATTAGCTTTTGAATGTTATACGCTGACGAAGTAACAGAAGGAGAAACAATTCGAAGTGCAATGTCTAGAAGTTAGCAAATAGTCTTCTTGATAATTTCGTTTAAAAAGTTTATCGTGAAATGTGACAGTAAATACTTTTTAACTGGCGACGAACATAAACACATTAGTAAATATATAGATTTCACTTAGAAATTTATAGTACGTAATGTTTGTTCAGAATATTTTTTTTGAGAAATTATAACGATTATAACTTTTACCTGTAACTTGTGTATTTAATATAAATGTAAAAGTAACAAAAGTAAAAAAGTGAGATTCTAGATATGACATTGTCGCTGGTGAACTAAAATGATTTATGTCAACGTACTACATTACCTATCGTGTGCTATGGGTATGATTAGTATTTCGTTACTAGCGTATGACAAAAATGCGAAAAAATTATTTTAATTTACCCATAGGCGCTTGCATCAGCATCTAAATCTAAGTCGTTGGCATTGTTCAGGGAAGGTTTAGACTCTGCGAGAGTAGGCTCTGAAGGCTCTTCCAAACAGGACACCAGAACCACAATTAAGAGTAGTAAAATCTGCGTATGAAAAATAATAATATATAAATTAAACGTAATTATATTTATATTTAATTTATATAATATATAATATATAAAATTATATTATATATAAATTAAATATAATTATATTTATTATGTTCCCATTCCTATTTATCATGTTTTAAACAGACAAAAAAATATCAAACAGACAAGAAAATATATAAAATTTTTGAAAAAATGATTGGAACTCGAATGAAACGATAGATCTTATCTATCTTTCAATTGTCCCACAGTGGTAAGGGATTAAATCGAGAAATATTGATGAAATATTGAATTACAGATATTGAATGCAGAAAAAAATTGAAAAATTGTGTAAGTAACCGAAGCAAACAGAATAAATTCTTTACTCACCAAGTGCACCGGTCGCGGCATTCTGAGAACTGAGATCACGTTGGTCAGGATCATGTTTATATATCTCTTCATGCACAAAGTGTTGTGAAGAAAACTTGAGGTTGCATAAGGATAAATGACAACCGGTAAATGTTGAAAAAAAGAAAAAATACAATCTTCAATGATTTATAGCAGGATTGTTTACGTAGTATTTTAATTTTCTCATTATGTATAATAAAATCGTTTTTATAACAAAAAATTATAGGCATTAAAAAGATTTGTCTTTTGAAGAATCTGCAGAATACTGTATTATGTTATTCTGGTTCCCTTTATTAAGTGATAATCTTCAGCTTTATAATCATCTTTATGTAATAAGTTATTTTATCTAATATTTTATTATAAATATTAGATAAAATAACTTATTACATAAAGATGTAATAAGTTATTTTATCTAATATTTTAACAAAACCAATATATCTCTTTAATAATACTATTTAAATGTTTTACTATTTTACTATTTTTTTTTTTACTATTTAGTTTTACTATTAAATAAATTTTTGTTAGTATATCTTGGTATTTATTCCGTTAATTTTTATATAAGTAAGTAAATTAAATTTATATGAAAAAAGGTGGGTATTAGTAAATACAACCATAATAAAAATAATCATATTAATTTCTAATTAATTCCTTTTTTCGACAAAAATATTATCTGTTATATATTACAATTTATATATAATATATAATATGTTTTACATGTTTGACACATTTATTTTTGGGATTATTAATAATTAGATTAAATTAAATGTAAATAATAGTATAAATAATAAATAATACTATACAATAATTATTAATTAAATATTATTATGTATATATTAATATATTTTATTATATTATATATGTTTAAATAAATTTTTATTTTATTTTATTTATTTTATTAATTTTTATACATAAATTAAATTCATTTGCTAAACAGACTAGATATTAATAAATATGATATAACGTTTAATTTCTAAATATTTAATTTCTTTTTTTCAACAAAAATATTAAGTTAAAGTAAAAATATTTAGTTCTTCTATTTTCAGTATGATTAATAATTAAATTAAATTAATTCTGCTATTATGTTATTATATTATAATAAATTTTCATCAGTACATTATTAATTATTTTTTTCATTAATTTTTATACATAAAATAAAATTATTTAAAAAGAGATATATATTAATAAATAATAATTTCGATTAATTCAATGTTTTTTTTTCAACAAAAATGTTAATTCATGTATTTAACTTATTTAGTTAATAATTAAATTAAATTAAATTAAATTAGTAAATTAAATTAATTAAGTTAATTACACTATGTTATACATTGGCTGCATGTCCAAATAAATAAATAAGCATGCACATGTATGTGTATGTTTGTACACAGATATATAGAGATGCATATAAAGAGGTAGAAAACCAAAAAAGAAAAAAACTGAAGTTATCAAATATTATTTAATTGAATGTTTTCCCAAATTAGTCTTAAACAAAGACAGGAATATATCAGATGAATACGCGCCAGTTTTCAAGGTAGGCTGGTTACATTCCAGCACTTCTCTGGTTCTCTTCAAGCACAACTTTTGTTCCTTTTGGGAAGAAGTGAACACATCGTTGTTCTTTGTTTTGTCATTTTCTGCAATATACCAGCTTTGTTAACAAATTATTTCAATTAAGCTTTAACTGTTAATATCGTCTATATGCCTGGAAATTCTATCCATTCCATCAGGTATTTGACTTAACCATTTGTTAACATTAGAACTATCGACGATTAAACCATAAAATTTTCATCAGAAACATTGAAAAAAAAAAAAATGGAAAATTTTTGTAATACTGTTGAGTAAAGAAGCTTTTATTTTACGAAGAATGATTCAGATCTTTTAAAAATACACTGTTTCACATTTGTAAAATTTCTAAGGAAAATTATAAATTGATCATTTTCACTATTTTGGTAATTCTAGACACTGTACGAAAATTGAGAAACACTTCTAACAATCCAAAATTAATATCTTGTGCGTTGCTCTATAAGCTATAATCATCTGCTTCAGATGATTGATTTATTGATATTGAATTCAAATTATGCTGAACAAGCGAATCATACGACAATTGCATGGAAGTATTGTGAATCATAATTCGTGATTCATAAACTATTGCAAAGAGGACCGAGGGAAAAAGGAAAATATAGAGGAAATAGGTAATATATTCAGTCAAATAGCTAATATATTCATCTGTCTTTTATGTGAAGTATGCAAAACATACGCAGTATGGGATATATACATTTGCGTAAATACCCGCAGACTAATTATATTTTTTTAAGATTCTCACATGCAATTCCGTCATAAACGTTCTAATACAAAATCATGAATGAATGTTATACGTTGAAAAACTAATAAAATTAGAAAAATTAGTAATAAAATTGGTAAAATTAGAAAAATTAGTAATAAAATTGGTAAAATTAGAAAAATTAGCAATAAAAATTAGTAAAAATTAGTAATGAAAATTAGTAAAATTAGTAATGAAAATTAGTAAAATTAGAAAAATTACTAATAAAAATTAGTAAAAGTAGAAAAATTACTAATAAAAATTAGTAAAAGTAGAAAAATTAGTAATGAAAATTAGTAAAATTAGAAAAATTAGTAAAATGAGAAAAAGAGTAATAAAAATTAGAAAAATTAGAAAAATGAGAAAAAAGAGTAATAAAAATTAGTAAAATTAGAAAAATTAGTAATAAAAATTAGTGAAAAATAATTATTATGTATATAAAAAGTAAGGCGATTTTATGTATAATATATAAAAAACAAAATTTTTTCATTTCGAAACTTCTCTGTTTTTGAGAAAAAATCAAGTTTATAAATTCCTAAAAAGTTTGGAAATTTCTATGTACTTCATAACCACAAGAGTATGATAATATTGTTTAATAGATAACAAAGAAAAGAAAAAAATGTTCTGTCTACGTTCATAACATTACATTTGAAAAACAAATCATAAAGAGTATACATACGGGCCGTACAAATAGTAATAAAAAAAAAGTAGAAAAAATAAACGAAAAAGTTTGGTATAAAATTTTAATAAACGCATTTACGTGCAAAAATATCTTTATCTTTTCTATCTAGTAATATTTAAATGTAATAATTGTAATAATTTAATAATATATATTTATATTACTATTACATTTAAATTTTTATGTAATAAAATTAATAATAATTAGTAATTAAATAATAATTAAATAATAATAATTATTATTACATTTAAATTTTTATGTAATAAAATTACATGATCACGGAGTAGCAACCCATTCAGGCCAATTTTTGATTTGATTCTGAAGTTGGACTCCAGGACTTATAACATTTCTAACTTGTTTGGCACCAATTACACGAACGTTTTCCCGAAGTATTCCTTGTGACTTGCCACATAGAATTAATTTGTACGCGGCATTCACCATTTCATCACTTGCAGCCTTTTCTGTAGGGAAAATTATTAAATTTAAAATAAAATTTATTAAATTAAATTAAAATAATAATTATTTATTTAATAAAAAAATTTGAATTAAATTTATTTAATAAATTAAAAAAATTTATTAAATAATATTATGTAATATTAAATTTATCATATAACATTGAAAATTTAATAAATTAAAATAAATTTATTTATTAAATTAAATTAAAATAAAAATTATTTATTTTATAAATAAATGAAAATAAATTTATTTATTATATTAAATTTAATTGTAATAATAAACAATCCCTGCGAATTACGCGAAATAAAAATAAAATATAAAGTGCTAATGTTTCGTGAGATACCTTCAAAATTCCCAATGAAAGCAATGGAGATAGATTTTTTATTGTATCCATACGTGTGAGCACCCTCGCGATTCCAGCCGCATCCCTCGTATATATTCCCATCACCACCGATTAGGAATCTGTATAATTATTTCGTTATTCTAATAAAAAAAATTGTTATCACTTGTAAATTTTTAATTTTGTTCTAAAATTGATTTTTGTTGATTTTACAACAGTTTTCGTTTTTAAATTTTAATAATTTATTTAAAACTTAATAATTTATTTCTGTTTATTTAATTTTCTATACTTATTCATTCTTATTCATTGTTTTAATAAATTTTAATTTTTATTACATTTTTATTAAAATATTAAAGACTAAGAATAGAAATTAAATAAATGAAAATAAATTTTAAGCTATTATTATTATTATTAGTATCAGTGTTATTGTAAAATTTAGAAAAAAATTTGCGATAAGAGTAAAATTGAATGAATAAAAGTAAAATGTGGATAAATTATTTTTAAAAACATAAAATAAAATAAAATAAAAATAAAACATTGTTTTGCGAAAACAAATAAAAATAAAACATTGTTTCTTGCATGTACAAATAATATAAAAATAGTTAATGAAGAACCTAAATTTGAATGTAGAATGTAGAAAATCTAGGTCAAAATGTTTAGAATGAATTTAGAAATTAACAGAAAAAGAAAAAATACAAAACACATTAAAAGTTAATTTTAAATAAATAATTGTTACTTTTATATAATATAAATATTTTAATAAATATGCTGCAGCAAAACTCCGTTTATATAAATATGCACAGATAATTGATACAAATTATATGAATATATGAAATATATTAATTATATGAACTTAAACAGATGGTTCATATAATTAATACTAGAACAATCGATCTTTAATACGCATCGAAGAATTCTACAATCATTATAATTTAAATAACGACAATAATTAAAATAAATAAATTTATACAATTGTTCCTGTCTAAACAGAGATCAATATTAATTTTAACCGTATCTTCTGAAGCGATTGTAAAACATGAAAATCGATCATTTCCCGTCAAAATTCATATAATAGAAGTTCAATCTTCCTCTATTATTGATTTCTCATTTCTACAGTAATAAAAATAATAACAATAATAATAATAATAACAACAATAATAAATTCAAGTTCAAGTAGATTCAATTAGTAAAAGTTCATTTACTTAGGCATTGACTGCAATTTGGTAAATAAACGAAATTCATATATATATGAAGTATATTTAAAATAATTTAAATAAATATAATTTATTTCATATATATATATATATGAAGTATATTTAAAATAATTTAAATAAATATAATTTATTTCATATATATATATATATGAAGTATATTTAAAATAATTTAAATAAATATAATTTATTTCATATATATATATATATGAAGTATATTTAAAATAATTTAAATAAATATAAATACAAATATACTTTAAAGTATAATTTAAAATAAATACAAATGTACTTTAAAATATAACTTAAAATAAATACAAATTTATCTTAAAATATAAGTATATTTTAAAGTAAATTATAAATAAAGTATAATTTAAAATAAATACAAATGTACTTTAAAGTATAATTTAAAATAAATACAAATCTACTTTAAAGTATAATTTAAAATAAATACAAATCTACTTTAAAGTATAATTTAAAATAAATACAAATCTACTTTAAAGTATAATTTAAAATAAATACAAATCTACTTTAAAGTATAATTTAAAATAAATACAAATCTACTTTAAAGTATAATTTAAAATAAATACAAATGTACTTTAAAGTATAACTTAAAATAAATACAAATGTACTTTAAAGTATAATTTAAAATAAAAACAAATCTACTTTAAAGTATAATTTAAAGTAAATATAAATATTTAAAATAAATTAATTTAATTTAAATAATAAATATAAATTAAAGATTTCATACAATCCTATAATTGTTGTAAAACAAATATCCGTTTAAGATAATATATATATAAAATAATACTTAAGAATATCCTATATCGTGCCACTTGTTAACATCCATGTGAAAATGTCTAATGCTTTCGACAACAGCAACACATGTTCCTCTATTGTCACATTCTGGAGTAACCGTATGATGAATTATGACATACGGAATGGGGATGATCAAGTAATTTACGCTTCTTGGCTCTATATCGGTCCAATCGCTTCGTTTGATAATCTCAGGGCAACTTTCATCTTTTGTTTAAAGAGACCAAAAAAAAAAAAAGTGATAAATTAGTTTGCTTTCGACGATGATTTGTAATGTCAATTCAATTTTTTATTCTCTCTTCAACCAATACCTATATTTTTAACTTTATGAATCTACATCCGAAACAAATTAATTAAGATTTATTCTCAATCAATACTTCGTTCTTTAAAAATGACGTCAATCAGTCTGACTGACGTCCGTCGTAAAAAAAAAACCGTTTAATATCGTTATTTTCAACGAATATTTTATTAACAAGCAATTCGTCGTAGTTTTCAAGAATTTCAATGTTAATGCGTATGAATATAATGCTTCGCTATAATGATTTCCATATCACACGATGACTTTTCATCTCCAATCATCCTTTTCATATCACATAACAAATTTTGATGATTATCACTTTGCTTAATAAATAAATAAATAAATATGTATATATTTGTATATATTATTTATATATATTTATATATATGTTGTTTATTAAATAGCATTATAGAAGTTTTTGAAAAAAAAGATATGCTTGATTCAAAGAAAAAAGATTTACTAAAAATCACGGTTATTTTGTTTTGAATAATTCTATCGCTTTAGCTCTTAGCATAAATAATTATTATACAGAAAAATCGAGAAACGCATGGAAAAATATTACGTTTGAACTATATATGGTTTTATGATACTTAAGATTGTTTAAAGATCACGCGGATAAATATTTGTCATAGCGATATATATAATAGTAATTACAAAACTGCTAGCTTTTTCAAAAGAGGAAATTTAAAAAAATATTATTTGTCATAAAAACAGTATTTAACAGTAGTTATGTACAACTAATTCCATTACAATTGTTCAATATATTATTTTACAGAAAATATAAACATAAATATAAATATATAAATTATATAGAATGTATTATTGCTATTTTAATTTCACTCTACGATTTTAGTAAAATTTTATTATCCGTTTGATAACATTTATATAATAACTTACCACAGGCACAAATATAAAAGAGAAGAGTGATTACGAACATTAATGTTTGCATTTTGCAAATTAAAATGAAACTGGTACGTTCACTTACAAAAAGTTAGCACACACTTATTTAAGTATTAATCCATAGAAGACGAAGCAACTGACTGACGAAAAGAAAAAATTTCAATTCAACTAAAAATGCTTATGTTCGGCGGCTATCTCATACGACTAAAGTTCACGACTAATCTAAATCAGCGTTAACTCATTTTTACACTTCTTCTCTATCTTTTTCTATCAAGGAAAGTGCAAAATATACATTATTTAATGGAAGATGTATTATTTAATTTTAATATAAAGATGTAATATAATGTGCCCTAATTTTAAACGGCCAAACTGCAAGGATCAACATGTAAAAAGAAGAAAGATATAGTATTACATGTAATATTATATGAAATTAATTATAATAATGTATAAATATATAATATTATATAATAATATACAATTTCTGGAAAATGTTACACATTTGTCTCTCAAAAATTTGTTTGGTATTGTACCTCATGTAACATTTCATTTTTCTTTTTGCCTGTAGATTGATCCCTTGCAGTTCAGTTGTTTAAATTCCAGGACACCCTACATTTTTTATTCTAATAAAATATTTTCAATAAATTTACTTATTTACTTATTTACTATAATACTTTAGATTTACTTATATACTTTAGATTATAATACTTTACTACTATATTTAAGTAGGTAAGATTTATTTATTTATTATAAATTAAGATTATAATTTAAGATTTACTTATTTATTATAAATTATTAATAAACTATTTCAATAGTTTACAAACAGTTCCTAGTTCGCTGTTTCCAGGGCAGTAATGAACACATTAATATTGTTTACAAATCTTAGATAAGATCAACACATGTGTACAATTAATGTTGCTGCGTTGCTTTTTTTCTCTTCATCCTGGTTACTTTTATCAATACAGAAGAATATGTTAAGACTACGTCAAAGAGAACGATACTCAATTGAGAACGATAAATGATCACGATTTTTTTATTCCTCTTAAGATCATTGATGTTTACACTACATACAGTGATTCTCATTAATATTTAAATTGCCATGATTTTGTGAGGACACATCATACATACAATAAATCTGGGCTTGCTTTAAAACTTGAAACCCCTACTTTCAAAATGTTCACCATCGTTCATTTTATTCTAATTTATTCTTTACACCACGTAGAGGGTGAGTAAGATTTTTTTTTTTGTATAGAATAAAAAACCACGTGATACATAAAAACTAATGTATGAAGAATAATTTTTGTGCGAAAAAAATATCAATAAATTCTGGAAAAATATGATCTTAAGTATTTACCGTTTTTGACTAAAAAAAACACTTCATCTCATGTATCCAAAATCATTCATATTGCCAAAAATAATAAAGATATCAAGATAAAAAAAAGACACCCTGTATGTACCCTATATGTACAAATTGTTCAGCGTCTGCATTTTTGTACAAAATTTTACACCTGACACGTATGAAAATTTCACGGCCATATAGTAAGTATATAAAATAATTAATAAAATTTCGTATCAAACTCCATTAAATTGCAACGTTATAGAAAAATGTTTATTTAGTCTTCAAACACATAGGCGTACGTTTAATAGATGTACACACACGTACACGCAAATACAGAAGCCATGTACGTAGGTATTCTTAAATAACCAGATTTCCAGAAAGGACATCCAAGGACATTTTTTAATTCCGTCAATCGCGTGAATAATGAAATTTAAATACAAATATTTTGTTGAATGGACGTTTCGATTTTCGTGCGAACTGATGTAACCTAACCTAAGAAAAAAAAAAAGAAAAAAGGGATGCTAGGGAATTTATTGGTAACGGTTATTGGTACTGTCGTGTTTCTAAATAATCGTGCGCTGCAGTGCGTAGCTCCATCTAGGAGCGTCGGCTACCGACGTCCGCCGCGGCGGCGATAGAGTCAACATCCGGCGACGCAGAGATGCGCACGTTTCGGCGCTCGCCGAGGGAAAAGGGACGCCGCGGTCGTGACTTCGGGACATGAGAGCGACGATGAAGAAGCCCGCCAGCCTGCACAGCAGCACCTGAGGAGCACGCTCGCTTCCAGCGTTACTTGTCCAACTGAGGAATTTGGTCGGCTCGCTTCGGATTTATCGTGTAGGCCCCGGTCTTCAGGCCCCCGTAAAGCACATCATTCCGAAACGCGGCCGAGAGAGGCTAGCTTTTTCCACCAACGAGGTAACACTCCCTTCGTGCCGTGAACGGGCTCTGCGATCCTCTTTTTTAAATGGAAATCACCGAGAATCGTTGCACCACCTCGTTCGTCTGTCTGATTATCAAATCCCTGGACTCGATGGGCGGGTATCACCCGGTTTCGCGAATCTTGCCGATTAAATTAGCCGCGAATGCAACTTAACAAATACATACTAGTATTCTACGAAAAATCGTGTGTTTGTAAGGATCTCGTTTCTTGACAATTGTCTTTCACTTTCGTTTCGGACACGCGACCCTCGTTCACTGTTGGCATCGATGAAATTACGGGCTTTGATCAATCCCGTTCGTGCGTATAATTTTTTTTTTTTTCATTCGAACATGAAATTCACGAAGTTCTTTTTACCGAGGTTATTCAATCATTCTGTGCAATGTTTGTTTATATCTGGCAAAGTACAAGTGTATACGAACATCTGATTTATATGTATATTGTAGATTTATTATATTTTTGTTTTTAAATAGCAAAATGTTGATTGCGTAAAGCAATGTTTATTCTATCAATGGGAACATAACAGTACATGTATATAACCTCGTAATATATTTTTTTTTTATTTTAAATCAAGTAACATTTGTCATTTTGCATGTAATCGTAAATTTATATTTTGTATCTATTTACTCTGATATTTTCGATTAATCTAATTTGTGCATTTTATCGCACATTGTTATATTAAAGAGATGAATTTTACTGAAATTACGTTCCGTATTTTATTCAATTTTTTTAGGTGAGAAGAGAACTAATCGTCTAATAATTTTTGGTGAAGATTGATCATTAATATCAAGAGTGTTTCTCCTTTGTGTATCTTGTTCAAAGAGGTTCTCGACGTCCACAGTTAAGGGCAAGAGGTTTGTGTTTCGATAATTTATGGACTTAATTTATCATATTTATTCATCGTATTTACTGTTCCTTACTAAAGTAACAATGATGTGTGCCATTAAAGTTTATTGTTTAACCCGGGATTACCGACGTGAGGGTCTAGTCGCTGGGATGTATCTGCGCTAGATCCCCAGGTGGGTAATCCCGGGTTAAATGCTGTCTTATTACTTGCACCTTCGAGACGAACATATTTTATAATTTAAGTTTCATTTTAGAGCCATGTCATCAGGTGCAGGTTCCAGTGGAACTGGCCGGGGGCGTGGTTCATCACTGGCAGACAATAAGCCAGAGAGCAAGGAAGCGAAGCCTAATCCAAAGATGTCGAAAGCTTTAGGAACTTCCGCCAAAAGGTAGCACATCCATCATCCAAAATTAAAAAGACTCTGCCATGGAGACTTAACAAGAGCTTAAACTAATCTTCTTGTCGCAGGATACAAAAAGAATTGGCAGAAATCACATTAGATCCACCACCAAATTGCAGGTTTGATATCTTTTTTAAATTGTTTCTTTTAACCATTTATGTTATTTACTATAATAATTTATGAAAGCATTTAAATACATACATATTGTATATAAAACATTTTGAAACGTTATTAGCATTGCGAAACATCACAGATACTGCAAATAAATACAGGATTGGGGAATAAATTCCCTAATGAAATAAAGGCCGAATAAAACATATATTTGTATGAACTTTTCTTCTCCTCATGTGCGGAATCTATTGTCAAATGGTATTTCTGATGCTATAGGACACCCTGCATATAATAAATACACATTAGTACATAGCATAAATAATCTAATAAATCTTAAGCATGTTTGTCAAAAATATCAAGGCTTATTAATATAATAAATAGTTAACTGTTTAAATACTTTTGTAATCTCTATATATGTGTACTAATCATCTTATCTAACTTATATATTACGCTAACAATCCAGTTTCATTAGTGTTAATGAGCTTTCAAAATGTTTTATGTAACATACATATATAATATATTTATAAAATAAATGTTCAAATATTTTTGCGAACATTAACACCATTCACTATAAAGCCTGTTTTATACATCAATAAATAATAGCACTGATGTTAAAGTAAACATTTATAACTAATTTTATTTTATTATATTTCTTCATTATTAATCCTTTCACTGTTTAGTCAAGTAAAAAATAGTCTCATTTTTTAGTCTATAAATCGTAGGGATTCACTATTTAGTCTGCATTGTACAAACAAATGGTTCATTTTTGTACAAAACAATAGTTCATGGAGCATTTTTCATAATTTTATTCTACAGTGAAAGGGTTAAAAATCTCTTATATGTTGTACAATTTTCTCATTGTTAGAATAGATTAATTTTTGCTCTTATTTCTCATATTATTAAATAATCTGTGTAACTTTATCTTATTATAGTGCAGGACCTAAGGGAGACAATTTATATGAATGGGTATCAACAATACTTGGACCTCCAGGTTCAGTTTATGAGGGAGGAGTATTTTTCTTAGACATACACTTTTCTCCAGAGTATCCATTTAAACCTCCAAAGGTATGTTTATAATATAGTTAGTTATTAATTATTTAATAAATTTATGAAAAAAATTGTTTAAAAATGAAGGAATCATTATGCGCATATCATAATGCGCATACAGTGAAAGTGCTTTATGTTTTGGAAACAATAAGCTGATTCTGTTATCTTTTGGAAATGTTAATATCATTTCTACTTAACATGTTTTATCAATAAAATAATTTATTAATTTTGTACAGTTTTATAAAACATCACGATGTCAACATTTTTTTCATAAGTTTGCAGTAAGATTTATAAAATATATTATTATTAAAAATAGGAAAGAAGTGTTTACAGTTAATAACTATGGAAATGTAACTATAGAGTTTTTGTTGAATGCATTAATTAAAAGATTTACTTTAATAATTAATATTGATAATATTTATTCAGTTTTAAAATATATAAGCTGTTTTATTTATTTTTAATTTATATTTTATATCAATTTATATTAATTTATTTTAATAATAAATATATTAATGATTTCTTTATTTTTACTATAACATTTTCTAAATCATTAAGTAACATTTTTATATGATATTTTCATATCCTGGGATCAATGAATCAATATTAAGAGATCAAATTTTAATAATTCTTTATTAATATGTAATTTTGTTAGACACAAAGTATATCAAAATTGAGCAGAAGTAGTTTAAAGTAAAAATAACTCGTTTGAATATTTAAAAAAATTTTAAAGCAATATATAGAAATTTAAAACATAAGAATACAGCATATTTTCTTTGAGAAATAGATTTTTATAAAACATCTGTTAAATTGTGGATAATTCCTGTAAATTGTGGATCATTTGTAAAAAATATTGCAATAAATAAAGAGACATAAAATCATTAATATGTAATTAATGTTAATATAATGTTTTTAGGTTACATTCCGAACACGTATCTATCATTGTAACATCAATAGTCAGGGTGTGATTTGTTTAGATATTTTAAAGGACAATTGGTCTCCTGCGTTAACCATTTCAAAGGTTCTATTGTCCATCTGTTCTCTTTTAACAGACTGTAATCCAGGTGAGAAACAGTATCATCAATATTGTAGTTAAATTGCTTGGAATGATAATGTATATTTTTTTAAATAAAACTAACAAAATTAATTTATGTATTTGTATCAAGAATAATTGTTTTTTATTTTACTTTCACAATATTGCTGATTTAATGATTTTAAATAAGTAAATATATTGTATAAAATAAGCAAATTGATATATTCATTATTATGTTGTCTGTATTATGATATTGTTTATGTTTCAGCGGATCCCTTAGTAGGAAGTATAGCAACACAGTATCTACAAAATAGAGAAGAGCATGATCGCATAGCACGGCTTTGGACTAAACGTTATGCTACATGAATGACATTTTGAAGAAAAAAAAAAAAAAAACTGATCTCCTTGTTCTTTCAAAGCGAACTTAAGGGAGCCCGTTTAACTATATTAAAATTTTGATTATTCGGACATTGATCAATTATTTTTGATAAATTAATGAGAATAATTACAAATTTTTTCGATTAATCGAACGCAGGTTTAAATTTTTTAATGTAGTGGTATTTTTCTTTAAATTATATTTTAATTAAAATTATTTGTCATGGTTTAGAATATTGTTCCATTAACCATATATATATTTTTTCATTGATAAATTTTGATTATTTTACAGATTTATTATTTCACTAGTCAGCATTAAGGAAAATTACCTTACATTAATGAAAGCTACACAGTTAACAAAGATGTTTGATTACTCGAAGAAATATTACGAATACTTGATAATTTCTTTTTGTTTATGTTTGAAGTACATTTCTTGATAAATATAAATAGTCATTATAAATGATCATTCGAATAATCACAATTCAGGTTCTCTGCACCTTCGAAAACTTATCGTATGTATATGTATATCTATCGAAGGATTGCTTTAAATGAAAGACTCTTTAAGATCGTCGATACGATCATTGTGATGTGCTTTTATATCGAGTATGTAAATGTGCCTAAGATGAATGAATGTGCGTGCATGTGCTACCTTGCTAACTCGTTTTCACCCCGCAGCTCTTGAAATGTTTATATCTTCCAAAATGTATTCTTGTGAATACTGATGATGCCATTAAAGTATACATTTAGTCCTAACGTTTAATCTTAAATAATTTTGCCATTACATGTATTGATCTTTATGAAAAATATTTTTTTTAATAATAAATTATTTGTATAAAAAGTACATGCATCAATTCGACTCAAAGTTTTATAATAGTATCACGAATTTTTTTGAGCAATAAATTTTTACATAACAATACATTTGACTGATATTAACAATTCATATTAGTGTAGCAAATTTAATTCAAGAAAATATTTTAGTTTTTATTGTAAAGTACAAATCTGTACTTTCACACTATCTTTCTTTTAAAGTAAAGATTATTGCACAATGTCTTCCAAAATTAGAAGTGACTTATTTCTCAAGACAAAATAACAGGTTGAAGTTGTGAATTTATATAATATATATTTTCATAATTACAATAAAAGTCTCTTAGGTTTTTGAATTTTTTGAAAGGTGCGGCACAAGGGTGAAAAAGTGAAAGTGAGGGCTTCTATGTTTTTTCCTTTTTCCTTCGTTTCTTTTGTTTAGTTGCTCGTTTTAAAAATTGCGATGAGATAGTATTTAAAGTGGTATGTCCATTGAGAGTATCGAATAATATTAATAGGTTAGGCAATATTATGAACAATACAAATAATCTGACTTGTAAGTAATTAGGATGATAGTTATCGTAAGGGTCCCTTTAAGATTTCGAATTGTTCACATAATTGATTGCCGAATTTATTTTTATTTGATCATATTTCATTCCATCAAGATAAGAAAAAGGAACGTATATTAGGTAGAAATTTTTTATATAAATTTTAATCCATTTATTCGGTAACAATAACGCCTATGAAAAACTAAATTTTGATAATACTGTTGTAAATTTAATATATATCAACGCGCCTTTCAAGATGGTTTTAATCGGGCCCATAAAAATTTAAATCGCTGTAAGTGTAAATAAACACAATTTTCTCTATGTTAACGATATAAAAATTCATAGTCCGTGGATCCCATGAAATCTGTATTGATTGATTAACAAATAATTCAAGAAATTGTTGAATAATTTTATTTTATAAAATATTTAAAGATAAATGAATGAATTTTGAATTTGATATGATCAATTCGTATAATTCATATAACAATAATCAATTATTTAACAAAATCAAAAATATATTAATTTTGTTAAAAGATACATTGACATACAAGTTGTATATCTATTAATATTGCAAATTGACAACAGTCTCAAAAGTTTAAATAATTTACTGTCTTAATTATTTCATTTTGTTGCTTGTACAGTTTATGTAGAGAAATTTTGTTTTTTATTTGATTGAAATTACTGTCGTTGAGATTCTTGTAAATATATTCTGTGAAATTCTTGATAAAATGATATAGATCTTCTGGACCCCTGAAATTGTATATAGGTCGTACGTAGAAATTTGCTCTTTTGTAATTAAATGTGAAAAAAAGTAAAAACATTTTTAACGAAGCGTGTTTTATCATACAAATTATGTAAAGGAAATTGTTTAAACGATTCTTTGAGTCATTTAAAAAATCACAAAGGGAAGAGGTTTCAATAATTTCCAAGTATTCTAACTTTTTGTAATCCATACAAAATAATGTGATAAAAAGAATCGTTTAAACGGATTCCTATTTTATTTTCTCCTGTGAATTTCTTTTATTTTCTTTTCAACAAATAGTTGTAAGACGCTACAAGAGAGCATCCTATATGATTAATAAATGTTAGTCAGTTAATCTTATATAAGTGAATATAGAACAAAATAAAAGAAGAAAATCTGGTCGTATAGAATTTTTTATTGGTCTTTATCTTCAAGTAATCATTTTTATTTTAATTTCTTTTCAAGACAATACTTGTTTTATCAAAACAAATAAAACTTAAAACACACAAGTAACTGAAACGTATAAATATAATTTCATGTTAATAATTAACATTACAGTTAATGTTTGGAAATCAATGGAAATAATAGTCAATTGAGTATACAAACGCAATGCTTACTTAATATATTTTATTTGTATAGATAAAAGCTATATGAACAAGACGTGCTAGAGTGGTCTGCCCTTAAAGAACGTTAATAATATACTAATTAATGAATTAAATTACAAGTAGAAAAATATTGTAAGCGACTAAATGCCACAAAAAAAAAAACAACTATTTACTTCTCATTTAATACTGACTTTGTTTTTTGTTTTTATTACATTATTATCAGTCTTTTCTTTTTATCAGCCAATCATCTAAGGTAACATTCGAATGCCGATTTTTGTCTGTCACATACATATATAGCGCGAATTACAAATTTTTTTTTTAAGAAATTGTATAAATCGATGTAGATCAAATATTACCATTAAATGAGAACGTTTTCTTATCGAATATAAAGGTCTTAATATTATAACATCTAGTATATCGTTATCGTGTAAAATCTAATGTAGCCTAAAATTAAATGCATGTACATACATCGAAAGTAATTTAACACAAATACTTCAACATCTACACATTTATACAATTTAATATTATAGATTAAAATCTTATATAAATTTCAGGAGGAAGTAGAAACTGTAAAAATCAAATCCATTTAAAATAAAAAATACAAATTAGTAGAAATATTTTAAACTATAATTGTAAAAAATACAAACACAATTTGAAGAAACAATTAAAAATAAAAGTTGTTGCTAAATAAAATTCTATTAATTAAGACAAAACTAAACAATGATAAAGATTTGCCACATACCGAGTTATTTATCTTAAAAGGAGCAAACCTTTTGGGTGCTTAGTTTCAATTAAAATAATTGGTTAAATATAATTGTTTAAATTAATTACTTCGATTAATTCTAATATATTAATCAATGATTTAGACAAGTTGCAAAAAATTAGGCACACTTTAATGCTTCAGTATTATCTATTGAGAAATACTTTTCTCCGCTTGTGATTTTTCATTATTTAAAACTTATTGAAACCTCGCTTATTTTTTTTTTTTTTTATGTACTTTTTCTAGTCATAATTCATGATTGACTTGGTAACTAATTATAATTTACACAAACATAACGTACACATGTTAAAAGATTTGATTTTTATACAATATTAAAAAATTATATAAAATTATAAGTGAATGATTCATTTTTTCTAACAATTGAAAAAAAATGTCTTATTACGCTGAACTACTTAAATTATATAAAATAGTAAAACTTATAATATATTGTTCAGGGAGAATGATCAAAATATACAATTTGTTACGAAATGATTTCAAGGTTAGTAGTTAATAAAATTATTTTCATAGTCAAGCAATTAATTATTTTCGATGTTTTGGATTTTTTTACTTTCTTTCGTTGTTAAAATATGCGAGATTTCAAACAGAAAAAACAATCATAACAATTGCAACAATTATAATAGAATTCGTTAAATCGACGCAATGCCATAAATTTGTTTTTTTCTTTTACTTCACAAATTTTTCAATGTTTTTGGAAGCTGTTCTATTCAAACAATAGAAAACACTTGTCGTCGCAAACTTTAATATTCGTACCAGATAATGCGTTCAATTTCATTAATTCTCTCACTGTAGAAATTAAAACTTTGGTCCCGATATACAATTAGTTACGAAATTATAATATAATGCTTTTTTTTTTTTTTTTTTTTTTTTTTTGTTTCGAAGATGAAATTAATTCAGTTAAATTTCGTAAATTTCTATATTTCATTCAATTGTATATCACTTTTAAAAATTTATAATTTCGTAAAAAGTACGAATTATTGTTCTTTGATTAATACTGAAATTATGCAAATGATTACACTGTATAAAAGAGTACAATTATTAAAGTTATTTTTTTGTAAAACTGTTCAAAAACATTTAAATTCATTTCACGATAATGTTCTTTTCTTTGACTCAAAATTGTATTTTATATGATTTTTATTCAATGTTTTAGATTTAGATAGAGCTGGGTAAACGCATTTTCATTGTTCCAAAATTAAAATTCATAGATAATTATAATTATCATGATTACTTTTAATCTTCATATAATATGATCCATTCAGTTTTTATTTATTCTTTTTGTATAAAGCATATTATTTTTTGAAGATGTATTTTGTAATTATATTTTTATGTTGTATTATATCAATATATTTAAAAACAATTGTTTCTTTCAATGTGTTTAATTTGTATTATTGTATTTAATATAAAATATTAATAAAAATCATCATGAACCATAAAATATAAAATACTATTTATTCAAATTTAGTAACTAATTATTTAAAATCATTTTTCTTTCATACTACAACATTTAAAAATACAATATTTACCCAACTCCATGCGAATAAAAAAGATGTTTTTATACAAATAAAATAATTAGAATGAATTTAACGTGCTATAAAACTTTGAAAGATAATTTTTCTTCCCAAAAAAATTAAGTTCTGAAAGAGCAATATCAGGCCAAATATTTAATGACCCTTCTATCTCTTGTTTGAACATTCTTATGCCATAAGCTTTAATTCCACATACAGTGCAGTCTAAGAATGAGATATTTGGTTTCAACCATTTGGCAGATAATGGCAGTATATTGAAATACATTCTCCAATAGTTTGCTTTCTTCTTAAGCTAGACTGCAGATAAATATTGAATATTCTGCAGCCAAGTTCTAAATAAATGGTCTTGCGACGACTCTAGAATTATTCTCTTAATGAATGCACGACGAACAATATTTAATTATAATGCCTCCTATTGGGTGTTGAATCAGTGCGCTGCAGTCTCGCTGGAAGTAGAAATTAATTAAGTTGACTGTGACAACATGCAGCTTTTAATAGATAATGCTGAATACCTCATGTGGCAAAGCAAGAAGGTGCATAGTTATCTACGCTTTCCAGAATAGGGATTTCAATTGTTTAAAATCTTTAATATTATGTTACATATTGTATATTATGACGCTATGTTAATTACATTACTGTTTAAATCGATAATATTAAAGATTTAAGTTGTTTTGAAATTTGATCATATGATTTTCATTTATTTTAGTAATTCTTCCGTTAATATTAAAAATATATTTTTTAAAAAGTTTTCAAATTTACAAGAATTGTAATTTTTGTACGTAATTATAATTTCGTATGTAAATACTTTATACGTAACGTAAAAATGAATTTATATTCTTACAATGTTAATATAGGTCATATATATATAAGGTGTCGTATAATTGGTATAGATATATTCTACATGCAATGTATATATAAAAATATATATAAAAAAAAATAACATCTTTTCATTTGAGATTCTGAAAATTGAATTTAAACATTTGTTAGATTTGGTTAGTTCTAAATTAAATAATGGTGAATAATTGATAAATTATTCTGCGTGCAAAAATATTTTGCATCTTTAATTGATTGTACCACTAATTACATGACACTTAGTATATATAAACTTTCATTTTATTATAAATTAAATAAATTAAATCAACTGAAGTTTACATATTATTTAAATTTATATATGTGTAATGATTAATCAGATATCTGACTTTAAGGAAATAAATAATATAAAAAGAAATAAGAACATGAATGTTATTTCAATATCTTCATATTCTATAATACTTTTGATGTCTTTAGATAAATGATAATATTTTTCTTTTATACTTTTTGAATATTCATGGAATCTATTTACATAGCACTTGTTTTCTAGGGAAACATCTTGTTATTTTTTAAATTTTGATCTAGTGTAATATCCAGATAATGGAAAGCGTAGCTTTAAATTCTTAAAGAATGATACAGTATCAGTATTAATCAAACACAGCTGTTTATTAACAATATTGAACTCGTATCAGTGCAGAAGACAAATTGTTTCATTTAAAATATGAAACTGTCTCCAAAATTCTTTAAACACACAACTGTGTAATCATATAATCATATGTACTGATTGTAATCATAATTTATTCTACCAACATTATGTAAACTTTGTATGAACAATATAGAACGCTTTTTTACTTTTTACATAAATAGAGATTCTTTTAGATCATCTTTTTGTGACAATATATGCTATTTTGAAATTAAATATTTTAACTGAATAAAAGGCATGATGGTATAAATATCAAATTAAAAATGTAATTAATAAAAAGTAATGAATTAAAGTGATCATTACTAATTTATCGTAAATATTACTTTCATTTGATGATTTGACCATAATGCCTTTTACATATTTCCTTTTATTTAAACATAATCTCTTAATTAAAAACTATTATTTTACCATTCATCTTCGTGTGGTATTTTTAAAAAATTATATTTTTCGCTTATAAAGTATTTTGAAAAATTCCACACAAAATTTAAAAAGTTATGGCATTAAATTATTTTTCACAGAACTGCAACTTAAATTCAATGAAAGAAAAGCTAAAATCATTTGATATTGAAAACTTAATACTTTTAACAATTATAATATCATTATATATATATAAAATCAAATAGAAACTGAAACAATATACATTCTTATTGACGTTTCACGTAATCATGTATAAATTATTATGACAAATGTATTAATGTACATGTATTCAACACAAAAATCTCTTAACATAAAGTTTTTGGTTTTGTCCTTGAATATCCACGTGCAGTTTATAAACAAAGTACAAAAGATTCATCTTGATCAACATAGAATAAAAATGATCAGTCTTAAAGAAACAGTCATAAAAGACATGGTACTGCACAAAAATTCTTGCTTCATTTGATGTGAAACTTATAATTTTAAAAATGAATTAATTTATATAAAAATTAATGTAAAAACTGTAGTACTGCTTTTACTACCACTATTATTAATGTCAATAATAATAACAACAATCATAATAATAATATATAGTAATAGCAGTATTAAATAATTGTAATAATAAAATAATAAGTGGTTACTTATATTATATATAAAATATAAAACTAATAACAGCATTAATGAATTATTTTGCATAGAAGCGATCTTTTATATATTATTTTGTGCAGCATAGTAAAAAAAAAAAATATATAATGTGCCACTTGTGCAATACTCTGTTACTTAAAGAACATAGGAAGAATATACATGAGTGAAAGAAAAAGAGCATATTTTGAAGACTGAGTGCAATTTTTAGGCATTAGAATTGGAGATATCTGTCTGCTTACACAGTCTCATACTCGCGGCGAATTGAACGTGCCAGACAGCAAGCAAAGATCACACCAATTAACTGAAATAAAAAAATTTTATTTTAGCATGTGAATTATTTTTTTCGTTAATAAAAATTCATTTCATTTAATAAGAATGACAAGTAAGAAATGTGTGAACAATGTGGTCTTATTAAATTAAATATTGGATAATGTACTATCTTGGTTTTTATCTTATGAATATGATATATTTTTCAATAATCTGTATATTTTTATAAAATTATTTGTTCAATATCTTTTCTTTAATTCAAAAAAGACATTTAATTTTTTATGAATGCTATAAAAATATTTCAAGCTAGAAAAAAACTAGAAGAAATAAATATTACCTGAATAATAGCAATGCCAATGCCTACACCGCCCAAGATTAAAGCATTATGCTCAGTAGCAGACTGAAGATTGCCCATACAACCACTTAAATGTATATGAATTGAATTTATGTCACATTTACTTCCTTCTGGTACTTCTTTGCAACAGGAATTTGGTACAGTATTTTCTGCGAATCCAACATGAGCCCAATCAGTAGGGCCAATCATTCCGCAACATTCCAACTAGAATTTAATAATTTATTTTAAATATATAAATAAAATCTACCATTATTTTTTGTTTATTTTTTCATGTTATCTCCATTGCTGTTGTATTAATATTTACAAACCATCTTGTATATTAATTTACATCGTGGAAATACTTCAATATATACTTTTAAATAAAAACAAGTATACTTACATCATGTTGCATAATATCCCAAGATCTACGAATATCATTATTGGTTGAATATTCCTTCATTGTTGTATTTAATCGATTTTCTACCATTGTGCGTACCTCTCCACGCATCATATATCCAGCAATTCCAGCACCAAGTTCAAGTGCGAAAATTAAAAGCAGTAATACAGAAAACTGCACAAAACAAGCATAAAGAAACAATGTTACTTGAGATTAATTAAGATTTCTTAGAAAAATAAAATAATATTCTCAATGCACACTTTAAATTCAATTTTAATTACATGCATATTTATATTTGCATAAACAAACATATATAAACTTAAGTATAGAAAAATTTGTTCTGATATAAAAAAAAGCACATAGTACAGATACACGTAATATAGGAAATGATTAAAAGTAACAGATTATTACCGTTATTATCATGCAATGATTTTCTTTAACAGCTCCACAACAACCAAAGAATGATACAATAAACACAATGGCGCCAATTACAATCATCAATACTGGTGCTGCGAAGAACCAACTGTCCATAAAATTATTGTAGCCACTGTAAACAACCAAGATCACAGTGCCCACTGCAATAAGTACAATTCCTGTGATCTGCAATCAAAGAAATTTGACAATTACTTTTAACAATAACAGCAGCAATAATATTAATAAAAATGATTATGTCAAGAGGTTTTAACATTAATGCAACAAATATTTAGAGTTTTTGACAATATACATTTCTTGATAAACTGGAAATTAAAAAAGATAATAATACTAATTTTTAGAAATAAATTAGTTAGTTCAATATTTAAATAAATGTTTAGAAATTTTTATTTTTATAATGAGCCATATATACTTTTCTATTTCTTGTTAAGAAAATATTATATATAGTATTTTTATTTCTCTTCAAGAAGATACAAATTTTTAATCAATCGTTCATGATCAATTGACATTAATATTATATATAAACATATAACTGTTTTAATTTATTATTACATATAAACATTTAATTTTGATTTAATTTTGATTTTAAAATAATTTATCTCAACATTATAAAATAATATAGAAATCAAGCAGAGACTTACAACGATTTATTTTTTTTATTATGTTACATGATGGTTTTAAATGAAATATATGCGGAAATTTCTTTTTTCTACCAAAATATTTCTAGCTTATAATATTCGCATTTTCACTAAAAATTATTTCCATCAATTTTAAATTTACAGAACGAGCGCCAGCGTTACTTTTGATCCGTAATCGACAATATTTCATTTCCAATTAATCATTCCAAATTGATATCTTGTTGTTTTAATGAAATTACTGAGGAATTTTCTGATGAAAATGACTATACACTTAAATCTTGAATAAATTTGAATTACACGAATGCATGATACATCAACAGTTATCGAATCTTTCTTTCGATTTCATTGAGCCTTGATGTTTCTCTCCGATGTTCTGAAGAAATGAGTGAACCGAGCAGATGTGACAGCCGGCGATTCTTAAAATGGTACCTTTTTCAATAACAAACGTGTAGTGAGGACGTTTATTATGCGAGGAATACTACAGAGTATAAAGTGACTCTTGTTAATTGATTCAAAAGAAATCCCATCATAGCGATATAACGTCGCGTGGATATGTGTGATTTGTCATTATATATTGACATCTGTCCTGTGTTGGGGCAAAAATGGTTGTATGCATACCTACAAGTAAACGAGAAGGGTCGGTATTGGCGGGATTGCCTTTTAATTTCTTGCGCTGAAATGACGTGCCACGCACGTCGAGAATTTTTTGTCCCAAAATTGTAATATTTTCTTAGTTCTAAGTATAACCCAGGCAAAACAAATAATAAATTTATTACTTCTCAATAATTTCTATCCAGTGATATACCGACGAGTTTAAAAAGAAAGTGACGAATTATTGTACACGGTTTGGTCCGCAATCAGTTGCCAGCGCAAGTCAACTGAGAGTTCTTTTTATATTAACGCATCGACTATTTTAATACATAATCATATACAAGATTATGATATATGTATATACGGTGATTCATAGTCAATCGATTAGAAGATGATTTTACATATAAAAATGTGTCAAAAAGAAAAAATAAATTTTCTTCATTTTCGGGAAAATCGAGTTTGAAAGTTCTTTATCGAACAGTTGGATTTAGCTAATTTTAAATGTGACAGAAAAGAATAATTGACAGGAGATTATTCTATATGCGAAAATAAGCAAAAAACGTAGAATAAAATTTTTCTATAAAATGCTCGTTTTCGAAAAAAATCGAGATTGAAAATTTATTAAATATACTTGAATTTGGTGAACTTTGTACTTGGATAAACGCGAACAATCGACACGAGAATACATTTTATGCGCAAAAATAAGTGAAAAACATAGAATGATGTTTTTTTGTTTAAGGCGTCATTTTCAAGAAAATGGACTTTGAATATATTTTGTTGGAAATCGCCTTGATATGTAAACTCGATTTTTTCGAAAACGAAGCATCTTACAAAAATATTTTATTCTTCACTTATTTTTGTATCTCCTGTTAATGATTTTCTCTTACGTCTGAAACTAGTTAAATTGAAATACAATATTGAGAAAAATTTTCAAACTCGATTTTGTCAAAAATAAAAACTTTAACGAAAAGATATTATTCTTTCTTTTCAACTCATTTTCTTCACGTAGGTTGTATCGTCCTGAGATACTCTATATAATAATATTAAATTTTTAAAATTTTAAATTTTTAAATATATGAAATATATATGATTAACTTCCCACTTTTATATTTTATAAATATAATAATAAAATACATAAAAATAAAACCGTATATTTCATAACAATATGTATAAGAGCAGATAACAGTACATAAATATTGAGTAGATTTATAAAAGAAGTATTCAATTGCCATTTACGCGAAACATAATAATTCATAGATGAATTATAAGCAGTTAGTCACGTGCCATACATGACTAACATAAGAAATCATAACTATATACACGAATATAAGGATCACTTGTACATATAAATACACAGTGATATATCATTACATAGTAGTAGAAATTATTTAACAATTCTCTGGGATATGCAATGATACGAATAAAAAAATTTAAGAATTTCATTTAAGAAATAGATTTCTTTTTTGTAAGAAAGGGAAAATTTTTTTTCAAACGAAAAATTTTAGTTGTACTTACAATTAGTTTTAACTTTGTTGCTTCGAGGCAAGCAAATTATGAATCAGATTAAAAATTGGAAAAGTATTAAATAATAATTAAATCAAATTGATGGAATCAAAAACAATGCATACTTAAATCACCGAATTTAATTTCGTTCAATATATTACGTGCATGGGTGTATATATCTAATTTTAGATTGTAAACAAAATTTCATTTTCAATGAAAGTTAGTTTGCTTTTTTTCTTTAATTCATTTAAAAGATCAATCGATTCATATTAATTGATTAATAATATTTTTATATATATGATAATTCATATTTTTATATATATAAATCGATTCATATTTTTTGATAAAGTCAGTTCGCCTTTTTTTTTTTTAATTCGTTTAAAATCAAGAGAATGTTATTAAATATCTAAAAAAAAAAAGCGAGATCAAACACGTTCGAAGTTCCCAGAAAGGAATATAGCGTGCAAGTAAGGAACACAACATGGAGTACTTACGGCGAATATCAGGTTGAAAAGAAACGTCAGGTATTTGATGCAAGCCATCCCGCCGGACACCATTTTTACACTCACTTATTCACTGACTTCGAGGAAAACAATCAGAGTAGAAAAATGACAAATATTGTAAGCAAACAGTACGAAAGCTGTGTGCGTCTTTTGTAAAATAGCGTTGAAAATTGTGCACTCGCAGTATACACTTCAACAGCTCACCAAAGAATAATTATATTTTCATTCGTCCACCCTGGCTGACTTGGATGCGTGCGCATCTTCCCGGTAATTTACTCAGAACCGACCATATCTCTCGCAGGGCCATGGGCATTTCAAAAATTTTATCTTTTTATTGTTCTTAAAATAATTACATTCATGTAATTACTAGATAATTTATGGTTCATTAAAACTAATATTATAAAGTATTATAAATACGCATTTCGTTATACTACTAGGATTTAAAATGTATGTATGCAAATATTTTTGTAGATAAACAAGATGATAAATATTTGCAAATCATATTTTATTTAATCTATGGTTTAATTATATTTATTTATAATCTTATAATTATATATATATTTAATTACATTAATTATATATTTGATTAGATATTATCCAATCTATACAGACACAAAATATATACATATGCGTCTGCGTACGTGTGTACTATATACACAAATATCATATGTTGAGAAGAATAAGAATTGAAACAAACTCACCAAAAAGAATTGAAATTAAATATATTATAATTTTACATGCCAAGTATATACTTTAGAAATAAATTATATTTTACATTACGTTAATACCATTTATATACCTCATCTTATATTACAGAATTTTATTTATTAAAATTATAGATAATTTTTCATCCGTTAATTTCTACAAAAATAAAAATAATTTCCAATTAATAAAAAATTATAAATTATTTTTTTATCAAATTATAACTTAATAATATTTAATGAGAATAACTTTCAAGTTGATAATATGTACATGATAATATGTACATATATATACATGTATTAGATAATGAAATGCATAGAAGGAAACATGCTCAGCAGAATATATATGAATGTTACCTAAGTAAGATTGAAATGAAATACGATATATGAAGTGAATCGTATTGTTACATGTGTAATTAATTATTATAAAATTTGAAAAGGTTGCTAATCTTTTTATTATTCATTTTGCTACATACATATAGATACGGTATAAAATTATAAATTTTCAAATGCAATTTGAATCTTTACAAATAAATTGATGAAATTATAATAATAGATAATAATAGATTGGTTTAATTATAATAATAGATAAATTTTGATGACACTTGTATATTATTCTCTAATGTTCGTTAATTAATATTTGTTACTTAAAATATAATAAAATGTTGAATGCACGCAGTACAATTTCATTCTTCTCTGCGGCCATAGTAGTGCACAATGGTGAGTAACGGTACAATTTTATTATTGATCATTTTGTTCTACAATTCATAAATTCGATTGATAGCAATATATTTGATTTTATAAATTTTTATTTTTACGTTTATTTGTAATTGTTTCTATATAAATTTGATAAAAAAATAATAAAGTTGTAATATATTTTCTATTTAATTGAATAATTATTATGAATAAAAATAAATTAAAAAATAACTACAACATATGAAACGACATTCTTTAAGTATACATTGTATAATTATTAATGAAATTATTTTACGTAATGAATAAATATGTTGCATTTACTGTAATTTTCAATTTTTATTATTTTACATGTACATTTATTACATATTTTATATTATACATATTATACATATACATTTGTACATATTTATATATATTTATAATATATTTTTATAATATATATATCTTTCTATACAATATTCGTTTTTTAATAAAAAGAGTCTTTCAAAGGTAAAAGTACATAAGAAATAATATAAAATTTAATTACATTTCAATTACAAAAATGTTTAATTCTAAATTAAGTACACGAAAATGTATTTAGAAGTATTAGTTATGTAATAGATCACTCGTAATTAGGTCTATTTTTATAACCCCTTAGTATCGATTCTTTCATTATAATAGAAACGATGCATTGTTTCCAACCTGTTCCAGTTCGATGCCTATTTTACGAATTTATATTGATTTCTGAAACTGTAGTATTTATCATGTTAGGATTTGAATTTTTATTATTTATTATTATTCTATTATACATATATATGTGATTGATTGATATCGACAATTTTAAATCAACTTCTAAATTTTGAGTTTTATAAAATTAATAATAAAGATAAATAGTAGATTTGAAGAAATTGATAATTAATTCATTTTATTAGTGTTTCAAATAAATTTCATGATTATACATATTTCAAGAATCAATTAAAAATCATAGTTTAAAAATTTGAAAAGCATTAATTTTATATTTGTATATATTTATATTTTAACAATTCTATACAACAATTCTATATTTCTATATTTCTATATTTCTATATTCTATATTTGTATATATTTATATTATTTATATTCTATATTTGTATATATTTATATTATTTATATTCTATATTTGTATATATTTATATTATTTATATTCTATATTTGTATATATTTATATTATTTATATTCTATATTTGTATATATTTATATTATTTATATTCTATATTTGTATATATTTATATTATTTATATTCTATATTTATATATATTTATATTATTTATATTCTATATTTTGATATGTATTTCTTGTAGTATATATCAAATAAGAACAGTAATATTATATTATGTTGTATAAATGAGTATTTAAATTGTTTGTTTAATTGAATTTCAATTTTTTTCTTGTATTACCTATATTTTGTTATATTCTTTGAAAACTGTTCATTTGATATACAAAATCTAATTATCTTTGGTAATTTTGTGTATATTTCATATTATAATAAAAATTATATTATTGTGTATAATAATTATATTACGTAATATCTTTTATTTGTTTCAATAACTGTGTAATAATTATTATTATGATCATAATGAAATATTAATTCAACATGCTAACTTTTATAAATTGGATAAGTCTGAATGATTTACGATTCATATTCAAATTAGATGTAATGCGAATAATTTTTGTGTTGATTTTAACATTTCTAACAGTTAAAATTTAAATAATATTTGGAAAATAAATTTTATTTCTTTTTGTTGTAATATTATAATGTCAGATCTTTAATTAGCAGTTGAATTTAAATCTTACGTTACTGATATTGAAGACTTGTTATCTCAAATTTTAGTTTAAATTTACATTTCAGTTTAAATATGTACATATGTATATTACATTTTAGCATACAAAATCACTATACTATACTATATTATAATATATGTATACATACCATATGTATATATGTTTAGATATGCATATATATGTATACATACCTATAATTTAATAGGTTCTTTTATAGAAGTTAATACATTAATAATAAAGAAAAAAATATATATATAAAATATATAAAATTTGAGGTTGGTAACTTTTGAAGTTTCGTAACCTTCGTTGAGAATATTACGACTGCGCATGCGCTTGAACACAGCCACGCGATAACTGTCTGAAAGTAGTGAATCGTTACAATGTTGTTAGCCGGTTTGTGCTCCTTTTTTAAACGTTGGTGAAGTGAGGAAAATACAGCGTAGTTATATAGTATTTTGTATTTTGTCAATTGACGAAAAAGATTTTGTTCAGTTGTAAGCAAACCATGGTCAGCACTATGAAATTATCTCTTGGTTCACGATGCGTCAAATATCTGATGTTCATCTTCAATCTGCTCTTTGTTGTGAGTAATTTTTTTGTTTTTTTTTTTTGTTTTTTTTTTGTTTCCATTATAACGATTTTTTAGGTACTCGAATAAATCACTGTTCAAAAGTGTTCAGATTTATTTGTTATGATAAAAATTTTGTTTTAAACGCCTTACGATGGAATTACATTAAAAGTGCATGTAGCATATCTCGAAAAGTTATAATTAGATAATTACGTATGATTTTAATTTCGCTTTTGTTTTTCAATTAATCAGAATTTCGTCAATAATCTAACATATTGTTTTTATCTTGTGATTTAATTTAATTAATATCACGAAAGATTTTCATTAATTTCACACTAACTCAAATATAACCTAAATATCAATAAAAATATCGATATACGTAGATCCCTGTGGATGATATTAGAATAATTTAACATCATAAAATACGTGCAATATGCATACAATAAATTTCTATTAATTTTCAAGTGTTTAAATATTTTAAAGAAAATAAACTAATATCAATAGAAAACTAATTGGTAGATGTGTCATTGCGAGATGATCTGTTTTGTCGTATATGATTATGCATTTGTGTTTTTCTGTTCTTAAGTTACATACGTGCAAATTCTTCAATGTAAATATGGCACGACGATAATATAACTAGTAAGTAACGAAGTATTTTATAATTTTTTTTTTTGTGATGAATCATGAATTCCAGATAAACGATCGAGAAAACAAGCGAACATATAGCTACGTATAGATACATATAGATACATATAGATAAACTCCAGGCAAATAAATATATATAGTTTATATATATATATATTACACATGTACATATTTTTTATTTTTACTTTCTAATAATTTTGTTACATTATGATATAATTAAAAAATATCTAATATAATGTGAGTATTATATAACAATATATAAATGCAGAATATATACAGACACAGAACTCTTTTCTTATTGTATAAAAAAGATTTATAATATTTGTTTACAATAATTATCGTAAACAAAAACAAATTATGTATAAAATTAACTTCAATTATTAGTTTTAATGTTAATAATGGAGCAAATATAAAATTTATTATTTTTATTTACAAAATTTATGTAGATACTGCGATGAAGTAACATGTGGCAACGGTATGTAAACTCTTTGAATATGTGCATTTGGAAACCTTGAAAACTTTTTTTATACGAATAAAAAAAAAATCGCTGCGGACAGGATTCGAACCTGCGCGGGTAGCACCCAATGGATTTCAAGTCCATCTCCTTAACCGCTCGGACACCGCAGCTACTAAAATTTTGGTTTATTTTATATGAATGTGTAGTACATACATAATTAAAATAATGCAAATGTCATTTTTTCGACTATATAATAAGAATAATACTCATCTATATTAAACAAAATGAAATTTGTAATTGAAATATTTGAAATATTGCTATTTATACTTACTAAATGAATTGTTTCCGATTTAAATGAAGTAACTAAAGTAAGAATGCATAATACTTTAAAAAATAATTTTCAATTCAATGTATTGTGTATCATTCAGCGTATTGATATAGATATAATAATAGAATGTATATACTTATGCAATATATTATTATATATACGTATAACATCATTTATAGTATATGCAGCATAGTATTACTTATGACAGAGCTGGATGGCAAATTTTTTTTTAAATCATTGTTTACATTGTGCTTTTTGCTTCATTTATTTTAAAGTTCGATTTTCTCATTTCTAACAAAATAGTATTTAAATTTGTTTCAATTTAAATAACATTTTATTTATAAATCATCAAGGAAAGTTTCTTTTAAGAGAATTTTATAAGCAGTTCGCATTCTTTCAAATCACGGCTTCGTATTAACCTTATTTCTGCTGTCGACGAGTAATTGGATATAAAGATCTTTTAATCTGATTTTCTATTGATTAAATTTGCAATGTAAACAAAGCTAAAGTGTTACTTATGATATATTAGAATTAAAAAAAAGTCGCAAGAGCAAAGTTTTATTTAAAATGAGGATAAAAATCTAAAATAGACAGAGAATTTATATAACTAATAAACTTGAAATAGATGAGGTTATGGTTGCAATAGATGTATTTCAATGCATGAAATATCTAAAGATCGAAATGCACGTTAGGATTTATCCCGCAACAAAATAATGAGACATGTATCGATTTTTGATCTCTATATATATCTCTAGCCATATATGTAAAAATTTTATACATACCAATTCTTTCATCAGCAACATTAAAAGATCAGCTGTTATTTATACATTTTTTTAGATAGAAGTCGTTTATGTGAAAAACAAATGCGATAACATGATAGGGTAGACATTGAAAAATATTATTTTATGATTAACCTCTTGCGCTGTAATGACGTGTCACGCACGTCGAAAATATTTGACCCAAAATTGCAATATTTTCTCAGTTTTAAGTATATTGAAATATAACCTAAGCAAAACAAACAATAAATTTATTACTTCTTAGAAATTTATTACTAAACAATAAATTTATTACTTCTTAGAAATTTATTATTTCTATCCAGTGATATATCGATGAATTCAAAAAGAGGACGAATTATTGTATACGGTTTGGTCACTCGTTATGGTCCGCAAACCAGTTACTCGCGCAAGAGGTTAATAATGTGTTCACTTTTCTTTTTTTTCAATGAACCTCTATGTGGTTAATATTTTCCATTCTTGTTCTATTGCTTCTTTGAGCTCATTTATTGAATTATATTGTCTTACTCAGATTAGGCGACCTCGTTGACCATTGTAATATATTTATACCATTTGTTGAGAAATAATAAACGACCTCCGTTGTATAGATTATTTTGTTGAAAAATGTAGTTTTCATCAGGAATTCAAGTAGTATTTTCTTCGATATAATAAACGAGAAATGCTCATTTTCTGTGATTTTTTGTTTTACAGCACATTTTTTTCTTGTGGTCTTTTATCTCTGATTACAGCTTTCGATTCAGTAGCAGATCTAATGGGAAGTTAATAGTCTTTGTGATGAACCAAAGCAAATAACAATTAATTTTACGAAACCTTTATTGCAAAAATTTTATGCATTGCTCATAGTTGTGATATAAAGAATATAATAAAAAACTATGTAATCATTAATTGTAAGAGCATTGACTCAAACATGTGCAAATTGTTTTATTATTTCATCATACGATAATGATCTAGTTATATTATTTTCAGTTGACAGAATGATCAAAAAGTTCAATCGTTTCTCGAGTATAGCTCTTCTGTATCTATTTTTGAGATAAAAATATTATTGAGTTAAAAATAAAGAAAATATTTTTGAACTAAAAATATATCTATTTGACAAACGTCGTTTTAACCAGATTAAAATTTTTATTCCAGTTTTTGCGTGCTAACAAGTATATCTTGTTGTAATTTTAACAGTTGTTTAGTCATTTTGTAGCATTAATACACATCAAGGTTAATCTGTCCCTATTGAAAATCCCAAACATTAGAATATTATAATCAACATTATAATTAAGATTACAATCCAATTCCAAATAAAACTCCCGTCTTGACCCTAGCCTAAAATATTCGGGTATCCATGCACATTTAAATAGATAATACAATTGTAAATTATAATTATTGTTTAAATTTTTCAGATCACGGGTATAATATTATTATCCATTGGCGTTACGATACAGGGAGTTTATTACAATTATCAACACTTCTTGGATAATAAATTTTTATCAGCTCCTTCTCTGTTGATTGCAATTGGCACAATTATCTTTTTCATCGCCTTTTTCGGGTGTTGCGGCGCTGTACGCGAAAATTATTGTATGATAGTTACGGTAATTTATATTATTTTATATTATTTAATAAACTTTAATGCTTTACATAGTTTTTAAAATTTCAGACTACAGTTCAGAAATTGGAATGAACAGTTTCTTGATATAAATAAATATGAACCTCTATGTATACTTTTAACTTGTCGTAAACGTATCACGAATGTTTTATGTTTATTCTTTGATATCCTTTGTTACAGAATGTAGCGAACATTTTACGATCGAACATTTAATAATAGTATTGTCCTTATCTGTAAGAAATTCATTTAATTTCTTGATTTTAGTTTACGTCGTTGTTGGTCATCGTTTTTATTTTGGAACTCTCAGGTGGTATATCTGGATACGTTCTGAGAGCGAGAGCTTCATCAATTATTCAGGAGAAAATGAAAGAGTCAATACAACAGTATCAAAATAATTCAGAGATATCAACCGTTTGGGACAATCTACAGCGCGATGTAAAGTTCTTTTTTATTTTCTTTAAATTTTTATTCTTACAATTCTATTCTATTTCAAATTCTATTTTTCAAACAAGTTGGGTAATATCTAGAAATTTTTAATTTTTTTTAACGCTTTTCTAAACCCTTATTCATTTCTTGTGTCAATTTATAAAATGTTATGTTATTTTACAACACTCAAGTACAGGTAAAAAGGTGAGGGTCTGTGGTATATAACTTTTATCATCAAGAACATACTATTTTTGATATTGATAAAAAAATGCTGCCAGTTACAGATAATATTCGTTTTCAAAATACTTGACAAGCAGTACAAATTATCATGCATTACTTTTTAATAGCACGATGCATTACTTTTTTAAAAATCTGTACAAGCATCTATAATTTCAAATCATAATGTTAGATAAAATTAAAAAAGATAAGATCACAATATGAAATTGAACATCTATACGCAAGAATATAAATTTGAATAGGAATTTAATAGAAAAATTTTACGCAATTAAATATAGAAATTTAATCTGTCTGTTGCTAATGAAAAAATTTGCAAATTGAAATATTTCTCTTTTCATTATAATGCATCAATTTTATACCAGGGATAAATTTAAGATGGAAAAATGAGGGATAAATAAATGGGTTAATATTTGGAAATTTTATAAAAATTTAAATAACGAATATAGAATGATTCTTAAATGTATGCTCGTAATTAGTACATTCTGCAGCTCATAAACCTTCTAATGTTTATAATCTAATGTTTATAAAAAATATTCATTGAGTGAAAACTCAATTTATCAATTTTCATTTTTCATGCAATTTAAAACTTACTGTATATTTAGTTGAGGTGAATAATGTGATCTAACGATCTGGAAGAAAAAAGTCAAAATGGATGTGAAATCATTCGAGAAATGTTTGGTATTTTCGAGTGAGTGCAGAATTCAATTCTAAGATGTGCAGTAACATTAGGACACAAAACAAACACATTAAGCATTTTCTTCAATTATCTATAACTCGAAAATTAATTGTAAGATATGCAGGATACAGGATATATTTTTTACATATTTTAATACGCAGAGCTTCACTACTCAAAATATGAACATACATTTAAGAATATTATTAGTAATTTTCATTCAAATATTTCCTGAATATTAATAAATATTCATTTCACAAATATTCGTAAAATTTTAGTTCCATTGTTGTGGTACAACTAACGCGACCGATTGGGTAACTATTGGACATATGAAAGAGACAAATATTCCAGCCTCGTGCTGTATGGAAATTACAGCACCGAAAAATTGCACTATTACGTCCCCAACAGTGCAAAGCACAGGTTGCTATAATACGTTTGTTTCTTTTATTAAATCACATGCTGTACAACTTGGTGGTGTTGGACTTGGCATTGCTTTCGTTCAGGTAATCAATATATGTAAATGAATAGTAAAATGCAAAAAATCAGGAACAACAATTGGATTCAAACGAAATTCATATTATTCTTAAATAGAGTAGGTAATTATTTTCAAGTAATTTATTATTTTAGTTATTATTTGTTTCAGGCAATTGGAATCTGGTTCTCAGTTTTCTTAGCTCGATCGATTAGAAACAGTTATGAGACTGTATAACGTGCATTCTGCTATTTAAGAATACATACAGTGATAAAAATGAAAATTAGAAATTAATCCCAAACGGAACCATTATTATAATCATAGTTCCATTTAAGAATACATCCATAAAAAAATATTTTATATTTCCAAGACTTACTATTATATAATCAAAGAAAAGTGTTATTGTGCAATGCATAACGGGTTTTCTACTAATATTGAGATATTTAAATATTTTCTTTGTTATTAATGATAAAGGTTTATTTGAATGAATAATTAAGTAAAGAAAAATAAAAGAAGACCGGAAAATGTTTGCCTTTTATGTTACATCATATTCTCCTTTGGGAATCAGTCATTCATTTCTCAATATCGTTAAAAACAAAGAAGATATTTAAATATTTTAGTTTCAGCGACTCATTCTGTCTACCAGTGCATATATTACCAGTGAAATATAGTATGAAAGTTATGAGATTTCTATCAGATTAAATGTTATGTATTTGATTATATGTACTTACATAAAATAAAAAATATGTACATAAAATAAAAAACTACAGAGCCATTTTTGTTATGCGTATCAAACTTCCTTATATACATAATGTAAAATTTCTTTACATGTGTAATGATTGTATGTCGAGAAAGATAAAAATTACATTTTTAATTTAATTTAACTGATATTACAGGATAGGTTATAATTAAAAATAATAATACACAGAAATATTGAGTCAAGATTTTAATTTATTCAAATTGAAATTTTAAATAAAGTGATAAGAATGGTAATATAGTAACAATAATTTTGCTATTACAATTTTTTTGCTATAATACATTTTATTATACAATTATTACATAATTATTACAATAATTATTACATAATTTGTGCTTTACGGTGTTCTAACATTCCTTCTCTCTTTTTCTTACAATCAGTAGAATCTGACGTAACTCTGATTTAAATCTGATTCATGCATGAATCTTTCACTAGCATTTATCTCTGCATATCTCTGAATGTACAAAATTTGAAACTGAAATTTTAAAATTTGAATCAAAATTTCAAAAATGAGACATTTTCGAGAAAAATATTGAATATAAAAGTTTCAATAATTTTTCGACGCACATGATTTGATATCTTTCTATAAATACATACATACATGAGGTATTCGAGAAATTGTCGAGACCTTGAGAGTTGGAAATCCGAAGAAAAACATCGGATTGGGTGTGTCGGGATTTCCGTGAAAGGAAAACTTATTAGAAACTCATTCCACGAAATGCATTATTTCGAGAGGATCAAATTTTATAATTGTATGATTAATAATTTAAATAATAAGTGAATAAATATATTTTATGATCTAACTTTGAAAGTGACAGAAAAATCGAAAATTTGAAATCACGGTATTCATTAAAGCCTTGAAACAACAGTCAGAGCCCCGAGTTTTTTAAAATTACCGAAACTTTCGGAATACTCGTTCTGAATTCGAGGTAAGTACTGAGATCCATTGGAACTCTAGAATTTCGGGATTTTGCACACCCTTAATACATACCAAATTATATGAATGAATGCATTTGAAAACAGGAATCGAAAAATTTACGGAATTTTTTAATAGACAAACGAAATTATGTCGCGAGAAATGTCATCCTTGCGATGCAAGGGATAAACGTGGACTGTAGAACTTCTATAAAAAAAAGGTTCTTACATTATAAATTCTCTTAAGAATTAAAAGAAGTTTCTTAGTTTGAATAGAACATGAGCTTAAGTATAGAAATAGAGATTTTTCCACAATAGGCTCAAATAATTCATTTATCAATATTAAAAAACTTCTCGATACTATGATAAATATTGAATGGTATTCAATAAATACTATGACAACAATACTAAATAGATATTACAGTTAAATTCATATTCTAGATGTTTAATATTTGCATAGATAATTCACAGCTTACGGTTTGTTTGTGTTTGTTTGTGGACTGAACAGGAAACTAAGGACGTTACACAGATGTTATTTATGAAGTAGTAGTAGTGAGCATTTGCGTGTTGACTATCATTGATTTGTTGGTCTGCGTTACAATATAGTTTTTGAACTTTTATTAATAAATTATATTGTTAAATAAAACTGATATCTAATAATTTGGTACTTTTTTTTGTCTCGTAAAA